CCCCTGACCGTTAGGTCCAGTCGCGGACGACTCTGGGTTTGTGGCTCTCATCTTGCTTTATTGGCCGAGGGAGCTGGCGTACAGCTTCCAGGTCATGTGGCCAGCATGACTAAGCCGCTTCTGGCGAACCAGAGCAGCACACGGAAATGCCATTTACCTTCCCGCCGGAGCAGTACCTATTTATCTACTTGCACTTTGACGTGCTTTCGAACTGCTAGGTTGGCAGGAGCAGGGACCGAGCAACGGGAGCTCCAATCTGTTTGAGAGTATTTTGCAGCCCCCCACCCAAAACCCTAAACATATCCCGTATAACTTTGATCGTCCTCGTTTTTCAAAAGCATTTGTTGTGCTTCTGCTTCTTTTTAAAAACCACAATTTAATCACCTCCAGGAGTGGTCCTTAAAACCTTGTTTGGATTTGAATCCTGAGATAGTGCCCTTGAAATGAGCAGTTTAAGTTTTCCCTGGCAGGGTCTAACGTTCTCCCTTCTAATTTATTAGATGCCAGATACGATAAAACTCCAGTGAACAACAGATACTGGCCCTGTAACAATGCTGAGGTGGAGTCAATCCTTTTTTTAAAAAGAAAAAAAAGTTTTGATCAAGGGACTAGGAAAGACATTATATATTCCATTATTCAGCCCCTCCCTGGTCACTCTTCTGAGTCACTTATGATCACTTTGCTTCTGGGCTCCAATAAATCAGTCACAGTGAAAGTGGCAACGTTTTTGAACATAGAGGCCATAGAATAATAGAACTCTAGAGTTGGGAGGGACCCCAAAGGTCATCTAGTCCAATCCCCTGTAGTGAAGGAATCGCAGAATGAATCCCTGACAGGTGACCTCCCAACATTTGCTTGAAAATCTCCACTGAAGGAGAGTCAACCACCTTCCCAGGTAGTCTGTTCCCCTGTCCAACAGCTCTTCCTGTCAGAAAGTTCTTCCTAACATTCGGTCAGAATCTCCTTTCTCGTAATTTGAATTCAGGTCTTCCCCTCTGGAACAGCAGAAAACAAACTCCCTCTATCTTCCATGAGCTATCTGAAGATGACGACTGTCATATACAGTGGTACCTTGGGTTACAGATGCTTCACGTTACAGACTCCGCTAACCCAGAAATAATACCTCAGGTTAAGAACTTTACCTCAGGATGGGAGCAGAAATCATGCGGTGGCAGTGGGAGGCCCCATTAGCTAAAGTGGTACCTCAGGTTAAGAACAGTTTCAGGTTAAGAACGGACCTCCAGAACGAATTAAGTTCTTAACCCGAGGTACCACTGTATAGCCATATAGCTGACTATTATAACTGTGTTCAGTTTTATATATGTGTACTTTATTACAATGTTTTCAACTGCAATTGTTAATTGTTATTAAACGTTAGAACAGTCTGTTGGGCTGCCAATAAAGAAGGTTTTCCTTTTGGAAAGGGTGCTTTCTGTTTGCTCCTGACTTCCCAAATCCTCTTGCCTATATTCCACCCTCTGTTTACTTTCCCTTGCCATTTATTATCGTGATAGTTATTGCCAAGGCTTCTGGAGAGAGAGAGAGAGCAAATGGATAAAGTGCAACAGCTGCTTAATACAGCACCCTGTTTACCATGGGTGGGAAGGAACACAGTTTCCCACCTACATATCAAAGTCTGAGGGATGGCCGCAACCCGCCTCTTCCTGCTCAACAGTAATGTTGACAGCCGTTCTCTATTTAAGGTTTTGGTTGTCCTGGTGATAAAATCCCACAACAGCGTTGCAAATAAAAATTGATATAATCTAATATAGACAACCGTTGCATAAGCACCAGGGTTCTGAGAGCTGGTTGTCAAATGAAGCTTGTCAACCACTGCCAAATTAAGTAGCTAGCTTTTCATAGGTTCTTCAGCAGCAAGGCCATAGTGCAGTGGGAGCACATTCATTGCCTATAGAGGGTCCCAGGTTCAGTCCTTGACTTCTCTAGGGAATGTCCCCTGCCTGAAACACTGGACAGTCCCTGCCAGTAACATCAAATTTGTTGGACTGATATCATGTAGTGTGGATGTCCGATTATCGCCTTCCAATGCAACTACTCTATTCCGAACTTAAAAATGGAAAGCGTAATGCTGGTGGTCAACAAAAGAGGTTCAAAGACTCTCTCAAGCCAAATCTAAAAAAACAAAAGTAGTACAGTGGTACCTTGGGTTACATACACTTCAGGTTACATACGCTTCAGGTTACAGACTCCGCTTCCCAGAAATAGCACCTTGGGTTAAGAACGTTGCTTCAGGGTGAGAACAGAAATCGTGCTCCAGTGGCGCGGTGGCAGCAGGAGGCCCCATTAGCTAAAGTGGTGCTTCAGGTTAAGAACAGTTTCAGGTTAAGAACGGACCTCCGGAACGAATTAAGTAAGTAACCAGAGGGACCACTGTATAAACACTGACAACTGGGAAACACTGGCCTGCAAGCGCTCTAATTGGAGAACAGCCTTTACCAAAGGTGTCACGGGATTTGAAGCCCCTCGAACTCAGGACGAAAGGGTGAAACGTGCTAAGAGGAAGGCATGCCTGGCAAACCCCCCCACCATGATCAACTCCCACCCGGAAACCAATGTCCCACTGTGGAAGGGCGCGTAGATCCAGAATTGGCCTCCACAGCCACTTACGGACTCACTTTTAAAACCGTGTTTATGGAAGACAATCTTACTGGGCTACAAGTGATTGCCAAAGAGACCAGAGGTGGGGAAACTCCAGGCCACAGGCCAGATTTGGCTTACCTGGCCATTTCTCCCACACCACACCCACCTGCCGTGATATGTGACATCAGGTGCGGTGAAAGTAGACATGGATGGAGTGGTTGCTTGCACAGTCAATCCCTGCCGAAAGCAGGATTGAACTCACAGCTAAACTGGTTGGTGTGTGGGCCCGGGGAGTTCAATCCTGCTTGGTGTGGTGCACCCAAACCCTGCAGGGTGCATGGGAAGTTCTATTTGGTCCATACCTCCTCCCCAGCCCTCCCTCTCCTATTCCCCTGGTACCCTTGGCTGTGCTTGTTTGAACTACATCACGGCCTCTAGCCCCTGTTCTGGCCTCAGTATCATTTAGCAGGACTGCACCCTTGTTTTGGCAAAAAAACAACCACCAGGAGTGTCACAAGAAGGTGCTTACGATGTGCCAAAAGGTTTGGATCTGGACAGCCAGATAAATCCACCAGTTGCATAGAAGGCACCTAAGAGGGAGCCTCCACTTCCCAGTCACTGGCCAATCTGACCTGGAGGCAAATGCTCATCCGTCCCCAGAATGATTGCTGTGAATTACTGTTGAGTGACGCATCTCGGGATGTGCCAAGCAAATAACCCCCGTTCAAATGCATATTTACAGTCCAGGACGATGGATTTGCTGCCAAAGTGTACTGGGTGTGTGCTTTTCCACGGAGAAGCTTGGTGTGAAAGATGAAACAACAAATCTATCAGTATCCTCAAAGAAAAAAGGAAGACACCCACAAGTATTATTACTAGGTGTGCCCTCAACCTGCAGCTTATCCTGTAGCTCCAGCTAATACTGCAAACCCTAAACTGTGTGTGCTAGGATGGGCACCATCACGTGGCTTGACTCACCATGAGAAACAACATCGTTACATAATTGTTGCGTGCCGAAATGGCTCATAACCGGATCTGATTTTTTTGCAGACCAACTCCATGTTACAAAGATGTCTGCACATATGACATGAAGGTTGGCAATGTCAGCCCTGGCATGTGGGAATGCCTTGCAGAGGACCGCAATGCCTGGACACTCTTAGGTCGGGTATCCACAGCAGTGACCGGAGAAGAAATAACCCCTGGGAGGAGAGCAGAAGAGAAGAAATGCCATGGTGCATCAGCACAACTGGACACCTTCATCTGTCCCAGCTGCAACAGGACATGCCTCTCCCCTATTGGTCTGGACAGCCACAGCAGGTGCTGTAACTCTCCAATGGTTTGTGCTTTACCCCCAAAGGCGCAATCCTCCGTTGTCTCCTGAGATAGATGGATACCAATCTCCTCTTTTGTGGGCTATGCTTGCTGCTGCCCCCAGGGGGGAAATGGCCCTCATGCTGAAAATCAACCCCCTGCCCACCTCCAATTTTAGAGTCTTGCAAGCTGCCTTGTGACTGATAAATACACTTGGGTCCCAGCCAACAACTCAATCAGCACCTCAGACAGCGCCAAAGGACCTCTGCATGGGGAAGGTGTCCCAAAATTGGGGTGTTCTGCTGAGGGCTTCCTAGTTGGAAAGTAACCTCCTAACATTTCCCCTGCTAAAACTAGAGAGACTTCCACAGCCACAATTGACTCTTTTCCTGGTTCCAGGGTTAGATCGCTCCAAGGAGACGAGAGGGACTGTGATGGGAGTGCTGCGAATTCCATGTACGATAAATGACTGTTATTGCTATTGTAACTTATTAGTTGCTTTTCTTACAAAATTCAAAGTGACTTCTGGTACATATTGAGATGGAAAGGAGTAAAATGGCACAGACACATCCTTGCAAGAGAGGACTCTCCACCCAGCAGCTTAGCTCATGCAATTCATCTGCAAAATGCATCCGCTTTGGGGGAACGGTTAATTAAATTTGTTGTTGTTGCTGCTGTGGTTGTTGTGAGTTGCGAGGTCTCACAGAATTTGGACGCTGGCAGATGGTGACTTGACTGTGTCTGGGTTACTTTAATTAAATAACTGAATAAATGGGTGCCATCCTCTCTCTTTTGCACATCTGCCTTATTCTCCTTGACTCTTTGTCAGTCAAGGCTCCCTTTGGATTGTATAAATTTGTTTATACCTCTTTTTTCTTTCTTTCTTTCTTTTTTACTTCATGCTGTTGTAGCGTTTTTATTGCTTATTTTTATCAATTGGCTTGGATTTTCACTGTGATTAGCATTCACTGCCTTGTGCAATCTGTGTGTGGGTCTTCCCCACCTGACTAAAATATTAAAATGCCAACAGAGATCACCTCAACCGCAAGGGGGAGGGGGGGAGGGAAACACACACACAACGCAGCCAGAGTGTGAAGAATAACTTTTCTTTCTGTTTCTTAAAACAACTTTCCTGAAATCACACACAGTATCTATAAAGGGTTTTTTCCCCCGCTCCAAAAAACCTCCATATTAAAATTCCTTGAATACATTTATATATTAAATACAGTAACAACATTTCATGCAAGAATTTTTTTTTCCTGTACAGCAAAACCAACTCAGTAGTATATTCAAGTCTGTACACTCCCAGAGGCCTGGTGATGCTCCCAATCATTTAATTAACGTCTTATTTTATACAATGCTGGTGATAAAGAAGAAAGGGGTGGCCTGATATTCAATCAGCATATTGGAGAATCGTCATTTTAAAAAATAAAACAAAAGCTGCTTAAGCAGGTCCAATATGTGTGACTGATCTCTCTTTGCCTGTCTCTCTTAAAACAAAAAACAAAATAAATCCACAGATGAACTTTTCGGGGGTACCTGTCAGATTTTAGCCTGCTATAACTACACTGAGAATACTTAGGCAGGGCTGGCCTAAGACATTTTTGCTGCCGGGCACCATACATTTAAAGATACCACTTTAAACCGTCATGGATTCCCCCAAAGGATTCTGGGAGCTGCAGTTTGTTAAGGACCCTGAGAGTTGTTAGGAGACCACTATTCCCCTTCCACAACTACAGTTCCTGGAGTGGTCTAATTAAAGCAATCCCTCTTCACAGGGAACTCTGGGAACTGTAGCTCTGTGAGGGAAATAGGTGCCTCCTAGCAACTTTCAGCACCCTCAACGAACCGCAGCTCCCAGAATTCTTTGGGGCAGAAGCCATGACGGTTCAAGGTGGGATCACAGCACTTTAAATGTATGGCCAAGATGGCCTCCTTTCCATTTCATGTCCAGAAGCCAACTAGATCGGCAGCTGAATCTTCCTTTAAACACAAGCAACAGGATAGCATTGTGCCCTGGGCCTTAATTTAGGGGCTCTGTGGCAGACAAAGCTCTGCTCCCCAAGAGAATGGAATGGTCAGGGGACTCTGGGGGATCGTCTGTAGGGGGCTGTCACTGCCCCCTACCCCCCACATCTGGAGCCTGAGGTGTTTCCCTCACTTTGCCAAAAATTAGGGCTTCCCCCTCACTCACACCCTTCGACAAAAATGCTAAAGGGTGAAGCATTACCTCCAAGACAACAAAGGTAAATACGACAAAATCAGGCTGGACTCTGGTTTAGGCTTTCCCTGAGAATTCCAGTAGTTGTTTCTTTTATTATTATTTAAAGGGGGGGTGCTACAAACTTCATAGAATTATAGAATTGTCTAGTCTCAGCTAAGATATGAGATTGGAGTCAACCTTCCAAACTTGCCCTTCAGTACAGCCATGGGTCCAGGATGATAGGAAGAATACTCCAAAATATCTGGAAGGGCACTGGAGCAGGGAAAATAATGCAAAGAGGCTGGATTGGGGCTTTAGAAAAGATTCTCCACTTTTAGTTTTCAGCAGAAATTGGCCGTTTTGGTACAGCAGAGATCCTTCCCCACCAGTTTAGAATGTACAAATGCCCAGATTCGTATCCTGTTTACTGGCTTTCGTTTACCCACTTGCTGCTTCTTTTGCCTTCTAGGATCCATCTTGAGGGCAAGTCTAGCCAATCAGGGATCATGCCACATGAAGATTGCTGCTGCAATACTGTGCAACCTATCATGCTTTGCTATCTCAGGAGCAGACAGCTGTTGGTCGGCTACAACCCCCATCATCGCTGACCATTGGCTGGGGCTCATGGGAGTTGTAATCCCACAACTGCTGAAGGGCATCCCATTGGCTAGCCTGGTCTACCTGATGACATCAGTAAGGGTAAGTGAGGGAATGAGGGCAAGGTAAATTGGAAAGTGAACAGCTTTGCAAGAAAAGGCATCAAAAAGTTTGGGGGAGGGACAGTTTCAGTACCCCCCATTAGCTTACAAAAGAAAAACAAACCATTGCATCATTTTTCTCTAAATATTCATAGCCTAAAAACTACAGTTCTGAGATATCTTTGGGTTAGGAAAGATGACAGATAAGTAGGTTTGAACAATGTTTTAAATTTAGCAATGGATTTGCATGTTATATTAAGCTTGGCTTAGCACCAACATGCGGAATCCTAGAGCATGGGACCCTTTGCCCGCTGTCCCATGCTAAATCAAACCATAATTCGGCTTAGCATGCCATCTGAGCCTGGACTCCTGGTTTAGCTCTCTACAGACTAAACATGAGCAGTAACCAAGGACTGTCCTAGGAGTTATGTTCTTTGTCCAGGAGAGTTAAACGACAAGCTCAGGTTTGGACAACAAGCTAAACAAAACCATGGCTTAACTCAAACCAGCAGCAGAACAAACCAGCAGCAACTGCAATCTCCTCTTCGGGAGCCAGGGCATTCACCCTAAACCATGGTTTGCCTTAGCACAACACATGAACCACGTATCTATAAATAAAGCAAAGAAATGCATAGCCCAAGTTGAGACACAGAGGGGCTTAAACTCTATTAGCAAAGCGATAACTATAGGAACATGAATATGACACACACATTGGGTTGCCACCTTCTTTCCTGGCATTGCTCCTGTACATTTAACAATATGTGCCTGTGACTTCAGCTTGTCTGTACATGACAATCAAGAACTTCAACAGATCCAGCGTTTGTTAGCCTGGAGATATAAGGAAGTTTTCCCCAGCTTGCTCAGCCCTCACTCACCTTCAGGGGTTCCCCTCAGATTTGGTTAATGCATTCTCAGTTCTGCAGTTGCTTATTCCAAATGGTCCACGGAATTTCTTTTTGGCTTATTGTTATTTGAAAGGTAAGACACGTGGGTACTGAAATGTGTCCCAAAGGTCATGGAAACCCTTAACAAGAAAAAGGTGGCAGGATAATGTGGCGTATTCACACAATACTCTGCACCAGAATCCACCCCACCCAAAAAAGATTTTGTAGCAAATTAAATTGTGCAAGAATTGGTCACGGCAAGCAGTCAAACACTCCAACTTTTGCGGCGCTAGGATGAACCTAAAAGTGCCACAGTAACATCCCTGAGATGAAGGTGCAACACCCACATTTTTAAATGTTATGTTAGTATGGTGGCAACACGTTGATAGCATTCACTCCCTAGTGCAAAGCAGACCTACCCAACAAACCGTGGTTGAAAACAGCTTAAGCTGGACTTGTATCTCTCACATAAAAACAGCAAATGAAAACACAGCATAAACACAGAATCCGCAACCCTAGGAATTGTAGTTTTGTGGTGTGCAGAGACCATTCAACATTCAGCCCTTTACAGAACTCCCAGTAATTCCCAGGGTTGATAGACTGAAAGGCAGGATAAATGAATGGGACTGAAATTAACTCAGACCTTTGGGGTTGCAATTACACCCCAGGGCACTTTCCACTGCAGATTTACACAAAGATCTATAGCATAGTTCATTTAGGGCAGTCTGGCTTAAGCCCTTCCAGATGTTTTGGACTACAAGTCCCATCCGCCCGGGTTAGCGCAGCTCTGCTGGTTGATGGGGGTTGTGATCCCAAACCTCTGGATCACAACCAGGTTGAGCAAGGCTGACCTAAGACAATGTTCAGTAGTAAATAATGCCCACATATTTTAGCCACTTACCATTGACCGTTTTCTTTCTGAGTTCCAAAAAAGAATCTGGGAGAAGGTTAAATATCCCAAGATTTGCCATTGCCCCAAATTCTCTGCAACTCTGGCTCAATTTATGTGCCCAGACAGTTTTCTTTTGGAGAGTCTAGGGGAAATTTATCCCAGAAAATGATTTATTTTTGCCACTGGGATTATTTCCTTTTTTTTTTAGTCCCAGACAATGTTAGTAACAAAAATTTCCCACAGCATTTTTCAACAAAAACTGATCAAAGGAAACAGATTCCTTAAGAACTTAAAACATCCTTATTTACTCAAGCTTTCCCAGACGTATGGCCCAGTCCTTGGGCTGATATGACTTTCGATGGCTTTAAAACAATTATGTTAAGCCAATTTTGTTATCTGCATTGCCTAGATACGATTCCCCCCACATTTGATTCATAGCATGCAAATTTATAAAATAAATACATAAAAGAATCTTCTTCTGATAGCGCATTGTTGATTGGATTTAGGGGTATTTGACTGCCTTGAGATACATTGGAATATAGCTTGGGGTAGGGGGGAAAAAAATCTCCAAAATTTCGATTTGTGTGATTTTTCCCTTATGGGTTTCAGGTGAGAGTTAAATTAAGTCAGAGCATCAAGGGAGCACTTAATGCTACCTCTTCCTGAGCAGGGGTGGTGTCTGTCAAGAACTCTCCCCAAAACTACCATAAGCTCACTTCCTTTCTGAGACAGAAAAATACAGGTTTTTAGGGCACTGAAGATTTGGAGGGTGGGGAAGAAGAGAAAATTATAGGAAAAAAGGTTGCATTTTGAAGAAGCAGACCTTTAAGGATCTAGGCTCTCCTGCCTCCACGACACTGCAAAATTCTACACCCTAAGCCATAATTTAGCTGTCCAGTCTTTGCACCACTATGTACAAGGGTGGAAGGGGAAGCTATGTAACAAGAGTAAAAACAAAACTAAAAATAAAGTCAGGTTGTTTGTTTGTTTTTCCTTTTCTTTAACGATTCAACCGCATTAAGTCCGACACTTTTTCAAAAGCATGCATATTCCTTGTTGGCTTCTGGTGATGTTCAGGCATGCAGGCTCTTCAGTCCCAGTTAGGAGCTGAGGGTTCAATTGCGGAGAAATTGAGTTCCTTTTGGTGTCGTTTCATTTCTTCGCATCTCTGCCTGGTGATGGTGGGGAGAATGAGTGGAGGGGGAGAGAAGGGAAGTGATTATCGGTTTTCATTTTTTTTAAAGATAAAATATTTTCCCCTACCTTAACCATAATACTATAACTCAGGATGGAGGTAACCCCACAAAACTGATGGGCAATTGAAGGAGGGCCCCCCCCCCAAAAGGGAAAAGAAAGTCATTCATGCAAGAGATTGCTGCTTTGTGCAACTAACTGCCTCATGAGACTTATTTATAAAAATATTTATCTACCGCTATTCATTAAAAACATCAGAGCTGTTTACAACAATTATATGTAAAGTCATACCATAAAATTTGAAAAAGTTAAAATCAGAAATCAGCTAGTTATTGTGGAATGATGTATTCTTAATTGGCTGCATAACAGGAAAATTTTCAGTAGGAGTTTAAAAGTTGGCAGAGAAGGTGCCTGCTAAATCTAGTGGCAGAGTGTTCCACAGGACCGAGCCAATGACACTAAAGGCTCAGTTTCTGGTTGTTGTCAAGTAAGCCGTGCCAACCTGAGGAACAACCAATGACCCTCTCCTGCAGATGAACTCAGGAATCGACCTGGGATACAAAGGTTCAGGCAGTGCCTGAACTACCCTTGGCCTAAGTCGTTCAGGGCTTTGCAAATTAATACAAATTTCTTGACCTTGGCTGGACAATAGATGAAAAACAGCCAGTGCAGAGGCTTTAACAATGATGTCACAGGTTGTCAGCCAGATGCCCTATCAGCAGTCTGGCTGCCACATTCTGGACCAGCTGAAGCTTCTGAACCACGTTCCTGGCAAGGACCATAACCTCAAATAGCTGGGAAAGGGCCATTAAACAAAAATTGCCGTATAGGATAGACCCCATCAATGGCCCATGACCGATGAATGGAACCTCAGGGGCAGTGTTACTTGCTGCAATAGCAGGAGATAGCTGCTGACTCTGTGCTCTGGGTTAAACTACAGAGCCTAGGACTTGCTGATCAGAAGGTCGGCAGTTCAAATCCCCACAACGGGGTGGGCTCCCGTTGCTCAGTCCCAGCTCCTGCCAACCTAGCAGTTCGAAAGCACGTCAAAGTGAAAGTAGATAAATAGGTACCGCTCTGGAGGGAAGGTAAACGGCGTTTCCGTGCGCTGCTCTGGTCCTGCTGGCCACATGACCCAGAAGCTGTACGCTGGCTCCCTCGGCCAATAAACCGAGATGAGTGCCGCAACCCCAGAGTCGGCCACGACTGGACCTAATGGTCAGGGGTCCCTTTACCTTTACCTTAGGTTCTGCAGTACTTGCTGAAACAAGATCTACACTTGCTGAATCGTGTTGAGCCTTGGGCCTGGCCTTTCCCTTCCTAGTAGCCCAGATCGAGACATGCGGGTCTCCAAGTGGCTTGGGGCTTGCTCTGCCTCAGAGGCCTCTGTGTCCTAGTTTTTGGGGGTCTCTCTAAGTGGCAAGTGGAGCATAGAATTATAGAGCTCAATTATATGACCTCAAAGGTCATATAGTCCAACCCCCTGCAATGCAGGGACTGTGGCTAAAGAATCCCTGACAGATGGCCAACCCAATCGTTGTTTAAAAGCCCTCAAAGCACGAAAGCCGCCTTCCTGACATAAAGTCAGGTAGCAGACAGCATTTCTCTTTGCTTAAAAAGCAAAACAATGCCAGAAACCCTCCTGGAGGGGGGGAATGGGTTTGGTCTTCTCGTAAAGCATTCTCTCCCCCCCTTTGCACATGTCAATTTGGCTCCAAGGTAACGACAGCAAAGGATTACCCTACAAGGCCATATTATGACAGGGGGAACGACAGGCTCTCAGCATCCAAGGCAGACACAAAGACTCTGTTCTATGCCCACCGGTAATGAGTCACTATGGAGATCTTGCTGTGCTTCAAAGGGGCCTTTTATGGTCTCCAAGAGAGCAGGTTACATTGGCAGGCAAAGAAGGAGAAAAACGCCACAATCGATTTAAGAGGATTTGTAAATTCCTGCAAGGCAATAGCAGGAGTGGGAAGCCGAGAGAGCTGGTACCTAACCTGCTCTGAATGGGATTGCATTCTCCCCTAAGGATCGGATTTACATTTTGTGTGTTGTCTGTGTGTGGGGATAGAGCCAGCTCTGTCCCTGGAAGGCCATGCGATATCCGTGGCACTCACAGACCTTCTAGCAGCCAACTACGACCCCACCTGGACAGGAGCAGCTTAGTCACGGTTATGAATAATAATAATAATAATACATTATTTATACCTCGCCCATCTGGCTGGGTTTCCCCAGTCACTCTGGGCAGCTTTTAACAAAATATTAAAATACAATAATTCATTAAAATACAATAATGAATGCTCCAGCAAACTTCCGTTTAGACTTACAATTGCAATTTTTATTTATTTATTTTGTATAATTTAGATGCCACTTGATTGCAAGGAAAAACCCTCAGACTGGATTTCGAAAAGATTATAAAGCAGTAACATAAAACAGTTAAGAACAGCTATTTATAAAAAATAAAACCAACAGTAAGATAAAAACAGATTAAAGCACATGGCAACAGTCTGCATACGTGGACAGGCTTGCCGAAAAAGAAATGCTTTCTTTTTGCAGGTGCCCAAAAGTGTACTGTGAAAGTACCTGCCTGAGGCCTCTAGGCAGGGAGTTCCAAAGTCACTCAAAATGACTTCTGAAGAACGACATGTTTCTCATGTAAACTGTCCATTTCTACAGAAGTGAACCTCACTGAGCTAAGCAGGACTTACTCCCAGGCTTCTGCAAGGGCGAGTCCTGTTTCACACACTTGTTAAGAGTTCTACAAGTGTCAGCAATCATATAGGTCAGGATTTCCCAAAACTTGGGTCTCCAGCAGTTTCCGGACTACAATTCCCATCATCCCTGAACACTAGTCTTGCTAGCTAGGGATGATGGGAGTTGTAGTCCAAATGTGGATACCCAAATTTGGGAAAGCCTGATATAGGCAGAGGTGATCTAGTGGACTTGGACCTTCAAAAAACATTTTGACAAGGTACCTCCCCCAAGATTCCTGAATACCAGTTGCTGGAAATCACAGGGGTGTGGGGAGAGTGTTCTTGTATTCGTGTCCCACTTACCAGTTTCCCACTGGTGCATATAGTTGGCCACTGTGAGAACAAGATGCTGGACCAGATGAGCCACTGGCCGGACCTTGCAGAGCTCTTCTTATGCTCTTATCTGTGCTGATACATTGGCTCCCAGTACGTTTCTGGGCACAATTCAAAGTGTTGGTGCTGACCTCTAAAGCCCTAAATGGCCTCAGCCCGGTATACCTGAAGGAGCGTCTCCACCCCCATTGTTCAGCCCAGACACTGAGGTCCAGCTCCGAGGGCCTCTGGCAGTTCCTTCCCTGCAAGAAGTGAGGTTACGGGGAACCAAGCAGAGGACCTTCTCAGTGGTGGCACCCACCCTGTGGAACGCCCTCCCATCAGATGTCAAGGAAATAAACAACTATCTGACTTTTAGAAGACATCTGAAGGCAGCAATGTTTAGGGAAGTTTTTAATGTTTGATGTTCTATCGTGTTTTAATATATTTTTGGGAGCTGCCCAGAGTGGCTTGGGAAACCCAGCCAGATGGGCGGGGTATAAATAATTTTTTATTATTATTATTATTATTATTATTATTATTATTATTATTATTATTGTTATTATGATAATTGTGACCCCACTAGCAGGGTTCCTAAGTGGCCCATGCACATGCAAGAAAGCAAGGAGAGGACTGCCAACCCCACCACAGGACACACTCACCATCTAAATGATTGCGGGAAAGGTACTTGAGTCCTTCATCCAGCAGGATAACCGGCAAGGAGATTTTCAGCACCGTTACCCACTGGGGCCAGCTAAGTGGTGTCACCTGGAAGATCAGCTGGAAAGCAAGCAGAGGATACGTATCACACCTGTCCTTCTGTTCAGAGGCAAGTGCCAATCATTTTGTAACCAATATGGCCACTGTCAAGGCACAAGAATCAGCAGACTCACGGTGGTAACCCTGAGGTTTATAGCACTGCATAGTTTTTTTTATAGAAAAAGATCCCCAAGCATGGCGACACTTCCAGCAGCCCAATGAGCTTGCTGAGTGTCTGCAGAGGGAAACATGGAAAAGGGGAGGAGAAACGGAATGGAGTTTCCTGGAGGAGGGTGTAACTTCATAACTAGAACCACGAATGGGAGTACGTCACAATGCAATATTTTTCTTGCTGGATAATGTTTTTGCTTCGGGGGGGACGGGACACAACAACCTCTAAATGTGAATTTAAACAAACATATACAATGTTAGCCCACAATGGGTCTCCCAGCAGGGAGACAAATATATGGGGAAAGTTTGCACACGGGAGGTTGTATGATTGATGTCTGGTGTCTCCCCTTCATCAAACAGAAGCTTCATGGGGAAGATCTCTAACTGAGACTCCGGAGAGCAGCTGTTGGTCTAGATCAGGAATGTAGAACCTGAGTTCCTCCAGATGTTGTTGGACTCCAACTCCCATCAGCCCCCAGTCAGCATGGCCAATGCTCAGGTGTGATGGGGGTCGGAGGCCACCTGGAAGGCCACAGGTTGCTCCATACTTGCTTGAGACCAGGGGTTTGCAAACTTTTTCAGGCCACTGCCCCCTTGGTTCCATAAACTCATCTCCAGTGCCCCCTATCCTATCCTATGAAAAAGCATTATTGAGAATAGCGGTTTGCACTAAGGAAGGCAATAACACACACAAAAATCAAAACAGTAACAATTAATTGCACATTTATTCAAAAGCCAATGAAAATTAAACTAAATTCTAAACACCAGTTCAATGAAATGGATCCAGTGGTGCCAGCTTTTCAAGGTCTGATGCTCATTTGCACCTCCTGCTGTCCTCTTAGAACCGCTCTTTAGAGCTCAATCAGAGCAAACAGCAATTTGGGTTCCCCCTGGATTGCCATTTGTTCCAATCTATCACTAGAGAGTGGGTATTCCCTTGGAAGGAGCTGGGCAAGTGGAAAAGTGCCTAGACTCACGCTTTCTAGGCATGGCAGAAGTAGACATCTGAATGGGGCCTTAGTGCCCCCCCCCCAGTTAATCCCACTGCCTGCTCCCCAGGGTACAGCCCACTTAGGGAACCACTGCTTTACTAGGACCAACTTCCTGACTCAGTAACAAGGCAACTGGTTATGTTTACCCTGCCAAGTCCAGTCCTGAAAGGGACCACATGTGGACCCAGCCTGCTCAGAAAGTGGGAGAGCGGGTAGCATCTTTCTTGGGGTCCAAGGCTTCCCCTCTCTCATGGTGACTGGGTGGTCAGATGCTGAAGAGGATGGGGCGAGGGTTGTCTCCTGCACCTTTAATAGTGGAGTAGGAGATGGGGATTTCAGGCATGGGCAGCCTGGGTCTCATCTGCATCTGGCCGCCCTACAAAATGCAGGTTCTATCTACTTACAGGCAATGGCTTCATGTAGAGGATCAGGAAGTGCAGAGCCATGGACATGACAATGGCCCCCAGGAGCCAGAGGTTCAGCCAAGGAGGCATCCTGAGCAGCGATTGGTTTTCAGACACACTGTGGGAGAGATGGGGTGCATTCAGACGTTGGGAATATTGGGTTAGTTTTCCTGATTATAACGCTAGAGCTTCTGAACTGATCCCTAACGTTCCTTTCACACTGCAATACCTGTTGAGTTATGGAACTGGGGGATTTTTTAAATCAATACACCATCTAGTCACACTAAATCTCACTGACTCTGGTGGGTGTGATCAGAAACAACACAGGAAAACTTTGCTATGCACCCCCTCCATTTTTGCACATGCATCCTTCTTCCCCCCATAATTCACCCATGAAAAGGATAGGAGAGACCATCAGCTTTACCTCCCCAAATTTCATCACTTTAAAGGTAAAGGGACCCCATTAGGTCCAGTCGTGACTGACTCTGAGGTTGCGCCGCTCATCTCACTTTATTGGCCGAGGGAGCCGGCGTACGGCTTCTGGGTCATGTGGCCAGCATGACTAAGTTATTTCTAGCGAACCAGAGCAGTGCACAGAAACGCCGTTTACCTTCCCGCCAGAAGGTACCTATTTATCTACTTGCACTCTGATGTGCTTTCGAACTGCTAGGTTGGCAGGAGCAGGGATCAAGCAACGGGAGCTCATCCCGTTGCGGGGATTCGAACCGCCAACCTTCTGATTGGCAAGTCCTAGGCTCTGTGGTTTAACCCACAGTGCCACCCGCGTCTGTCACTTTACTCGAGCCCAAAAAACCCATGACCCAAATTAAAGTCCAATGTGCTATAGTACAAACGTATTATACTGATACTTTTGATATTGGGGATAATGATGAAGATGATGACGGTGGTGGCCCCGTCCCCCTTACGAATGCTGCAGATTATGCGCTTCGCTAACCCGGAAGTAGATGTCCCTTGTTGCGACCTTTGCCCTGGGATGCGAGCGGAAGTCGCACTCCGGCGGCGCGGCAGCAGCGGGAGGCGCCATTAGATAAAGCACGTCTCATGTTACAAGCAGTTTCCTGTTACGAACGGACCTCCAGAACAGATTAAGTACATAACACGAGGTACAACTGTATTTTGGGAAGCGGTTTTCAGGTTCTGGTCTTTGTTTGGAAGCCACTTGAAATCACGATGGCGGACCAAAACTTTTCAAAACTACTCTGTGGTGGGTTTTTGTTTTGGTTTCTCATAATTCCTGTGCAACTCTAGGCATTTTCCACTAGAGGCAACAATAATTTATGCCACAGAGCATGCTCTGCCCAAATGATTTTGAACTTGCATGATTCAGAAGCACATGCAGATGTCAAGGTTCTCTGCACATCTACGCATGATTTACACGTGATGCAGAAAATCCCCTTCCTGGATTAAACGGGCCACAGATTGTACCTGTGTTAGCCAGTTCCCATTTGCTGGACCATTTCTTCTTAATTTCATACCCAAACCTTTTTTTTAAGGGAAGGAGATGCATGGCTGGCAATGCCATACCTGTTGAGTGCATTTAACATCTCAATGGTCACCAGCACAGAGAGCGCCATGGTGGTTGGGTAACGTGATTCGAAAATGTCACAGTCGACGCCTTCGAAGATGGGGTTGTCCTCTGTGCATCGCATGAAGTTCCTCTGTGGGAAGAATATAAACACAAGTCTGGAGATGGGGGGATCTTTCACCACCACTACCAACAGGTTCCAGAGGAGCCTTTTGCTCCTAAAAATTAAATTACTTTATTCCCTGTTTTGCTAGCAGCAGTCACGAAATTGCTATCCCTGTGGGTTGACAACAAGAATGACTAGGCTTCCTTGATAGCTATGCTCTGCCTCCGTGGTCTGAGGCAGGAATGCTTCTGAATAACAGAAGCCGCAGGAGGGGAGAGTCCTCTTGCGCTTGGATCCTGCTCGTGTGTCGGCCACTGTGAGAGCAGGATTCTGGACTAGATGGGCCAGATCCAGGCTCTTCTGATATTCTCACGTGTTTTCCCTGCACTGGACTATCAACTTACCAGCTGGTGGAAGGTAACTTGTGGTCCTTCGGGGTCATACAAGAACCACCAGGTAGCTGAACCCACAGTGGCAAAGCCAACATACACTGCAAGGAAAGGAGGAAAAAGTAATTGATCACACAGGCTAAACTCTGTGTGCTATTGTGCTGCCTTCGGAAGGCAGCCATTCGACAGTAGCCATATCCTCCAAGCAGGCTTTACAGGGCAGCCCCACTCTGAGCATTATTTATTTGTTTCAAAGGCTACAATCAAAAGACTCTCCCTGGGCAGCTTCTGTTCACCGGCATTTCTGATGGTGCAACCTAAATACCACAAGCTTTATACTCCACCTCCCATGGGACATGTCTGGCAAGTGGGCAGGGCCCCTGGCCTGTCAATCACACAACATCGCAATGATGTCACTTTGGCACAGCTGTTAGGCAGGGAAGCCCAGGCAATCAGCTGATTGTTGGTGCTTGGAAAGGACAGATCTTTGCAGTTGCTGCCAACCAGCTGATGGGAGGTGTCTACAATTTCCCCTTTCGCTCAAGTGGCTTCTTTAGCTGGCCTACATTGTGCAGTGGGAAGAAGGCATAGGGTGAGGTAGCATAGCTGTCAACGTTTCTATTATGTACTGAAGTTCTCACCCTGGGCCAGCAGGGGGATACTGTAGATGGTTATGCAAATGAAGGATCGAAAGTGACGTTCAGTGATTGGATAGTTTTAGAAAGTTGCTACAGTTACGTTGTTCTGGAGCTCTATATAAGCAGGCTGACTGAGCTCTTCAGTTCAGTTCTGTTCTGGCCTTTGAATAAACAAGAGCTGTTTGAAGAATCGCTGTGTCGTCTGGTATGTTCGCCCACAACTTAACAGTTTCCCTTTTTTAAAAGGGAAATTCCCTTATTCCAAATAGGATTCCTCGCAAGAAAAGGGAAAAGTTGACAGCTATGTGAGGCAGGTGGGTGGGGCTTGTCTTGTCTTGTCTTGTCCAAAACATGGGACAAATGGAAGGCCCTGGCAGGCCGAATTAGACCCTCAGTTAGAGATGCCCCAATACTGCTATTCCCACTTATCTGGAATTAAGTCCCATTGGCCCCAGTAGGATTTACTTCTGAGGAGACCTGTTAACTGCCTTGTTAAGATGCTGGGCATTATAGAACATAAAATCGGCGAACAAAGCCCCGCCTAGAAGGCTTACAATCTAACTGCAACAAAGATGTGATTGGAAGGAAGCAGGGAAGCCGAATATCTCTCGCTCTCAGAGTAGCCAAGTGCCGCACTCCAGCTAAGCAAAACCCACCAGGAACCGACCCAGACATTTTGCAGTTTTCCTCTTTGAAGCTTGTGACACAGTGACAGAACGTTGATGCCCATTTTGTTTCATGCCGTGCTATTTTTAGTTACTTATAATTAAATGAATTTACTAGTCACTTTTTTGCCATGGCAACCCAAAGCAACTTATGAAAAAGCTTAACCCCCCACAAGAAAACCCCCATAAATACATTAAAACTAGATAGGAAAGGGATAATGCATTATAACATCCCAGCCACTCTAGAAGGCCACAGGTCGTTAGGAGCCAAAGGTCTGGTTAAAAAGGAATGTTTTTGCCTGGTGTCTTAAGACGTATAATAACGGTGCCAGGCTTGGGGAGAGCATTCCACAAACAGGGAGCCACCACCAAAAAGGCCAATTGTGGTATTTTATTTTGTTTTATTCCTTTTCACCCTATTATACATCCTATTGGATAATGCATTTCATGTGGCTCTCATCGTATTTCCTTGATGCTCGTCATTGGCTGTAACTACGGAGATTTGGTTTAGAACGTGAGATACACCTGAGGTAAAATCTCGCTAGCCTTTTAACCACACCAAGGGGTGGCGAGAATGAAGAGGCTGTGATGCTCCACCCTTAGCCCCACCCCACGGTCACCTGACACCTGCTGGATTCTGATGCATTCTGGGCAAACATCTGCAGAGAGGACCCGACTCTATGCTCACAGTCTCCCTATGGGAACTAAACTCTGTGCTGGGAATGGGGGTTAAAGCAGTCTCTCCAAAATTCTCCTTTTGTCCCTAATCCCTAGTGTTGAACATGGCCTCGTTTCTCACCTCCAATGGCAAGGTAGCGGAAGAAGAGCCACCCGCTGATCAGAGGCTCCCTGGGATTCCGCGGCAGCTTGTCCATGATGTCAAGGTCAGGCGGATTGAAGCCCAGAGCCGTCGCTGGCAGCCCATCGGTCACCAGGTTGACCCAAAGCAGCTGGACTGGGATCAACGCTTCGGGGAGGCCCAGGATGGCTGTCAGGAAGATACTGGGGGAAAGAAACACACAGAAATTCTACCATGACTTGATTTCACTCCCAGTGCTTTTCTTTTTTTATCACACAAGTGATAAACCTCAGGTCTGTGGGCCAGATTTCAGGGGATCATAGAATTGTAGAGTTGGAAGAGACTCGAAGAGTCATTTAGTCCAACCCCTGCAATCAAGGAATCTAAACTAAAGCAGCCATGACAGGTGGCTATCCAGCCTTTGCTTAAAAACATTCAAGGAAGGAGAGTCCACAACCTCCTGAAGGTGACCCTCCACCGTCAAACAGCTCTTATCATCAGAAAGTTCTTCCTGATGTTTAGACAGAATCTCCTTTCTTGTAACTTGAAGCAATTGGTTTGAGTCCTACCCTCCAGAGCAGGAGCAAACAAGCTTGTTCCCTCCTCCATGTGACAGCCCTTGAGATAGCTGAAGATGGCTATCCAATCTCCTCTCAGTGTCCTCTTCCCCAGGCTAAACATATCCAGCTCCTTCAACCATTCCTCATAAGGCCTGGTTTCCAGAAACCAAGGATTGGAAACCTCCAGGGCTCCCCCCATTTGTGACATGAAATGCGGGGCAAGAAGAGATGCAGCTGGAAAGCAGGATTGAACTCCCCGCCTATTGGCTGAGGCATGGTGAGTTTACTTCTTTATTATTTCCATTTATAGACCACGCTGCTAGCTAAAAGATCTCAAAGTGGGTTGCGCACACAATCAGCAAGATAAAACCATGCCAAATGTGTCACATAACAAAATGCATTAACAATATCCACAAATGTAATAAGGAATGAATAAAATTGGAGAGCCCTGCAAGGTGGTATAAATTTCAAGCGCCACAACCTGCATGCAATCATCCATCCCATTTTACTCACCACCCCGTTTCACACAACCACCACAAGCGTTCGTTGATTCCAACATTGCCCCCATCAACCCCTTATACATAGATCACTCACCCTCAACAATATTACAACCCATGTACAAAGTACCACTGCCAAGCATATACAAATTAGGCACATCCCTAATATCTGAAGCTGTAATAGACTTGTGCCCCTCTCCTGCTGGACCATCTAATACTCTCCTCCCATCTATCACCTGAGAGGCACCCAGTTCTCTACTAGAACATCTGTTCTGCTTAGTTCTCTGTGGTGAAAGCTCTGGTGTAACTCAACGCTTCAAAAAACAGGACTGAACTCCCTGCCCATCAGCTGATGTACTGGTGTGCAATTCTGCATTCTTCCCACCTGTCAAAGTCAGCCCATTTGTGGGGGAGATAAAGATCTGGCTCGCTGGGGACCCCCTGCTTTATTATTATAAAGCTTATGAATTAGGAGTGGAACCCATGCTCAAGCCAAACTTGTCTGCTGGGGAGCACCCAAGGGATGAAGCAAACAAGGTGCATTTACGCAATCTTTGATGGCTTTGAAGGCACCTTCCCAATATTTTGGACTACAACTTCCATCATCACCCGTGACCATTGGCCATGCTGGCTGGTGTGAGTTGGCACCCGTCTGGAGGGCCACAGGCATTCCTGGGTCCAGAATGCAGGGAGAAGGCGCTTACCAGACCACTTCTCCGACATTGGAGGAAATGAGGTAGCGGATGAACTGCTTCATATTATTGTAGATGGCGCGGCCCTCCTCCACGGCTGCGACGATGGTGGAGAAGTTGTCGTCGGACAAGACCATTTCCGCCGCTGACTTTGCCACCGCTGTGCCGGAGCCCATGGCGATGCCGATTTCGGCTTTCTTCAACGCAGGGGCATCGTTCACTCCGTCGCCGGTCTGGAGCACAAAGAAAAACCCTTGTCACTGGAAGGAACATAAGAAGAGCCATCTAGGCCAGCATTGTTTTCTCACAGGGGCAAACCAGACACCTGTGAGAAGCCAGCAAGCCTATAATATTTAAACATGTTATAAAATACAATGTGTTAATAACAAATTAGTTTAAATGCACATTTAGAACCAGCAATTAAAATCTAGTTTGCCCTGATAGCAGCCCATTGGGCAGCACTGTCTGCACCTTAATTCCCAAAGGTTTCTGTCTGAACAAGAAGGTCTTAGCATACTCCAGGCTTCCTCAACCTTGGCCCTCCGGATGTTTTTGGCCTACAACTCCCATGATCCCTAGCTGGCAGGGCCGAAGCTGAGGAAGCCTGGCCTATTCTATTGGGGAAGAAGAAGAAGAATTCTGCAGTATGCGAACAGCCACAGAAAAGGCCCTATCTTGGGTCACCACCAGCTACACCTCTGATACTGAAGGGACTGGGAGAAGGTGCTCACCTGAGGATCTTAGCACCTGGTCAGCTTCATACAGGGAGACACGATCTTTCAGCTGCCTTGGGCCCAATCCACTCCCACCCAAGCTATTTCCCAAGATTATCTGCAGGTCCAGCAACTGGAAGGGGATTTGGAGCCAGCTAGCTCCGAAATCTGATTCAGGAACATGCTTGGAGGCTTCAGATGCAACAAGACAGAGAGGGAGTCCCCGTTTCCAAAGCTCACCATAGCTGTGATTTCGTTGAACGACTGCAGATACTCCACTATCTTGGACTTGTGGGCAGGCTCCACACGGGCAAAGCAGCGAGCAGAGCGGCAGGCGTTGCTCTGATCCTCCGGCGAGAGGTCGTCAAATTCCCTCCCCGTGTAGGCTTTGTCCGCCACCTCTTCGCTCTCCGAGAAGATCCCAATCCTCCGGCAGATGGCCACGGCCGTCCCCTTGTTGTCGCCAGTGATCATGATGACCCGGATGCCGGCTTTCTTGCACATCTCGATGGACAGCATCACTTCCTTCCGAGGAGGGTCCAGCATCCCCACGCAACCCACGAAGGTCAGGTTGGTCTGCAGGCCGGACGAGAAGGGAGGGATCAGTCCCCTGAAGAGTGGTACCCACCAGACTTTCTATAGAGGGAAGCCCTTTTTAAGGATAGGTTTTTCCCTTTTTTTTTTTTAAAGAATATTTATTCCAATTTTGAAATTACAAAAAGAAAGAAAAAAACATAGAAAAAAGAATAAAACATGTTACAAAAAACAGACAATAAGAAAAACTCAACAAAAGATAAAAATGCAATACAATAAAGTATAACAAAAATCAAATTAAACCTTTACAACCTTTTTCCTTTTACTTATTTCCATGACTTCCTCTCACCTCCCGCTTTGTATTCTAGTTTAGATCATATTTCCAGCAAATCCTTCTAACCTTCTTTTCATTTACTTATTTTAACATTCAATAATGTATTTAATCCTCCTCTATCCTCAGTTTCTACACTTCATTTTTACTTAATCCATTATACCGTATCTGCCAAAACGGCCTAATATTCTTTTCCAACCTCTTTCTAACATTCTTTTATATTGCAGTATTTTTGAAGATATATTTTAAATTTTTTCCAATCTTCTTCCATCTGCCCTTCTTCCTGGTCTCGAATTCTGCCGGTCATCTCAGCCAGAACTGGGTTTTTCCCAATGCCTCCTCTGAGGAGCCAAAGAATTATCAAACTGTTTTGGCTAGGAGGCCGAAGGCAGATGTCGTCCCAAACAACCGGCGAACACCAAGTTGAAGAAGGTGGATATTAACAATGATAGCTGAAAGGTAAAGGTAAAGGGACCCCTGACCATTAGGTCCAGTCGTGGCCGACTCTGAGGTTGCGGCGCTCATCTCGCTTTATTGGCTGAGGGAGCCGGCATCCAGCTTCCGGGTCATGTGGCCAGCATGACTAAGCCGCTTCTGGCAAACAAGAGCAGTGCATGTAAACGCCGTTTACCTTCCCGTCAGAGCGGGATTTATCTACTTGCACTTTTGATGTGCTTTCAAACTGCTAGGTGGGCAGGAGCAGGGACTGAGCAATGGGAGCTCACCCCGTCGCGGGGATTCAAACCGCTGACCTTCTGATCGGCAAGTCCTAGGCTCTGTGGTTTAACCCACAGCGCCACCCGCGTCCCAATGATAGCTCAGGGAGCCTTAAAGTCTTTGTTTATGAACTGCACACAGCCCCTTAACCCTGCTCCTCATGCACTGTTCCAGCCACCTCACTCCATCCTAAACCAGGCTGCTCTTTGGCCTCTTCCTTGACTCTGCCTTACCTCATAGTTGATGAACTGGCTGGAATCATCCAGACGCATATCCTCCTTCCGCGGAGGGTGGTCTCTCGTGGCCAACGCGAGGCAGCGCAGGGTGTCGATGCCGGTGCCCCACTCCCGGATCTTGGAGAGTATCTTCTCCTTGGTGGAGAGAGTCAGGGCAACCCGGGTGCTGCCGACACGGACGTAGTTGCAGCGCTCGATGACGCTCTCTGGGGCGCCCTGTCGGAAAAGGTATGGAAGTCACAGGACAGGCCCATTAAGAGATGCAGAAAGCAAGCAAACGGGTAAGAGATTGGAGGACAACCAGCCCAAGAGCTGGAGAGTTCCCTAGCACTGGGCTGCATTTCTCAGGTGGGTTCCATTAGCACCCAGAGGATGGAGAGCCGACTAAAGGGCCAGGGCTAAAATTCAATGTGAATTATTTGATGGGATGGATGTGCCGCCTGCCCTCTTCAAATTCATAGACACAGCATGGACCACCTGAATGATGCTCACAGGCTCCTGGTGGTACATGGACTATGGTTTGGGCACCTCCTGCTTTATTGCATTTTAGCTGCTATTTTAAAGGTTTTCATTGTACATTTGTAAAGTCGCCATTTTTAGTTGTAATAGCTTAGCCTTTTTTTCCTGCATTAAGTGAGAGAAAAATGGTCTTAAAACTAAGCCATTAAAAATAAGCAATTTCTGTTCACTTTTTGCAAACAAAAAAAACACTTCAAAAATCCAGAAGTGGTGAATCATCTGGTTGAGGGTTGTATGCTGAACCACCAGTAAGTTTAGAAACCTTGGGTTGGATAGGTCTGATGAAAAGAGCAGCAAATTCAGACCCCCATCCCTACCCAGCAGGACAGATTTTTTTTAAAAAAACACACACACAACAACACAACAACCAGTCTTAGTGTGACTATGTCCTTTAGCCGAACTCACAAATGAACACTGGGCATTTGATGGACGATACCTCTGCATGAAAACAGAGACTTAAAAGTAAAACAAGAGTGTGTGCTATTTAGGGAATTACTTTTCTGCCTTTTGGAGCAGAGAAACACTTTTTCTCCCTCTGTTATAACACTGCGATTCGTGGACATCCAATGAAGGTGAAGGTTGGAAGGACAGAGAAAAGAAAGTCCTTCTTCACCCAGTGCATAGTTAAACTATGGCGCTCCCTCCCTCAAGAGGCAGTGATGGCCACCAACCTAGATTTCTTTAATAAAGGATTAGACATAACCATGGAGGAGTGGCCTATCAATGGAGATTGGCCATGATGGCTATGCTTCTGCCTCCGAAACTGGAGGCAGCAATGCTTCTGAGGAGCAGTTGCTGGGAGCCACAGGAGGGTAGAGGGCTCTTGCGCTTGGGTCCTGCTTGTGGGTTTCTCACTGGGGCATCTGGGTGGCCACAGTGAGAGCAGGATGCTGGACTAGGTGGGGCATTGTTTTAATCCAGCAGGGCTCTTATAACATTCTTAAACAAGCAATGTGATTTTCACCTCCAGTGCAGACCCCTTGCATCCCAGGGGTGAGGGAGGAACCTGTGGCCTTCCAGACAGCATTAGACTCCAACTCACATCATCCCTGGGCAGTGGGCCATGCTGGCTGGGACTGATGGGAGCTAGAGTGCAGCAAGCTCTGGAGGTGCATCCGGTCTCCCTACCCTGCTATAGCAAGGATGCTGGCTTTTAAATTGTCCGTTTTCCTCCCGATATCCTCTTCCATATGAGAAGCTCTGCTAAGTGAGCGATTGTAGAGGTTAAGCCCAGTGATAGTTTAGCTCACTGGGAACGCAGCCAATTCCCAGCATTTCCTCTGGGTGGTGCTGCTTTGCCAGTCTTCAAATGCCGCATGTTTCGCAGAAGGGGGAAGCTTGGACAACGGAGCAGAGTTATGTGGAATACCGGGAACCCTGATTAGGTCACTACAAAACCCAGGCAGAAAGGGGAATCGGGGATGTAGACAGAATAACCCTTGTGCAGAAGCAGCAGAAAACGCTTCTTCACAGAAGAATAGCACCATCATGTTATGCCCCTGATGAATGAAAGGTGGGGTATATATGTAATGAGTAAGTAAGAGAATGCCAATTCCCCCGGATTCCAGGTTCACTAAAACGTTTTGTAAGCATTGCCAGGATTCAGCCTTGCCCAGAGCTAAAACCTTGGAGGAAAAGCAGCAGAGAGCAGGAGACCCCAGCAGCCAGTATGGTCAATGGCAAGGGACGATGGGGAGTTTTGAGTCCGCCAATTGTGCCTGGAGTACTGCAATTATTTTAGTTTGTTATTACATTATGGGTTGCTGTTTTTTGAGTTTTTGTATTGTAAATGCAGAGAGAAGAAACGCGGTGGTGTATCTGTAATAGTGAAATCGGGAGCCTTCTTCTGCCCCAGCTGCAACAAAACATGTCTCTCTCCCCGTATCGGTCACTATAGCTACAGCAGGCACTGTAACTCTCCAGTGGTTCGACTTTACCTCCCACCGGCGCACTCTTCCACTGCGGTATAGAAATTTAATTTTAAAAAATAAGTAATTTGGTCTTGATGGGGTTACTATTGTGGTTGGTGTGGAGGTAACTAGGTGGCTTATGGAGACAAACTCCCTCCAGCCTAGGGCACCTTGCTTGCGGGTATTGGTGTGCAAAGCCCTATGCAGTTTGGGGACCAGTATACCTAAAAGATTGTCCTTTACACAACCAACAAATCGCTGTATTTTGCAGGAGAGAGCATTCTGCAGACACCATCCTATCAGAAGGTCTGGTCTGCACGATGGCAGAGCTCGGTGGCATTTAGCATGGAGGCACCTACCTTCTAGAACACCCTCCCAACCCTCAGCAGGAGAACCCCACGCTGCAACATTCTGTTGCTGCTCCCCTTTCATTGCCAGCTTGTGAAAGATCAGCATTCTGTGGCCACCAAGTGGAGCAGGGCTCTCTGCCCACGAGCTGGTACCTTGACGAAGAGCTTGCTGCCAGAAGAGTTGTGGTTGGTCGGCACTGGCGTGCAGTAAACTGACATGGACTTGCGGTCACGGGAAAATTCAAGGGTGCACTCCTTCTTCATCAGCTGCTTGATCACCTGAAGAGGGAGGAGGTAAGAAAGGATGCAGGAGTTGAACCCTCAAAACTTCAGCAAAGTGAATTCCCTTCAATGGGACAGCCCACCTCAAAAAGGGTATGGAGAAGTTTCAGAAAAAAGCAGATAAGTTCAACACCAAGATTTCTAGAAAATTCCTAGTATCAGGGTCCTACTGCTGTGTGTTTTTTGTGGGGGTGAGTCTGGATGATACCTGTGGACCCCTTACTAAAGGCATCTGCTGTGCAGGCACATTATCCTCAATCCAATTAAATATTACCAGCGCTGGAGAAAGCCTCAGATTTACTCTGGTTGACCCTTGGTGCTTTCAGTTTAATTGAATAAGCGTAATGCCATTTCCTCACAAACCTCATCTTTCTAGTCTTCAGATTCCCAGCTGCCTATAGATGAACCCAGCATTCAGAGGAAATGCCACTCGAGAGGGGCTTCATTTTAAGGGGATGGATGACTCAGTAGAACTTCCATTTGCTTTAGCTTTCAATCAGGCAGGTGTGCAGGTGATGTTTTGCACGGGGATTAATGGGATTACGCAGCCCACAACTCAATGGAATAATCTGCCGTATTTTTCTGTGTATAAGATGATGCTTTTTGCTAAAAAAAAATGGGCAAAAATTGGGTGTCGTCTCATACACGGACAGTGAATGCAGAGGGGGGATGTGTGATTAATGGCAGCAGCAAACAGGAGATTGGCAGCAGTGATTGGGCAGGTGATTGGCGGCTGTGGCTAGGCGGGCAGGCGATTGGCAGCTGCGGCAAGGTGTGCGATCGGCAGTGGCTGCGGCAAGCGATCGGCAGTGGAAGGCAGGCAGGTGAACGATTGGCGGAAGTGACCTCCCCCACACCCCCAAAAAGCTAAACAACCTAATTTCTTAATTTTGGGTTTTTTAAAAAAATAGGGGTCGTCTTATACATGGGGGTGTCTTATACACGGAAAACTACGGTAACAAACCAAGAGATCCATCTTGGCGCCAAGGCTCCTGCAAAGACCCGAAAGCTGGTGCTGCCAAGAAAGTCAATGCTTATCTGGTGCTATTATCAGTTGCCCTTCGTAATTCCCTCCCTTCTCAACTAGCTTTTCTAACCTCCAGAAGTCCCTCCTGTTTTGAGCAGCTCCTAAATGGCGTGTCTGATAGAAAGAGGGTGTGATCAAGCGACTGAAAGACAGAGAAAGAGTGAGTGTGTTTGAGAGAAACGGAGAGCTATGGGGGGGGGTTGAGAGCGAAAGGCCAGCCCCTCCAAGTCTCCGTATTTTCCAGGGACAGCCCCAGATTTACAGAAACCGTCCCGGTTTCTGGCTTGATCCCAGAATGTTCCGCTTTTCCTTAGGACATCCCTATTTTCATCACAGAAATGTTGGAGAGTATGAAAGGATGGAGTGGGCAACCTTTTTTCTTTCAAGGAACAAATTATCTTGGGGATATTATGGGGTTGCCAGATTTCAAAAAGTTAAAATCCAGACGCAAATATTTCCCCTGACATTTAAAGCGACCTGCCCAGTTTTCGATGGTCGAATCCTGGCTACGTCTGAGAAAGTCTGGACGTATGGCAATCCTAGGATATTCTGTCAGGAGCCACACATTGACTGTGTGTGTGGCTAAAGCCAGTGGTGGGTGCAGCCAGAACCAAAAGAAGGCAGGCCACCCATTTTCTTTCTCTTTTCCCACCCCTTCTCTCCCTCTCTCCTGCCACCCCCTTTTCCTTTCACCTCTCTTTCCAACACCAGATCACTCTGGACATAGGCCCAAACTGAACTCTTACTGAGGGACTTTGAAGTTCTCCCATGGGCTGCTTGTGGCTCAAGGGATCTAGTTGCTCACCCTCAGTGTAGGAAGCAAGCCTAGGCCACCCTGAACTTCTCTCTGGCTGCCCCAGCTGAGCACAAGGAAGCGGAAGGAAAATTAACGTCTTACGCACTGTATTGCATGCGTTGGCCCTCTCGACTTTGGAGAGGCTGCTGGTATCCGTGTCGAAAACGTTCATCTTCTCCACTAGGCATGTCAAGGCTGTTTCTGTGGCTTCGCCCACTTTTTCGTAGACTTTCTTGGACTGTTAACAGGAAGGGAAAAGGGGGAAGAACAGTGAGCAGAAAGGAAAGATGCAATATAGTTCTCATAGAACCCAGTGCTGTGGGTTTTCTGGAAATGTGTGTTTCTTCCTTCTTTTAATAAACTTTTGTTAACACTTTCCACAATGCAAAGGAAGACAATGTGTGTTTCTGAACATCACTCGCTCTCAGTCCAGATTACCTCACAGGGTTGCTGTGAGGATAAAATGGGAGCTCCTTGGAAAGGTGGGGGGATATGAGTGTGATAAATATTAAAGACTATTATAATTATTATTTTCTAGAAAGGAAAATAACAGTAAGAAAAAACTCAGTGCCCCAAATTACAGATATTTTCTTTCATAAAATTTATATACCACATGATTACAAAAATATAACAATTTTTTTAAAAAAAAAAACCCTATTGAAAACATTCAAAATCATTATAATAAACAAACTGGTTTCAAGCACAACCCACCTCATTGTAATCTAGGGAGGAGTCGTTGCAAAGGGCACAAATTGTGGCAAGTTCCACCAGGCCGTCATACTGTCCACAGCGAACAGGCCTGTCATTCTTGAAGCTGCCATTTAAAAGTGGAGGGATATTGTCATTATTAACTAACATTATGTACTGTTGCTATAATACAAATACCTTTACTGGCATTACAAGTTAAGGCATTTCAAATCACTGGGATAACTTTAAAAGGGACAGGAGTTATTGTACTGTTGTTGTTGTTATTGTTATTTGTATACCCGCAAGTCTCAGGGCAGTCCACAAGATAAAATCACAATATAAAAGCACAAAATACACAATAAAAATAAAAGCAAGAGCAACCCAATAATCCTTCCTCCCCAACACATTTTAAAAGGGCATAGGATGTCAAATCAACCAAAGACCTGGTTAAAGAGGAACGTTTTTGCCTGGTGCCTAAAGGTGTAAACATTATCCCACAAATGGGGAGCCACTGCAAAAAAGGCCGGTTTTCATATTGCCGCCCTCTGGCCCTCTTGTGGAAGAGGCACATGAAGAAGGGCCTCAGAAGATGATCTCAGGGTCCGGGAGGGTTTATATGGAGAGAGGCGTTCCTTGAAGTATTGTGGTATTATATCTTTGCTCATCGCCTTTAACGAAGCGTCACCAAACAACTTATGAAACAATTGAAATACAGAATGACTTCTCAAACACTGATAATCCTGAATCCAGAATAGAATGTAAGCACAATAAGTGTTCATCCATCAACAAGAATAAAAGGGGACGAACCTTATACCCACAGTTGAAATCAAAACAAACTGGGACTGTTTGCACCAGGAGATATTGAACAAAAGGATGGAACCATTTGTTTATTTGTTTTTATTATTTATCTGTCTCTGGGATTTCTGTCCTGACCTGCTATATAAATAACACAGTACAGTGGTTCACAAACTTTTTCCTCCCACGGACTGCTTGAAAATTGCAGAGGGTCTCGACAGACGGCTTAGGGATTTTTCTGCCCCTTGCAGCAATTGCAATTTTAAATAAAATTGTATTTTATTAGCGTTCAATAAAACTGACTAAAACCAGTGAGGGGAACAGAGGTCTGAGGGATTATTGGGGGGCGGGGGCGAGTCATGACTTGTTACCATGAGATGATACTGTTTAAATATATTGTACAGACGGGGTCTCTAAGGCTTTGTTGCTGAGGCAACATTCTGGAACATTCTAGGGGGCAACCAGCAATTTGGAGTGCTGGTCACCTCACCATCCTGCTCGCCTCGCCTCAAAAAGGATATTACAGAGTTGGAAAAGGGAGACTAAAATGATTAAGGGGATGCAGCAACTACCCTACATAGAAAGATTTGTGACTTCTTTAGAGAAACCCTGTGTAAGGGATCATCCGCATTTCTGCCTGGGTCCCGTGCATGGGTCTGAGTGGTTTTGCCTTTGCCCTGCTGCTTTCCCTCAGAAAACCCACTAGTTTGCAATAAAATCAATTGCCATTTGTTCCAATTCCGCGCCAAAGATCGGGTTTCCTCAGGGGAAAGCGGTAGGGCAAACGGAAGTGTAGATAAGCCCTAAGAGATGGCTGCTTCTTGGGAGAAAAGCAATGACAAACCTAGACAGCATCTTAAAAAGCAGAGACATCACCTTGCCAACAAAAATCCGTATAGTTAAAGCTATGGTTTTCCCAGTAGCGATGTATGGAAGTAAGAGCTGGACCATAAAGAAGGCTGATCGCCAAAGAATTGATGCTTTTGAATTATGGTGCTGGAGGAGACTCTTGAGAGTCCCATGGACTGCAAGAAGATCAAACCTCTCCATTCTTAAGGAAATCAGCCCTGAGTGCTCACTAGAAGGACAGATCCTGAAGCTGAGACGCCAATACTTTGGCCACCTCATGAGAAGAGAAGACTCCCTGGAAAAGACCCTGATGTTCGGAGAGACTGAGGGCACAAGGAGAAGGGGACGACAGAGGACAAGATGGTTGTTTAGTGTTCTCGAAGCTACCAGCATGAGTTTGACCAAACTGCGGGAGGCAGTGGAAGACAGGAGTGCCTGGCGTGCTCTGGTCCATGGGGTCACGAAGAATCGGACACGACTAAACAACAAGGGATGGCAGGATAGAAGTTTATAAAATTATGTGGGACACAGGGAAAGTGCATACAGAAAAATTTCCCTCCCTCTCTCATAACACTAGAACTTGGGGACATCCAATGTTGGAAGATTCAGGACAGAGAAAAGAAAGGACTTCTTCACACAACACCAAGTTAAACTACAGAACTCACTCCCACAGGAGGCAGTGATGGCCACCAACTTAGATGGCTTTAAAAGGGGATGGTTACTATGGCGATGCTTTGCCTCCAGAGTCGGAAACAGCAATGTTTCTGAATCCCAGTTGCTGGAAACCACAGGAGGTCCTGTTTGCGGGTTTCCCAGAAAAGGCATCTGGTCGGACCCTGTGAGAACAGGATGCTGGACTAGATGGGCCCCCACTGGCCTGATCCTGCAGGTTCTTAACTTGCTCCAGCTTGCGCCTCATATGGAGCTGTCTTTCCTGAAATGGAACAGGAAGCTTCGTATGCAGTGCCAGGCTGTGACCACTCAGAAATACTGAAAACGGACTTTGCACATTCTCAGAGGCTCTCCTCCCACAAAGCTGCCCTACACTAAGCCAGGCCTTTGGTCCATCTAGTTCAGTACTGTCTGTTTTGACTGGCAATGGGGTCTTCGGCAGAGGTCCTTCCTGCCCGCTACTACCTCAAGCTTGTTTTAACTGGAGGGGTGCTGACCCTCTGGGCCCCCAGCCCCAGAAGCAGAGTCCTTCCCAAATCCCAGGCTGAGGGCTGCCCACCCCCCATCCAGACTGCTCAAATTAGACCCTGAGCCTGCCCGATTAAATCCCTGTGGAAAAGCCATTTTTGGAAGGCCAGAAGGAGGCCTTCTGTCAACGAGCTGTTTCGAACGGAGTGACAAATTGTACCCTTTCATGAGACATTAGCAAATGTCTTGGACTAAGCACAGCTGGGATGGAAAAGTTCTTTGCTAATTAAGGGATCATTAGAGTCCCGGGGGGGGGGGGGAGAAAAAAGTTTATATATCGAAGAGGAGAAGGGAATTAACACTCAAATAATTCTAGATCTCTTGCCAGGGTTTTGTTTTTGCTGAAACTCCATAGGAATGTGGAAAAAGGAGCAGAGTATTTTAGCTTCCTTGTTTGTTTGTTTGTTTAATATGTACCAGTAAGTTTCTAGAACGTGTGGCCACAGAGATCTGCTTGAAAGTTTTCTGGCTGCTGAAAATTTAGAAGCCAGAGGAGCCGAATAAAATTTACACTGGTGCAGGTGAGTGTTCAGCTTAGCTCTTCAGCCCGCAAGACCAGAGTTTCAAAAATATTGCAGGGTAGAGAAATAAAGTCTAGAAATTTACATATTAAGTGAAGTACCCAAATGCTGAGATTCTCTGCTCTTTTTTTGCATTGACATTCACACTGCTCCAAATTTTGCAGTGCAGTTCTCCAGCAACAACAACAAAAAGTGTGCAAAGAAGGATATATGAGGGGAAAGTGTGTACCGAAAATTGTATGCAACAGCGAGGGATAATAGGTTGCAAAATATAGGTATCAGGCAAGACTGCATAAAATCATTAGGAGAAATATCCATGAAACTGTATATGAATTTTTGTGCTGATGCAGAAATGAGGCAAACTGAAGATTGGAGAAATAGGAAATGGAGAGAAACCGATCCCTATGAGGTCCATCCCTCCCCAAGTATAATTTGCCACTATTTACATGGTGGATCCTGCTTGTGCAACCCTTGGATGCAAGACGTGGATCCCCACAGATCCCGGAGCTAAACCTGCAGCTCTTCTCCCTCGCTCTGCTTAGGCTCCACCCATTCCAAAGCAATTTGCTGTACATTCTTCCAAGTGGAGCTTTATTCCGCTTGCTGTTTCCCATGGATGCGCCTCTTAAAATAGCCCAAGATTCAAAACTGGATAAAAAAGTGACTTGACCCTGGTGATTTACAGCCTCATGAACTGCATCACGAATTCCGACTGGTTTGGAGCAGGATCTGAGCAGCTTACATGCCCCTAATGACACCACCGCAGTGCTCCATGGCAAAACTAAATTCAAATAAATTAAAATATGGAACCCGAAGGTCGTATGCAATGTTAGTCATACTCATACCCCAGAGAAATTAATGGTTTTATGTTAGTCATAGGAGTTGACTTCTTTGGAAGGTGTTGGACTCCCCTTCATTGGAGGCTTTCCAACAGAGGTGGGATTCCTCAGATGTGATTCCTGCATTGCAGGGGGTTGGACTAGATGACCCTCTGGGTCCCTTCCAACTCTATAAATGTACAATTCTATGTCTATTATTGTCAATGGGTCTATTTTGAGCGTGACGACCACTGGATAGAATGCAGAATTTTTTAGTGAACATGGTTATATGAGGACCAAATCAGGAAATTGTTTTTCAAAAACCAGCCATAGAAAATCTAGTGCTCAAACCCAGAAGGCCTTAAAAGAATTATCTTCGGACTTACAGAATAAAGATGTCTGGCAACTGGCTATCCCTGAGAAAATAACTCATAACTTGAAAGCAATTAAAGGAACAAAACAGAAAGAAAAACAGACAAATTTGAGGCAGTACAGTAGAGTGGTCATTCTTTCAAAACGAAACAGGTCTTAAAAGGTAAACTCTCCAAATCATCTTTGCAGATATGGCTATCCTGAACAACACAGCTTGAAATATAGCCTTCCCTAGGAACAATTATCCATGATGGATTTTTAAAAGAAAAAACTTTTGTGCTGTGCCCGATACATTATATGATGGAGATTTGGATAATTTGCATGGGTTAATAAGAATAATTTATGTTAATGTGCCATCTGATATCTGTTATGGGGGTGAGGATGCTGTGTTATATATTTGTTACTATATTTAAAAAAACCCCAGGAGATTTTATATAAAATAAAGGAAAAAATGGCAATGAAAGGGCAGGGATAGTTAGATCAGAGCTGTGCGAATAGTTAGATCAGAGGTGTGGCACAGGAAGAAACGGGGTTTAACCCAAGGACGGAAAACCTCCAGGTGTTACTGGACAGTAACTCTCAGCAGGCCCAGCCAGCCTCAAAAATTGCCCCCATCCAGCTTCCTTTTTTAAAGAAAAAAATCATGGAACTCCCCTTTAACAGCTTGTTAGATCATAGAGATTTTTAATGTTTTAAGTAAGGGCAGAATAAGCCTCATGTGCTCCCTTTGTGAAGGATGAAACCCAGACCATCTGGAAATCAATGCACATGGCAGAACTGGCGACTGGTTATTTTGTGTGTGTGTGTGTGTGTGTGGTAGGTGGGTTTTATTGGAAGATGGCGGCTGGAAGGTTCCGGAAAACCAAAGCAAACAGAAGAGGCGTTTTACAAGATTCACAGAAGGGATCTTCCTGTTCTCTCTCCACGCCACATGGCACATCCTGGGGCTAAAGAATAAATTTAAAGCTGGGTGTCCCCAGCACTGCCAACCCAGAGCTGCAACTTTCATTTTATGCATTTAAAACGTTTTTAACCTTGCTTTTCAAATTTGTAGAAATTTCGGAGGAGGATTACAATCTACTAGGCCTTTTGGAAAGTTGTTTGTTCACTATGCACTTGGGACACTTCTTAAGATATTGAAATCAAATATGGCATGATGGTTTCTGAGATCAAGGAGCAGGTTTTCATCTATGTTCAGATACAATCGGACAGCATTTTGAATCAAGATGGCAGAATGAATCTTCCAATACTGCCTTGTTTTTTTTTGGATCCTTAGAATTCCTGAGCAAAGCCAAGTGCAAGGCTGCTAGTATATAAATGAAATTAAAATTAAATCTCTAATCTAATTAAGTATACCCTGGTTGACATTCCTTTCTGAGCCTGCCTCTAGATAACTTTGCTAGCTCTCTACTTGATAAATAAAGGCAAAGAGAAGTGCCAAGTGCTTACATTTGTCCCTCCGGTGTGTACGTAGACCCGGAGATGGTGAACTCATGCAGGCTGCAATGGATTCCTTCTATCTTCTCAACAATGAACATCTGCAATAAAGGCAGAGAGAGGGAGAGAGGGAAAGGTGAGCAATGGAAAGAATCCCACATGACTGAGTAATAATTTTTCAAAATGCAGTAATGCTCCCATTCTCCCCATTTGTTCATTTATACCTGGCCTTCCTGCCAAAAAGCGCATTTTAGACACAATCCACTAAAACAGGCTAACAAACGACACAAAAGGAAACAGGGTTGGGGAGGGGAGGGGGGGGAAAGCAAACTTAGGTGGTGATTATTAAACTGTATTTCTTGCAATTCAAACATTGCTCTGTGGCAGTGTGGAAAATGAAGCCATAGGCAATCCCTCAGTGCTTCTTGGAGCACCATGATCACAGCAAGGCAAGTTGTGCAGGATCCGCCGACAGAGGAGGAGGCCCTCACTAAGGGAAACTTTGATCAGAGCACCATCAAAGCTAGAGAAGGTCTTACTTCGGGGGCAGGCATGTTCAGAGGCAGCATGTTTCCCAATTTTTATTTTTATTTTGGTTCAGACATCTCACCAAACCATGACTGGCACAAGTTATGGTGTATAAAGTTCTCTTCACCATTTTAAGCTCACAACACCTTTTGCGGTAGGCTAGGTTGAGAGTAAGAGACGGACTGTCACATCACAAGGTCACACAGCTCTGTGGCTGAGTGGGGACTAGAACCCGGCTCTCCCCAGTCTTAGTCTAGCACTCTAGCCAGGGCCAACTCACCTATTAGCTCTGGTGAGGGAGCCACCTCAGGCAGCAGGCTGGGGACAGCTGGGAGGGGTAGCAGATCTGGGTCCCTGAGAAGTGTGTCGCTCCCTGCCTCCTGCATTTGTTGCCTGTGGCCTCTGCCTCACAATGTCCTCTCTTGGCCTCCTTTTTTCTTCAGCGCACCAGGGCTTCCCCAGGTTTCTTCCAGTCGCCTCAGGCGGAAGAGGCAGGGGGAAGGCAGCGACGGTAGTGGGGGAGGAGGGCACAGTGGCATACCGTGGGGGAAGCCACAAGGGCAATTGCCCCAGGAGCAAAATTGTTTGGGGGCACAAAATTTCAACTCCTGGTGCTGCCTCAATACAGCTACATGCTTCCGTCGCTGGACTCCATTGAAAATGGCTTCTCCTTGAGAATTGGGAAGTAGCCTCTCCAGACAACAGAATGTCTCTTCTTTTCTTATCTCTACGGCTGTGATCTCCCGGGTGACATGGACGCCATTGGGCATTTCAATGCGCATGCGCTCTCCATTTCCCTCCCTCCGCACGGCCCCGGGCACTGGCAACCCATGCTACACCACTGAATGGGCACCATATTCTATTTTGCCTCAGGCGGCAAAATGTCTTCTTCTACCACTACGCTGCTTCTTACCACTACGCTAGCTCAACTCTCTCACCTTATGTGCACTAAACATTCCTGACAGTGAAGAACTACGAGTTTCAGCATCATTAGTTCTGCTCCGGCAAACATTTCCGCTGGAGCCGAACGGAGAGGATCGAGGGAGGAATTCAGCAGAGGGACAATTTGGTGAGCAGCTTCACTAATTAATGGGAAGTGCAGCTTGGCGTTCCGGTCCATGTGCACAACACTTCAGCCAAGCGAATTTACGGGGGTTTCAGAAAGCCCATGGTATCTACAGAACACCCCCACCTCACCCCACGCCAGATGAGCAAGAGACACTGCTATGATTTATGAGAATGAAGAGGATATCAGAGGATATCCACAAAGGCAGCACGGGTTGCCAACGTTTCTCTTTTAGTTATGCTCCTGTGCTTTGAAGCAGCGCATGCAAGAAAAACGATGGGTGTCAGGAGCTCCTATGATCCATGTGAGGCTGCCTCATGTGGTGATCCTTTGGATCGCAGGCAGCAGCTTCTCAGCGAAGGACCCTCAGGCCCTAGACTGAGTTGGCCCTTGCAGGTATTTTCTTTTCACACAGACACACACCCCACTGTTAAGAGAACCGTACATATCACCTCGAGCTCCTTGGAGGAAAGCTGGGAAATAACTCTTTTTATTATTAATAATATTTTATTGGGAGAATTTCAGAATTTCAGTTATAAGAAAGAAAGAAAGAAAAGAATCAAGGAATCAAGGAAGGAAGGAAGGGGGGGAATCTTGTTTTTTCATGAGAGATCTCGGCGGCCATTTTGAGTGCAAGATACATGCTTAAGCGTCGCCACCCGTTGTGAAGAAATCCCACCCTCCAGAAATCAAATAGGGAACAAAGCCCTCTGCTCTTTGTGTTTCAAGGAAAGGGCTGAGAATATACCATTTCAACTGTATCCAACTTCATTTTCTAAAATTAGGCAATGGAGAATAAACAGCAAGCCTTGCAGGGACTCTATCTTCCGTGGGCAGAGGGAAAAGCTCATTAAAAACAGCTGGATTCCACCCTACCTTTTTGTCCAAAATATCTGTTAGAGATGGAAATTTATAAGCTCACATGGTTAATTTCTGATTTGGGTGTGTGTAGAACATTACTATGCTTTTCAGGTCTTTTCATGAGCACTGCAAGTAGGTCCACCAGATTCAAAGGAATACACCCAAGAATGGACACCTGAGGGGTCTCAGAGGGCAGGAATGGCCAGTGGTTGGGACAGAAAGGCCTGATCTCGTTCTTCCAATGCATGCTGGGAGTAGGCAAGATGGATACAGAGACCAAGTGAGGTGCCTCAGAGGGATTTTTGGCTCATCGGCCCCTGGGCCTATTTGCCTGTGATTTGGTAGGCTTCAACTACTCTGGATGGGTAAGGAGCCTGCAAATTTCATCCACTTCTGTCAAAAGGTGTGGAGGAAAGGTTAGAGAGTTCTTTTGTTTCTCACTAGTAAACTGGAAGGTCAGAGAAACCCTGAGTCAAACTGGGGAGTGGTACAAAGCACCCTGGATCACAGCAGCGCTGAATTGGGGACCAAACCAACTTTTGTGGTCAGTGCACACAAATCCTTGTAAATAATACACAGGAAGCAGAATCTGGTCATGGAGGAGTGGACTGTACCACATGCAGACTTTGACTGGGGGAATACATTCTTTTTTTATGAAGCAAAAGAATTAGATCCATCAAGGAAAAAGAACCTACCTCAAGATATACCCTAATTTTTTGGTTGCAGGATATAAATCACGTAGGGGGAGCATTCAATAAGCAATTCCCCACACATAGCTGGATATGAGAAAGTAAAAACAGCACCCACCCAATTCTTCTGAATGAGCTGGCGCCAACCAGATGAGAACAAAACGAAGAAAAAATAAAAAAAGTAAGATGAAAATAAAAATGAGCTCTTGTGAGTTGTATACATTTGAGTCTTCTCAGCCCCCAAATTCCCGATTACTTCCTCCTGGCTTTTGTTCAGTGTAACTGGACTGTCAACACTGCTGAAACCTGGTTAATGTACCAGAACATACCTGGCCTGGAGGATGCATTTTGGGGAAGATGACAGATTGAGCAAAGAGGGGGTGGGCTGAGTTGCGGCAGACAAAACCAGCTTGCAATTTCATTTCATTTTTTAAAGTAACCCTTTTTGAGAGAGAGAAAGACTAAGAAGCAGCACAGAGACATCCAGGGAAGACCCAAACAGCAGCTCTGTATTCTCTGAGCACATTCAACAGTGTCATGAGGACTGTTCACACATTACATCCCGTACGCTTGTGTGTACAACTGCCTGAACGCTTGTAGAGTTTGGGTTTGATATCCCGGCTTTATCACTGCCCTAAAGAGTGCCTGGCATGCTCTGGTCCATGGGGTCATGAAGAGTCGGACACGACTAAACAACTAAACAACAACAAGGAGTCTCAAAGCAGCTAACAATCTCCTTTCCCTTCCTCCCCCACAACAAACACTCTGTGAGGTGAGTGGGGCTGAGAGACTTCAAAGAAGTGTGACTGGCCCAAGGTCACCCAGCAGCTGCATGTGGAGGAGCGGAGACGCGAACCCGGTTCCCCAGATTACGAGTCTTCTGCTCTTAACCACTACACCACACTGGCTCTCTGTACATATCTTTGGGTACGTAAAATCACAAAGAGAGCCCTGCTGGATCAGGCCAATGGCCCATCTAATCCAACATCCTGTTCTCACAGTGGCCAACCATGCCTGTAAGAAAAACAGCAAGCGGGACCCGTGCACGAGAAGCCTCTCCCTTCCTGCTGCTTCTAGCTGCTGATATCTGTCCTAAATCTTCCAACATCCAGCTTTATGGAGTGACCACGACTTCCAGTGGCTCTGCAGCTTGACAGTACAAGATCGGAAAGTCGGCATGCCCTAACCGAAGCCACACCTGTCTTGTTCTTGGACAGCTGTGAGAAAAGACCTTGAGTCAGTTCCTCCAGATGAGTGAGCTTTTTGGTCCTTTGCCAGTGGAGTTTTCCATCTTTTTGACGCATCTGTTAGCTTGCATCCTTAAGCCTTTTAAAGTAAATGGGGCTTTGTGGAACTGGCTGCCCTCCAGCCCCTTTCAGACTGGCTTGAGGAGGATTGAGCGCTTGCCCGTCCGGTTTGGGGATTAGCCCCCTGCTATTTCTGCTCGGGTGTTTACATTCGTCCTGGAAAGATGTTCTTTTTATTAAAAAAAAAAAAGCACACACAAACTGTGCACAGAGCAGGATACCTGCTGGATCTCTCGCCGCTGAACTCTTGAGCCCTGCCTTCGGTTGCGTTGGCCACCAAATGGAGAGGGAGAGGAATGCAGAGCTCGGTTGCCATGGGATACGGCGTTGCCTTTCTGAATGCCACAGGCCAAATCCTGAATTCTTCGTCTAAAAATGCCCAGGCTGGTACATGAAGTGACCAGAAAGTCAGGAGAAGATCCGTAGCTCAGTGTTGGAGCATCTTCTTTGCATACAGAAGATTCCAGGTTCAATTCCTGGCACCTCCTGGTAGGGATGGGAATGTCCCCTGTCTGAAACCCTGGAGAGTCAGTGTAGACCAGGCACCCCCAAACTCGGCCCTCCAGATGTTTTGGGACTACAACTCCCATCATTCCTAGCTAACAGGACCAGTGGTCAGGGATGATGGGAATTGTAGTCCCAAAACATCTGGAGGGCTGAGTTTGGGGGTGCCTGGTGTAGACAACGCTGAGCCAGATTCCTATGTTTTTAAAAAGAGACTTAATCCATAGATGGGTACATGCCATACCCCTGGGAACCTCATCTCTGCTGAATTTTCTGCCAGCCAGCTGGATTTTGTCGTCTACATCCCTTTCTGCTAGATCTAGGGATTCACGTCTGACCCGAAGCCTCCAGCTTTGCCCGACCCCCTTCAGGTGGCAAGTGGCAGGCTTGAATCTTCAAGTGGGCAAGAGTCCCTTTAACAACAATTTTTAAAAATTAAGAAGACTGTACATGCGGCTTCATAACCATAAGACCCCAGAGCCACAAGTGGTACGCCTCTGCCCGAGGACCTAAATCTCTGAGTGAGGGGAAGATGCATCTAATCTCTAGTGCACATGCATATAGATGCAAAATGCATGTACACTAAGGTTCCACGCAGTACCCAGCAGCCATTTCACACCTTGCAGATGCTAAGAGAACTGGGGTGCCACAAGCACCTCTCGATTCTTGTCATGGAAACATTGGAAGGCTTTACTGCCAGAGGCACCTGGGAATGCTGAAGGGCCTCGATTTCTGTGGACAGACCAGATCCACATCTCCCGGGCTAATGTGAAGATCGGAACAGAATTACCTTTCAGATTTCACACTTCTCCGAATTTTGCCACATAGTTCTTGGCTCAAAACAGTCTCCATTTGCATTTGAAAATAAAATAAAATCCATGCGTTAGAACAGAATGCATTAAGAAATGTGTACAATGAGGAAAAAAATCCACATGGGAACCTCAGAAACATGCCACTGCAATATAACGTACATGGGGTTGCTTGGAGATTTCTTGGAAAGTTCAATTAGTACAAACTGCAGATGCTGGGTGGATAATTTGGCAACACATCCGGGCAGTGCTTGAACAGCTGCAACAACTACTGGTCTGTTTCTGAGCATCACACTGAATGCCATGGGGGGGGGTGATGTCTTCCCCACATTAGTGTCGCCCCCCCCATCTCAACTGCCAATCAATCGGGGGATGAAGGCACTTGGACCTCTCATCTGTTCAGAGTGAAGGGTGGGTATCTAATCCTGGCAACCCAGGAAATGTGTGCACATCTGAGGGGACACAGGAGAGGCTGAGGCAATGCAAACAGGAAGGAAGAGCAAACAGTCTTTGGTGCATTGTGGCGTTTTCAGTGGATATTTATTTTAGCGAAGTCTCTTAAATACCATAGATGAGAGTCCAGAATGAAAAGAAATCCTGGTATGCTACACGGAAGAAATAAAACAAGAACAGTGTATGATTTGAGGAGAAAGGAACAGAGAGGGTTTCGTATTCTTTTGTACATAGCAGGAAGACTTACAACCAAATATAGATGAAAAACTTCCTCAGAACTACAGTCAACAAGGACAGGTGGTACCTCAGTAAACATCTTCCTGGTTGCTAAGAAGTACAGTCTTTTGTACATTTTTGAGGGGATATTTATCATTGCAGTCAAAAGTAGGAAGCACTTGTGGGTTGCTGCTCGCCTAGTTATTCCCATTAACTAATCCAGCAAGTCAATTTCTTATTTCAAATATCCAAAAAGCTATACAGGCCAGACCTCCAGCTCAGGCTAACATTTCTGAAGGGGGAGAAAAAGCAACACAATAACATCCTTTTGTTTCTGGAAAAAAATATTTCTCATCAGAGAGGGAGAAGGAAGATAGAAAATGCAGGGCCTCTCATCTCTCTCTCGGCCATCCCTTTGAAATGATGAGCCCAAATTCACAGCAGCTTGAGCAGTGAGCCACCATCGCCAAAGTCTTATCATTAATTATATCATCTCCTACTCAGCAACCTGAACACACACTTAAAAGCTTGCCAGCTAAATACCTTGTTGATGAGGTGGGGAACTCAAACAGAGCGATAAAGGGATTTGCTTAATCGACAAAAGGTCCGGCACCTCATACAAAAAGGCCTCCTGTTTTTTTCAAGAACAGATTAAAAGGGTCTAAGGATGATGGTTCAGCTGTCCTTCAAAAAAAAAAAAAAAAAGGGTGTAGAAGCAAGGACACAGAAACATTGACTAATAACGAGACACTCTGCACAAGAGGACATGCTCACCCTATAACGTTTAAAGCACTAGGATTCCATAACCCCCAACATTCCTCAAATGAAAATAGGGACGTTCCCTTCTACATCAGAGCCGTCATCCCGCTGCATCCTGTATATATGAACACTGCCAATGGAATATAGGAAAAGAATGGGGCTGACTGAGCTGCCCCAAATGGCTGTCACCAAGAGGAGTATGTAACAGTACCGTGTCAGCAAATGTCCCGGTTATATGTGTGAACCTTAGAGGATATATGGCAAAACTGCGGGGCTTCCATCAGTCCGCCTTGGGCATCAGAGGAGGCACCCACACCAAATGTTCACAAGGCGGTACCTCCATGCCAGGAACGTAGTCTCTATAGTCAGTGGTTGGAGGGACCGCCGAAGGGCCCCTGTGCGCCTACATGAGCTGGGGGCCCCAAGGCCACTCCTGCCACCACCATCACCGTAATTGAGCAGTACCGGCTGGTGGAGTGAAGGCACCCCAAACCTCCCCTCCTCATGCGTCCTGCTGCGCCACCGTGAGGGGGCTGGGCCTCCTCCCCCTGCCCCCTTTCCGTGCTTGCAGAATGAAGGACTCTGTGTGACATAGCGAGAAGAAGCCACGATGGCTTATGGGTTTTCGTGACAGTCGCGGCATTTTGGGGGCACTTGGAGACCATTAACAGCTATGGCTTCCCGCAAAGGATTCTGGGAGCTAGACAGTTGTTAGGAGACACCCTATTCCCTCCCCTCAAAGGACTAAAATGGTTTAATGGCCCATTCATATTCACAGGCAACTCAAGGAATTGTAGCTCTGTGAGGGGAATTCTGGGACCAGCAGTTTCTTAAGGACGCTGAAGATTGTCAGGAAACACCCACACAGAGCTACAGTTCCCACGGTTCCCTGTGAAGAGGAATTCCACTCTGTAGCTCTGGGAGCAGAATACGGGTTTCCGAACAACTCACAGTCCCCTTTACAAACTACAGTTCCCAGGATGCTTTGGGGGAAGCCATGATGGTTTAAAGAGGTATCATAGTTTTAACCATGGTCTCGCAGGTCCTAATGGACACTCCTTGCCACTGAGGCGGCCCGTTCCTCACAGGACAGTGCTGATCTAGGAGTTACCCTCAGGCTATGCATCTTCCCCATCCTCCAATAGGACACAGGAACCACCCACCAAAAGCGCCCCCTTCTCGTCTCAACGATGCCTTTAGATTGACAGCTTTCTTCTGGGTGACCGAGAGGTCAGTGCTAAAAACAGGAGCACGAGTCATCAGGAACGAAGCTGCCCGTGCATGCTAATTAAATTTGGTGAGGTGGGAAGAGGCGGGTGAGTCATATCTTGGAAGTGTTGCTGACCAAAAGCCTACTCAATCCTGTAGAAACTGTACAGGGCGGGATTTAAACAAGTTGCAGCCCTGATCAATCTGTGATTTATTTATTTATTAAAAAGGCATTTTCAGCAAATCCCAGAGGGCCACAAGGGAGTTCTGTCATTAATTAGTCTTTTAATTAACTCTGCCCAGGGCTGTATCTTCTCTGGCTGATTAAAAAGAAATTCAAATTTTTGCATCAAGGAAAAAAACAAATCTCCAAAACAGGTGGCAGAGGAGAGGGAAGGGCCGTCCTAAGACATTTCGATGCTGTAGGCCAAACATCCCGATGATGACCTGTCCCTCATGCCTACTGTGGATGTGAGTTCCATAGGTAAACTATGCACTCCATGAAGGACTTGATTTTCCGGGAGTGAGGCACCAACAGGCAATTAGTTTCAAAGAGGCTTCCCTTACTGAAACTGAGATTGTTGTCTTGTGTGGGGCAGAGGTCCAACGAGAGACCCCCTAACAAGCTGAACCAGAAAAGGCTTCTTCAAGATCTGTCCCCCAAACATTCTGCGGGCCATGGAAATCACCAAATTTCGCGTTCAGTAGCATCTGATAAAATTCTGAGACCAGACCCTTCCTGGCGTTCATTTTCAAAGGCTTTCAATGGTCTAGGAGCCATTTGCTATGCAAAGCTGTAGGCCTGTAAGTGCTGTTAGCTAATGCTTTCTACACATCAACTTTCCATGTTTCCACTCCTCCTCTGCAGTAGAACCAAGCTAACCATTTATACAGGATTCTCCCAGTTTACACAATGGTAAGGGCAGGGTGTGAGCCAAGCTGTTTGGTGACAAACAACATCTTCCCTGGAGAAGGGGGTGTTTCACAGCAGCCAAGCAAATATTTAACTTTGTAATCAAGTGTGCAAACCTACTAACAATTTCCATATTCCTGCTATTAAGCCTTTGCCTTTATTTAACCAGGGAACTCCTGATGGTTACACATTAGCTAAGAATTTGAATCTTCTCCCAGAGACGTTTGGTGCCTGGAAGAATAAATATTTATCCAACGGATCCAGCATTTCACTCTTGGAAATTCAGACAGCACCTGTCCTTAAAATGGACTTGAATGCGGATTCTCCCCTGCAGGTGCAAAGAATGACATCAAAGCCCCAGCAACTGGGGATCTAAATACCTGAAGGAATGATTCTGCTGATAACTGCCTGCCTGGGTTTTAATATCTTCAGTGGATGGTCTTTAGCGCTGCAGAGGTGGGGACCTATTTTTTTTGGCCCAAGGACCTCAAAATATTTCGGTTCCCCATCCCTTGCTTGACCAATGAACCAACTAAGTATTGCAGCCTTACTCTTAAAATGCTTATTTATTTCATACAATGTACACACTGCTTGATAATTTTTTAAAAACACAAACCCTCAAAGCATTTTACAAAAGGAAAAGCAGCTATTTAAAACATTCAAATATAACTAAAATCAACAATGAGCTAAAAACAGATTAAGACACATGGCAACATTCTACACGTCTGGGTAAGCTTGTCTAAACAAAAATGTTTTTAGCAGACGCGGAGACGAGAAGAGTGAAGGTGCCTTTCTGATGTCTTGCCTTGCTGTCATTAGGCTCAAATTTAAACAATAACCTTAAATGCAGAGGTTTATTGTTTTTTCCTGTTATCGGCAGCCCGATTAACAATAGCCTGATACCGGAAACAATCTACAGAAAACCCCACTGAAATCTGGCTAAATAAAATTTGGAATGTGGCTCTATCTTGCCGCAGAAGGGTAATTAAATGCACTTCAGGGATAGACACTTTTTGTGAGACTTGGCTTCCTTCCTTTTCCTTTATAAATGAGACAGAATATACCATTATTCCACCCTCAACACAAGAATCTCTTTGGCAAGGCTACTTAAATTGATAATACATAAATAAACATATGAAACGACCACTGGACAAGCTATGGTAGTTATACAGTGGTACCTCGGGTTAAGTACTTAATTCGTTCTGGAGGTCCGTTCTTAACCTGAAACTGTTCTTAACCTGAAGCACCACTTTAGCTAATGGGGCCTCCCACTGCTGCCGTGCCGCCGGAGCACGATTTCTGTTCTCATCCTGAAGCAAAGTTCTTAACCTGAGGTACTATTTCTGGGTTAGCAGAGTCTGTAACCTGAAGCGTATGTAACCTGAAGCGTATGTAACCCGAGGTACCACTCTATGTTCTTGGATTTAAACGAAAAACAATAAAAGTATGGGGAGGGGGGCGGAGAGAAGAAGCCCCTGACTGGTAGATTCCAACAGCAAGCCAGGCTCTTGCTTATGCTAGAATCAGGGAAAAATCTTCCCCTGTTTACCCAACTCCGCAAAGCAGCTTCCTAGAGAGATGAGCTGTTCCCTCCCACCAGTGGATTAGTAAGAGATGCTTCTACCACTGAACACGACCCCATCAGTTTTGCATAGAACGGCTTGCTGCCTCCCCCACATTCATTGCAAAAGAAAGAAAGAAATTAACTCAGGTCATTCATGCAGCTGCAACTCTCAGGAAATACTTAAAAGACATCTCCACTCTATTGCTGCCACCACCTGTCCCAGTCCAGACACTGATTTGCTTCCCAGTCCCAAAGAAACACATCCTTGCAAGCGCTAACATTCACCAGCTGGAACAAAATCAGAGATGTGTTTCCAGAAATGGGCTCCCACATGGATCTTTGGGTTAAATCTTCTTGTGACAAATGCAAGGCGTTTATGTGGGAAGGGGTTTACGAAGTACCTGTTAAGATCGATGTAGATCTTATGACTTCCCACGCGTTTTTTTGCAAAATCGGGTCTCCTCTGCAGCCTTCCCAAACAGTAGCTAAGGAGGTCAATCACTCAAGTCAAGCAAGCTGGTCCTTTCTGGTTATTTGCCAGTAATTCAAGTCCTAGCTTGAGGTGGTGCAGTCCTTCTGCAGGGACTGTACCACCTTCATTTTCGCATCTGCCATAACGATGAAGCAGAAATCTTACCAACAAAATGAAGTTCAACCAGGCTTAAAAGGTTCCTGCAGTAACACCAAGAGGCATTCCTTTCGGGGGGGACGGGGGACGGGACTTATCACAATTTTCACAAGGAAACCAGAGGGCAGGACCCAGCCCACTGTGCCCACGACTCACCCTGAACACGGACATCTGATTGGTTGTCAAAGTGCCCGTCTTGTCAGAGCAGATGACCGACGTGCAGCCAAGGGTCTCCACGGAAGGGAGGCTCCTCACGATGGCGTTCTTCTTGGCCATCCGGCGGGTGCCCAGCGCCAGGCAGGTGGTGATGACCGCCGGAAGCCCTTCGGGAATTGCCGCCACGGCCAAGGCCACGGCAATCTTGAAGTAATATATCGCCCCACGGAACCAGGAGCCGCCGTGCACGGGGTCACTGAAGTGGCTGATGTTGATGACCCAAACGGCGATGCAGACCAAGGAAATAACTTTCGAGAGCTGCTGGCTGAATTCGTCCAACTTCTGCTGCAGGGGGGTTTTCTCAGGCTCGGTGGCGACCATCTGGTTCCTGATCTTCCCAATTTCGGTGTACACTCCCGTGGCAATGACGACGCCAACTGCTTTTCCTGCAGCGATGTTGGTACCCTGGAGATAAGAAATAGGGCTGTTTCATGTATTCTTATTTTTGCTATTATTCCTCAGCAATTAGTGTAGGTGATCAATGTTTAAATGGGGTTTCCAGGGGACTGAATCAGGCTCCCCCAACCTGGTGCCTTCCAGATGTTTCCGAATGATAACTTCCACCAGCCCTAGTCAGGGTTTAGACAGGGCTTTTCCCTGTGAAAAAAAGGATTGTTTGTTCAACCACTCTGGGAAGTGTAGTTCTGTGAGGGGAACAGGGGCCACCTAACAACTCCAGCTCCCAGAATTCTTTGGTGGAGGCCATGTCTGTTTGAAGTGGTATTATAGTGCTTTTAATGTATGGTGAGGATGAGGCCTGCATCAAGCTGAGCTACATAAGCAGCCAAACCCTGTAGCAGAGCTCTTGTAGTTCTGTTTAGGGGGGGATAGGGCCTGTTTACACAAACTAAGCTCAAATTTGCACATGTAAAAAGCACTGTTATACCGCTTTAAACAGCCATGGCTTCCCCAAAGAATTCTGGGAGCTGGAGTTTGTTGAGGGTGCTGAGAGGTATTAGGAGGTTGCCCTATTCCCCTCACAGAGCTACAATTCCCAGAATCCCTTGGGAAAGGGGGGTTCATTGTTAAACCAGTCTAGGGACTGCAGCTTTCTGAGGGGAACAGGGCATCTCTTGACAACTCTCAGCACCCTTAACAAACTACAGTCCCCAGGATTCTTTGGGGGAAGCCATGAACGTTTAAAGTTGCATCATAATGCTTTAAATATCTGGCATGACTGTGGCCTAACTCTGAGGTGGAAGAGTTATCCAAAGGTTGCTTCTTCACTGCCACCAGGCCTCCCCTCCATGAATTGCACAGTCCTCCATGACATGGCCTTCAAGAATTCAAATTAATACACCCCCCTCCCAAAGAATAGCCACAGATAGCCTTGTCCTCCATGAATTGTTCTAATCCTCTTTTAAAGCCCTCTGGGTTGATGGCCATCACAGCCTCTTGTGGCTACTTTAGGCATGAGGGTACTTACAGAAAAAAGCATGTTCTTTTTATCCTGGTTGACAGCCCTGGGGTCAGGAACTGGATCTGTGTGTTTGATGACAGAAACAGATTCACCTGCGAAGGAAAAATGATGTTGAGCATAATTACAAGGATTTCAAACTTGTACAGAATGAGAAGAAAACAGAGACAGGGGGAGGGAGGGAGGAGGGAGAAACATGTATACCCCTCTTTGTTCCTAGGAGGAAAAGCGGGCTATAAATTTAATAAATACAATAAACATCTAACAAAAAGCAGGGTAAGCACTGATTCCTGCATTGCAGGGGTTTGGGCAATTTTATGAATCTGACCAGCTGAGTCTCCTGTAGAAACATAGAATAACAATGAGGGTCATCTAAGTCCAACCTTCTGCAAGGCAGAAATCTTTTTGCACAACGTGGGGCTCGAACCCACAACCCTGAGATTAAGAGACTCCTGCTCTACCAACTGAGCTAGCTAAAGGTAAAGGACCCCTGGACAGTTAAGTCCAGTCAAAGGCGACTATGGGCTTGTGGCGGTCATCTTGCTTTCAGGCCAAGGTAGCCGGCATTTGCCCACAGACAGCTTTCCGGGTCATGTGGCCAGCATGACTAAACCGCTTCTGGCGAAACAGAACACCGTGGCGGAAACCAGAGCATATGGAAATGCCGTTTACCTTCCCGCCAGAGCGGTACCTATTTATCTACTTGCACTGATGTGCTTTCACACTGCTAGGTTGGCAGGAGCTGGGACAGAGCAACGGGAGCTCACCGCGACACACAGATTCGAACTGCCGACCTTCCGATCAGCAAGCCCAAGAGGCTCAGTGGTTTAGACCACAGTGCCACCCACATCCCTTCTGAGCTATCTGGGCTGGTCTCACTGCACCCAAAGTGAAAAAGATAAATCAGGGGAGGCAGGGTGCCTCAGCAGGCACCAAGGAAGGTTCTCAGGGTAGCATAGGACAAACACAGACACACACCAGTGAGAATGGACTGGTCTACTCGTAACGTCGTCGACTTGATCTCAATGATCCGGATATCGGCAGGCACCTTGTCACCAACTGTGAAAGGAAAAAGGACAAAAATATGGTTCACAAGCAGAAACTGTTTGCATCTGGTAACTGATTAAATAGGGGTGAAATGAGACTTCCCCTGTTCTGATTCCTTATTGTTTTGGTTAGCTGTGCCATGAATTCCAGTGTGGTGTAGTGGTTAGAGTGCTGGACTTGGGAGAGACCAGGGTTCAAATCCCCACTCAGCTCACTTGGGTGACCCTTGGGCCAGTCGCTCACTTTCAGCCTAACCTACATCACAGGGTTGTTGTGCAATAAAATGGGAGGAGAACTATGCATGCCACCTTGAGCTCCCCTGGTGGAATACTGTATATATGTAATCAATCAATCAATCAATCAATCAATCAATCCAGGAATTCTCTTGGATTCCAGGTTCACTAAAGCCTTATTAGCGCATTGCCAGGATTCAGCCCTGCCTAGAGCTAAAACCTGGGGTCTCCTTGGAGGAAAAGCAGAGGGCGCAGGAGACCCTAGCAGCCCCAGCAGCCAGCACGGCCAATGACCAGGAACGATGGGAACTGGGGTCCAGCAAGTTGCTGCAACTCTAGATATGCAAAAAGGAACTGTGGATTGGTTAGGGAACAATTCTTCGCAGTTCATCACACAAAAAGGTAAGAAGCACAAGGCAAAAACAAACCTACACAAAGCAAGGAAGGTCATACCTGCCACCTCTACAATATCTCCTGGGACAATGTCGCGTGCTCGGATCCGTTGAACTCCGTTCCTGTCTGCCCTGATCACCTTCCCCATTTCTGGTTCATATTCCTTCAAGGCTTCAATCGCACTCTCTGCATTCCTCTCCTGCAAAGATGGGCAGTTTTCACATTAACTGGGGAGGGGGCTAGAAATGGGCAGTCTCCCGCTCCCCCACAGTTAGCAGCTTTCCATAAGAACCTTCAAAAAAAATTGAGATCCGTCAATGAGTTGCTTCAGGTATCCATTCTCTTTGGGTGCCTATGCCCCACAAGGAGCAAGCCCAGTTCTGGTGGCCTTCTCTCCATTTGTTCATTTGGCTAGCCCACCCAAAGGTGCGTCTCTCAGACACCCAGTAGATCGTTGTGGCCTGCAGGGGAGCTTCTCCTGCAAAGTCCATAGATCTCAGGAGCCCCACTCTTCAGGAACTCTGAACAGGGCCTTAAGGGTGGCTGCCCCTGTTCTGTGGAACAGCATTCCTGTCAACAGGCCCTCACTCTGCACCTTCTGGAAACAACTGAATACATTTCGTTCCAACAGCCTTCCCCAGCTGGATAAAGGATTCTTTACCACAAGTATCCCTTTGTTGGGGTTTTAGTCTTGCTTTAAAGGCATCCGCTTTTGCTTTTTCAAACCTTTCTTAATTATCTTATGCATAAACAGCCTTGAGGTGGTAGTTTAGAAGGCGATAAACAAATTATCTGTAATAATAACATTGTGCAACAGCAGGAGTCAGAATCATAGAACCGTAGATCTAGAAGGGACCCCCGGGGGTCTAATCCCCTGTAATGCAGGAATATTTTGCCCCTCGCAGGACTTGAACCCACAGCCCTGAGCTTACGGGTCTCATGCTCGACCGGCTGAGCTATGCGTGCCACACCGGTTGCCCCACCCACTTTGGCCTCCACCCACACCTGCCACAGACATGTGGCCCTCAGGAGGTTGCGCCCGTGAGGGAATTCGGCCCCCAGCCTAGGAAAGGTTCCCCACATTGCATGATGGGAAACAAGATTGCCTCCCCCAAGTCACACTCCAAGGTGCCACCATACCTGCCACACTCCCACCACCGCATTGGCAAGGAGGATCATGATAATGACGATGGGCTCCACGAAAGCCGTCACTGTTTCTTCCCCTTCCTCAAACCAGGCCAGGATCTGCAGAGGGAAGAGAGAAGAGGAAGGAAGGGCCATCAGCTCAGTGGTTAGAGTATATTTATCTTATTTATTTGTTTTTTTCAAAAAAATTATTAATTTTCCGAATTTATAACAAAATATCAAGAAATATCAAACAAACAAACAAACAAACATAGATCCTAACTGTAATAATTCCACTTTTGTTAACGTTGTTAGGTGATTTCCTCAAACCCCCCTGGTTGAGTTTCCATGTATATCATCGTAGCAGTTTCCCAAAACTATTTTCACATAAAATTTACTTAGTCAATTAACATCTTTCTTTCTTTTCATTTTAACTTTAAACATATTATTCTATAACATCCCATATTTAAATCCTAGGCCCATCTAGTACTTGCAAGTAGTTCTAGATGGGCCTAGGACTTAAATATCTTAGCATATTTAGCTAAATAGTCTTTAAATTTCTTCCATTCCTCCTTGTGCTCCTCCTCCTTCTGGTTGCGGACTCTTCCGGTCAGGTCGGCTAGCTCCCAAAAGTCCATCATCTTCATCTGCCATTCCTCCATTATTTATTTGCTGAATTTATACCCCAGGTTTTCTCTCCAAGGAGCTCAAGGGGGGGGGGGGTTTACAGAGTTCTTCTTCTTCTCCCCCACCCAATTAATCCCCACAACCACCCTGTGGCTAGGGCTGAGAGGCAGTGATTGGCCCAGGCTCACAGCTTTTTGGCAATGCCTAAAATACTCCATGGCTTCCACTGACCATTGGGCAGGGCACTCTAAGCTTTGAATAGCTAATCTGAAAACTGGGCTAAAAAGTAGGTTATTTATTTAAGTGCTGGGTGCTTTTTGGCACACCAAATTCGGTGTATTTTTCCCAGCTGGAGGTACAGTGAGAACAGAACCCAAACCACACAGAAACCCTTTCCAGCCTTGTATTCGATCGAAAGAGAGACAGTGGTCATCAAACAGAAATCTACTTAACTCTCTGTTACTAGTCATTTTGTGTGTGTATTTTTTAACTCCACTTTGGCTGAATTTTCCTCGGGAAGTATTCCTCAAGCAGCTGCGGAGCGTAATTCTCCCTTTTTTCTTCGAGCGGAAAAGCCAAGTCGAAAAGCAAAGAAACAGGCGCCTGTCGTGTTAATGCTACGCTTGGAAAAAGAGCAGACCGATTTGTGCAAGCGCCATTGAATTCCCACCGTGCTGTTCAGCTCTCTGTATTTTCATTTTTATCAGATTAAGTAATTGGCTGTTAATAAGGAAACAAAGTGTGTGGGGGGAGAGAGAGAGAGAGAGCGAGAGAGCAAGGCAACCCACCAGGACTTATAACTCTTTCATTCAAAATATTTTAATTCTGCAAACTGGCGGTAGGGGAAGTTAAAGGAAAAACTGGATATTGTAAAATTTCAGATTCGGTTTTTGAAGGTTGTTTAAAGCAAGCCACATCTCTGCTCGAATAGCACATGTCCCTGATGGTCTGCCCACTTTCTTGTGGTCCCTTGGAGTGCTAGTGGTGGAAGCATCAGTAAGAGGCAGTGTGGTATAGTGGTTAAAGCGTTGGACTAGGACCTGGGAGAGACCAGGGTTCAAATCCCCACTCAGACATGAAGCTCAATGGATGACCTTCAGCCCAGTCACTGCCTCTCCTGTCTAATCTACCTCACAGGGTTGCTGTGAGGATTAAATGAGGAGGAACGGAAGGACCCATGTATGCCAAAGGTGAGATATGAATGCCGTCAATAAACAATGTTGTCCATAATTATTACATTTACACATACAGGTGACTCCCCACTTACGCAGGGGTTACGTTCCCTTGCATATACGCGAAAATCGTGGAAACACTGTCTAAACCTCTGGAAACCCTTGAGAAACCCTTGAAAAAAACAGACTGGCATGAATGGTGGCAAACGCCCCCACAATCACTCCCTCCAAACCTTTCTCAAACTCCAACTCTCCATAGCGCTCAAAGGTTTGTGGGATTTTACTTGCAAAGACTCTTGGGATCGCTAACCATTTCCCTGCTCTTTTTGCGCCATTTTCTTTACAGTTTTCCTGCTCTTTTAGGGCCGTTTTTGCCCTTTCTTGTGCCCTTTTGAAGTTTAAATCTATTTATTCGTTTCCTGGCGCTGTGCATATATGCGGTTGCACACAAGTTGAGTGTGTGTTGGTGGGGAGTCGCCTGTACAGCAGCTTCTCTTAAAATTGGTTTATGGTGCTCCCCTTCATAGCGATCTCAGCTGGCCAGCGCCAGCAAAATGGGGGCGCTGGGGATCAAGGAGGAGGCACACCCACACGTCCAGGAGGATCCCAAGAGTGGCACGAATACCAAAAACAAAATCTGCAGTCACAGTGGCCCCAGAATGCAGTCTTGGACTCAGAGACTCACTGACTTGACATCAGGAAGAAGGATTATCTGGCAGCATACTTACGAAGGAAACGAAGGCAGCCAAGAGGAGGATCCGAACTAGGAGGTCTTCGAACTGCTCTAATATCAGCTCCAGGAGCGATTTTCCTAGGAAGAACAATGAAAAACAAAAGCCAGAATTATCTTTGGTCCTTCAACAATGCCCCACAAACCCATCTCTCCACCCCAATAATGTATGTGGGTTGTGTCCGATTTACTCCAGAGTAGACTCGCTGAAATGAATGGATGTGGCTTAGGCCCACCCACTCATTTCAGTGGGTCTACTCTGAGCATGGCTAGCGTTTGGATACAACCCATAGACTGTAATGTCATATCCACCAGCCCCAGATTTACTTCTGAGTAGACAAGTCTAACATTGTGCTTTTAAGGCTCTAGTCTGTGCCAATGTACCCACCTGGGACTGGAGAATATACCACTGAACGTGCCTGACTTAAGGCTCGTCTACATGAACAACAGATAAAGTGGCCGTACTATTCTTGTGTCGTACCACCAGAGTGCTGATGGAGGAGAAGAAAGACAAAATCTCTGGCACACAGAAATTTTGACTGACTGGCTAGAATCCTCCCCCTTGACATGCTAGATTTCTATATGTGGTGGGTGCTTACATAGATGGTTTCTGGGGACATTTTACTGCTCCCACACAGTGCATTTTGGGATGGCCAATAGTCAGGGATGATGAGAGACAACAACATCTCAAGGGTGCCACATTGGAATGAGCTGTCTGAGCATGGAATAGATGCCTCATTTAGTCCTACCCCCTGCAATGCAGGAATCACAGCTCAAGAATCACCAAGCTCCCCTTCCTTCTCCTCTGGGCATCTCCTTCCTTCGCCAACCCACCCCACGTATAACAAAGCAGCTCTTCATGACCAAGCTGGATAACAGGAAGTCTGCGTACCTTCTTCAGCAGGGAGTTCTGCAGGTTTCCAGCAGAAAGCAGCCACGGACAGGAAAGAGTGGGAAAGAAAAAGGGCAGTCATTGATTTGCAAAAAAACCAAACACACAATCCAAATCTCTCATTGTTAGATGATACATTCAAATAAAGTAAAGGTAAAGGGACCCCTGACCATTAGGTCCTGTCGTGACGGACTCTGGGGTTGTGGCGCTCATCTCGCTTTATTGGCTGAGAGAGCCGGCATACAGCTTCCGGGTCATGTGGCCAGCATGACTAAGCCGCTTCTGGCGAACTAGAGCAGAGCACGGAAACGCCGTTTACCTTCCCGCCGGAGCGGTACCTATTTATCTACTTGCACTTTGATGTGCTTCCGAACTGCTAGGTTGGCAGGAGCAGGGACCGAGGCTCACCCCATCACGGGGATTCGAACCACTGACCTTCTGATCTGCAAATCCTAGGCTCTGTGGTTTAACCCACAGCGCCACCCGTGTCCCTCATACATTCACAGTGTTTCCCAAACTTGAGTTTCCAGCTGTTTTTGGACTACAATTCCCATCATCCCTGGTCCTGCTAGCTAGGGATGATGGGAGTTGTAGTCCAAAAGCAGCCGAAGACCCAAGTTTGGGAAACCATGCGCTAGGACACATCTGAGAAGTAGATGGCCTGGTGTTGGCCTGTGCACTTATGTCTTCAAAAATTTTGCATCCGTGTCTGGAGATGATATATTTTGAAGCATTTCTAAAGCACTCAACAGTTTCAAAATCTCCAAGTGTTGCTCACTATATGTTCAATATGAAAAGGAGTTGCTGAACTGCATCGAGACATGTGCAAAGCTCTGAATAAAATCGACACTGACTGAATCTTTGTCATTACAATGCTGTGCAAGTCTGGGTGTTCTTGAAAAGTAGGTGGGTGCCTGTTCCTCCCCTGCCCAAAAAAACACCCCACATGCCACTTCATTGCTTCTCATTCCTCTTTCCCCCATTGAACACTTCCCCCAATTCCCCCAAAGATAATCCTCCCTCTCCCCAATGTTTTCCAGAGGGAGCCTCACGGGGTGGCCTGTTTCCACAGCAACCACCGTCGTGACTCCCGCTAATGCATTTCGCAGTGCTAGATGGTGCTTCAGAACATTCAAAGCACCTCACACGCATTCTCTCTCCCCACAACCACTTTGTAAGGTAGGACCATAAGAATGTAAGAAGAGCCTGCAGGATCAGGCCCAGGGCCCATCCTGTTCTCACAATGGCCAGTCAAATGCCTGCAGGGAACCCGAAAGCAGGACCTGAGCACAAGAGCAACTCTCTTGTGTTCATCACTGCTCTTGTGTTAATCACTGCTTCTGTCTCCTTAAAAGTCATCCAAGATGCTGACCATCGCTGAGGGAGGGAGGTTCCATAGTTGAACTATGCACTGCATGAATGATTTTCTCATACCCTCCATGTGTCCCTGTTTTCCAGGGACAGTCCTGGATTTACAGAAGCCATCCCAGCTTCCAATTTGATCCCAGAATGTCCCGCTTTCCCTTAGGACGTCCCTATTTTTATCAGAGAAATGTTGGAGGGTATGGAGTTATGTTACTCCCGAGCTAAGAAGACAACCCTTCGAAGACGTGTGAAGGCAGCCCTGTATAGGGGAGGTTTTTTAAATGTTTGATTGTGTTTTTATATATGTTGGAAGCCACCCAGAGCGGATGCGGCAACCCGGTCAGATGGGCAGGGTGTAACAACATCCCTATTTTCATCGGTGAAATGTTGGAGGGTATGCTTCCTTTTATCTGTCCTGAATCTTCCACCATTCAATTTCACTGGATGTCCACAAGCCCTAGTGTTATGAGAGGAAGAAAACCTTTTTTTCTAAACTAAAATGGGCAACCTTTTTGCACTGGAGAATTTTTCCACCCACTTGATAGTTTTTAGTTGCCAATTTCTGAACCTTTCCCCGAGTTTATAATATCATTTTTGAGGGGAGGAGACTAGAACTGCACACTGTTCCGTACCCTGGAACTTGGTATTTGTACATTCCACCTTGCCAACAAAGGTCCGTATAGTTAAAGCTATGGTTTTCCCAGTAGTGATGTATGGAAGTGAGAGCTGGACCATACAGAAGGCTGATCGCCGAAGAATTGATGCTTTTGAATTATGGTGCTGGAGGAGACTCTTGAGAGTCCCATGGACTGCAAGAAGATCAAAGCTCTCCATTCTTAAGGAAATCAGCCCTGAGTGCTCACTGGAAGGACAGATCCTGAAGCTGAGGCTCCAATACTTTGGCCACCTCATGAGAAGAGAAGACTCCCTGGAAAAGACCCTGATGTTGGGCAAGATGGAGGGCACAAGGAGAAGGGGACGACAGAGGACGAGATGGTTGGACAGTGTTCTCGAAGCTACCAGCATGAGTTTGACCAAACTGCGGGAAGCAGTGGAAGACAGGAGTGCCTGGCGTGCTCTGGCCCATGGGGTCACGAAGAGTCGGACACGACTAAACAACTAAACAACAACAACATGCAACAGGGTTGGCTAATCTGTGGTCTCCAGATGCCGCCGGATTACAACTCCCAACATTCCTGAAGATTGGTCAAGGTAGCTGGGGTTGGTGGATTCTCATGACGCTCCCAGGGCCCCTGATTAGCCACACCTCTCAAAATGAATGTTCAGAGTGGAATTTTTGGCTATTTGCTTGATTCAGAGCTTCTCCAAATGGCGCATCACAGTCCTTGGTAGCTTAAATGACTCAAAAGCATGCATTTTGATATGATAGCCAAATATCTAAAGGGCTTTCAGATGGAAGATGGAGCAAGCTTGTTTTCTCCTGTTCCAGAGGGTAGGACTCGAATTGTAGAGGTTGGACTAGATGACCCTCAGGGTCCCTTCCAACAATTCTATGATTCAGCAAGAAAATGCACATTTGTATCTGTACACACACACACACACACACACACACACACACACACAGTATCTCAGACTGATGCAGTAGCAAACCAGCATGAAATTATAGGTTAAAAATTTGCCAAAATGAGTCGGAGTAGAAATGAACAAATGCGCCTGTCCCTGCCCATCCTCTTCAAACTATGCAGCAAATTTTTAATGCAAACAGCTGAATCATATTGGGGGAGGGGAGCCAATTCCTGGCATCCACCAAGCTGCTCATTTTTTACTCTTTTTTTACATGATTAGCATTCAGTGAATGAGTTCACAATTCATAGCAGGCTCCCGAATGACTCACTGCTGCAGACAACACCAAACCTCTTTCTGAAAAGAGGAAAGCCTGCGGAAGAGAGAGCGAGAGTGTCATCAGAGACAATTTGCAATTTCACTTTCGGTGGAAGAACGGAGCAACAATGAGCAAGGCAAGCCACACAGAAGACATTCACAGAGGCAAATATTTGCTGTCTCCAAGCAAAGGCTGTCTCTCTAATTACAGTGGTTGCTAACCCCTGGGCCTGATGTGGCCCACATGTTTGTCCCTAAACAAAATATACTTGCCCTCTGGTTTCGGCAATGACAAAAAGAAATGGAGGTAGGCACAACGTTGGGGTGGCTTGGGAAAAACAAGAACGTCATTTTGGATCACAGCTGTCCATGGGGGCACAGGTTAATTCTGTGTCCAGCTCCATCTGGTACGCAGGCTGAAACCCTCCCTGCCCGCGGACTGTCTCGCCAGAGTGGTGCATGCTCTGGTCATCTCCCGCTTGGACTACTGCAATGCACTTTACTTGGGGCTACCTTTGAAGGTGACCTGGAAACTACAACTCATCCAGAACGCGGCAGCTAGACTGGTGACTGGGAGTGGCCACTGAGACCATTTAACACTGGTCCTGAAAGACCTACGTTGGCTCCCAGTACATTACCGAGCACAATTCAAAGTATTGGTGCTGACCTTTAAAGCCCTAAACGGGCTCAGCCCAGTATACCTGAAGGAGCGTTACCACCCTCATCGTTCTGCCCGGACACTGAGGTCCAGCTCCGAGGGCCTTCTGGTGGTTTCCTCATTAGAAGTGAGGTTACAGGGAACCAGACAGAGGGCCTTCTCAGTGGTGGTGCCCACCCTGTGGAACGCCCTCCCATCAGATGTCAAGGAAATAAACAACTATCTGACTTTTAGAAGACATCTGAAGGCAGCCCTGTTTAGGGAAGTTTTTAATGTTTGATTGTGTTTTTAACATTCTGCTGGGAGCCGCCCAGAGTGACTGGAGAAACCCAGCCAGATGGATGGGGTATTATTATTAATTAATAATAAATAATAATAATAATAATAATAATTTACAAAAAGACTGCTGGATCAGGCCAATTGTAGAGTTAAAAGGAACCCCGAGGGTCAACTAAGTTGAACCCCCTGCAACAGAGGAATCATTTAGCCCAGGCATCCCCAATCTGCAGCCCTCCAGATATTTTGGCCTACAACTCCCATGATCCCTAGCTAACAGGACCAGTGGTCAGGGATGATGGGAACTGTAGTCCCAAACATCAGGAGGGCCAAAGGTTGGGGATGCCTGATTTAGCCCAACGTGGGGCTCCAACCCAAACTGTGTATCTGAAATTAAGGGTCTCATGCTCTACCAACTGCCAATGGGCTATCTTGTTCTCCATGGCAGCCAGCAACATGCCTGTGGGAAACCCGGAAGCAGGATTTGAACACAAGAGTCCTCTCTCCCGCTGCAGTTCCAGCATCTGGAATTCAGAAGCAGTGCTGCCTCCGACCGCGGAGGCAAAGCATTTTCATTTGCAGCAACAGACCTGCATGACCCCCCCTTACTGCAAAACGTTTGCATGTTGACGAATTGAAATATCTGCTAACACGATTCAAATCAGAGACATACCGTATTTTTTGCTCTATAAGACTCACTTTTTCCCTCCTAAAAAGTAAGGGGAAATGTGTGTGCGTCTTATGGAGCGAATGCAGGCTGCGCAGCTATCCCAGAAGCCAGAACAGCAAGAGGGATTGCTGCTTTCACTGCGCAGCGATCCCTCTTGCTGTTCTGGCTTCTGAGATTCAGAATTTTTTTTTCTTGTTTTCCTCCTCCAAAAACTAGGTGCATCTTGTGGTCTGGTGCATCTTATAGAGCGAAAAATACGGTAATTTATTCCCCGATGGCTGGAAATGTTTCAGATCGAGAACAGGCAGCAACCATTTGTCCAATCGATACACAACCACCGACACACGGGTTCTTTGTTGCACTAAAAATGTTACAGTAATAATTCTTTTCTAAATACAAATATTTCGCCTTCCTCAGTGTCGTTTGGGAAAGGCTACTTCAACACGGTAGGAACGTGGGGGAAATCGGCTGCAGGCACACACAGGTTAAGTTTCTCTAAGATTAATTGGGTCTGGGAGTCACTTAGGCAACTGGAACTCCAACTGCAGCTGGTGTTTGACTAGCGCTGACATTTCAGCCTCCGCCAAGTCAAACAAACGTCCTTTTGCAATGGGAAGACCTCATCCCGGCATCCCTCACAAGCAAATGCGTGACAGGCAGGTGATGGAGAGGATAAACATGGGCAGGGATATTTGCATTTCGTACCTGCAAAGACAGCCTGCCCAATTGCACCGGTGCAACCTGCCTAAATCAGACCGGATATATACATTTGCATCTTGCAGGAGTCATTCTGCTCCTGTTAGCCGTAAGGAGGGGGAAAACATAAAGGCAAAACACCCTGGACACAGGAAATTCTCCTAAACCTTTTTTCCCCCATCCACTACTGCTCTGTGGTGCAGATTTCTCCTGGCCAGACTTTGCAGTCATAGGGACTAGAAGCTTGAGGATTGTTAAGTTATTTCTTTAATGAAAGAAATAGACATATCGTGGCATGGTCAATACGGGCCTAGGGACCATCTCTGATGCAAAGCAGTGAATGGGGGTGAGTTGTAGATAAGGAGTGCTTCATTGCACTTCCTTCGAAGGAAGACGAACAAGTTAACACCCATTGCCATACGCTTTGTAGCAGCAGGTTTTTGCTGCTTTTGGTGAACTAATCGACTTTCTGCCGATTCTGATGGAGGCCAACGTGTCTCCTCACCTCAAAAACTAATGTGCTTGGCCTTCAGATTTTGCACTTCTCCAAATGTTGCAAAGGAAAAAGTACCATACAGTGGTACCTCGGGTTACATATGCTTCAGGTTACATACGCTTCAAGTTACAGACTCCGCTAATCCAGAAATATTGCCTCAAGTTAAGAACTTTGCTTCAGGATGAGAACAGAAATCATGCTCTGACGGCGCGGCGGCAGCAGGAGGCCCCATTAGCTAAAGTGGTGCTTCAGGTTAAGAACAGTTTCAGGTTAAGAACGGACCTCCGGAACGAATTAAGTACTTAACCTGAGGTACCACTGTAATGCAATAGAATGCTTCTTTTAAGGTAAAAGATTCAGCATTGCACACGCTAAAATAAAATACGATACCAAAAATGCAAATTTCAATGCGGAATTTGTTACTAGAAACGGCATACTTAAGGCAAAAATTGATCAGACTTAAGAAACTGACACAGAGTAGAAATATGCATAGACAGGGTACCAGGAAAGGTGTTTCAGCCCAAGGGATGTTTTTCCTTCTAGACAACATTCAGGGAGCCACATACATTGGTGGGAGGCGCCAGAGGCAAAAGTAGGAGGGGGTAGGAAAGCAACTTTTGCTTTTGCGCAGTAGGCGCATACTCACTCAGATACATTTATTTATTGCACTTCTACCCAAGGAGCTCATGGTGGCACACATAGTTCTCCTCCTCACAACAACCCTGTGAGGTAGATTTGGCTGAGAGTGAGTGACTGGCCCAAGATCGTCTAGTGAGCTTCATGGCTGAATGGGGATTCGAACCCTGGTCCACTGAATCAGAGGCCAACGCTCTAACCACCACACCACCACCACCGGCTCTCTCTTCCAGGCAAGCAAGAGTCAAGCCGACTGCCTCCTGCCGCCCATTCACAGATCCCTCCCTACACGCCGCAAATCAAATCATAGCAGGGTTAAATTGCTAAGGACAAGGAAGAGAAAATAACAGCCCTTCCCAAGCGACACCATTTTGGGGAGGTTGCCCCTGGGTGAGTATCTCTGAAAAATGAATTGTTCTTTTCACTAGCTAAACCCCAGCCCAAACATATTAATGGGAGAGAAACCACGTCACAAAAGGAGACTGCCGTGTGTCAACCGCAGCTGACAGCTTAACACAACATGTCAGCCTGACGACTTCTCCCTCAGTTCTCTGCTCCCCGTTCCCTTTGAGGGAACTTATGGATTAAAAGTGATAATGGCAACAATACACAGACTGTTTTAATGTCTATATTTGCAGGAACGAACGCAAGCCGTCCTGGGTTCGGGCTTTATCAACATCTTGTGGAAGAGGGAGGAGCGATTCCCTATGAGGAACGGTTGCAGCATTTGGGACTTTCCGGTTTAGAGAAAAGGTGAATAAAGAAGTGACATGACAGAAGGTTCTAGAACTATACAGGGCATGGAGAAAGGGGATAGGGGAAAGGTTTTCTCCTCCTCACGCAACACTAGAACTTGTGGACATCCAACGAAGATAACGTTGGAGGGATAAAAGAAAGGGTCAAATTCATTGGGATGGCCCCAATTTATTGGATTATGACAAAGGCAGAGAAACTGACGACAAGAAGATCCTCCCCCATGAGGCTTACCTGGCATCTACATTAAGATCCATTTGGCATCAGATGAAAACCTGTCTGTTCTCCCCTGGCCTTCTCAAACTACATTTTTATGTATTTTTTTGTACTTGGAGCAGATTTGTTTCTGCAGGGCTTTGAATGCTCTCGTCGCTGTTTGTTTTTACGGCAGGAAAGTCAACTTTTTTAAAGGTTTAATCAATCTTTTTATTGTGGATTAAAACAAACTTTTCCATGAATGTTTTCATTGTGCATTGTTTGAGCCTCACAAAAGGGCACTGTTGATTTGGGTGGCCCTCCAATGTTCCAAAGCAGGGATTGGTCACCTTTGGACCTCTGGATGTTGTAGCTGGCGCTCCTTGGAACTGGTAGGGCGGAAGGCAGGGAAGTTAACAGTAGGTGGCACCAGAGGCAACGACAGGCAGAGCCAGCTCACTCCAGCTTTGTCCCCATCTGTAAGGAGGTAAAGGGACCCCTGAACATTAGGTCCAGTTGTGGCCGACTCTGGGGTTGCGGCGCTCATCTCGCTTTACTGGCCGACGGAGCCGGCGTACAGCTTCCGGATCATGTGGCCAGCAAGACTAAGCCGCTTCTGGCGAACCAGAGCAGCGTATGGAAACGCCGTTTACCTTCTAGCCACAGCGGTACCTATTTATCTACTTGCACTTTGACGTGCTTTCAAACTGCTAGGTTGGCAGGAGCAGGGACCGAGCAACAGGAGCTCACCCCGTTGCGGGGATTCGAACCCCCGACCTTCTGATCAGCAAGTCCTAGGCTCTGTGGTTTAGACCATAGCACCACCCACGTCCCTTTTCTGTAAGGAGGAGCCTGCAGTAAATCACACCATGCAAGTTGTAGTTAACTCTTTGTTGGCAAAAACATGATCTGCACAGAATTACCATGCCCAATTAGCACATCAACTTATCTCTGTTCTTCTCTTTTCATTTATTTGCACGTTCTCAGAGACCGGGGGAATGGGGAGGGGGAGGAGCTGGTCTCAGCAGAAGGGGGAGACTCCCTGGCCTCCTCAGCCACCTTTTGACCCCCTTCCTCTCCAGCCTCTGCTTCAGCCTCAGAGTCTGAACTGCACTCTGCCACAGACTCTTCCTGCTCACTAAACCTTGTTGTCCCTCCAGCCTCTGACTCCTCTTCCGCTCCATCTTCTCCCTGATGCAACACCTGCTATCTGGCTTTTTTTTGTAAAAATAAATAAATGGAGATGCTGGTGATTAAAATTTTCTACAAAAAAATGGGCACTCTACTGCTGAGATATGAAAGAGCCTTCACATAATCTCGCCTTAGGGTTGAGGACTTGCTATTAGCTACAGCAGCAGCACATCTTTTCTCTTTCCCCCTCCTAAGGTTTGAATACCTCTCCTAATATACATATTTTCCTAAGGATGTCGTCACGCTGCAGTTCGCACCATCTCCCAACAGGTGGCGACATGAACTGCAACACGATGGCAAACTTGGCTTTCGGAGCTGCTGAGTCATTGCAACAGTGTTGTGGGGGTTGGGGAGAGGGGACCAGAGGTGGAGGTGGGCAGCTGAGGATGTTGGGCGATCAGCCAGGTCAGGGCTGGCAGGTGGCCTAGGGCAGCCAGCAGAGATTTGGAAAGGTCTTTGTGGAGAGGGAAGGGGTGGCATTTGTGAGAGAAGTGGTTGGGGGTTTAGCCCACTAGTATAATGCAGGCATCTCCCCACTTGCACCCAGATGCCGAAAAATAATTAAATAAACCGATTTTAAATGGCGAAAAGGCACGAAAAGGGCAAAAGCAGCCCAAAAAAGAGCGGGGAAATGGCTAGTGATCCCAGAAGCCTTTGCAACTTCAATCCCAGGAGCCTTTGAGACCTGTGGTGAGTTGGGAGTTTTGAGAAAGAAGGGTTTATACAGGTTTTTCAGATGGTGTTCCCCACTGTACCCGATTTCACCCGGGAACGTAACCCCCACATAAGTTGGGAGATGCCCGTATGTATTTGCTGCAACAAAGCAATTGCATTGGCAGCCTGGTCGGCGCTTGCACAGCCTCCCACAATGCCCCAGGGCTAGCGGCTTTCCAGGGCATTGTGGGGATGCGGGGATGACGACTGCCACAAGAACAAAAAGGATGCGAGAATATCTGGAGGAAATTCATCAAAGGCATCTGTTTTGGAGGGTAGGCGGGGGAGAAAAATAAAAACTCGGCAGCCGAGAAAAAGGCTGATGGACTAGATGGGCCTTTGGCCTTTCGTAGAATGTGAAGAAGCTCAAAGACTTCTAAACCACCAGCTCCTGACGTGCTACAGCTTTCAGGAAATCCTGGACCTTATTTGCCAGCTCACACCCAGCTGCACAGTTTTTACTTTTTTTTTGCTTACCCGCCCTCCTCTTTTTCTGTTGCATTTGCAATTTTGCAGGCTCCACCCATGAACAAGAGACAACAGCTAGCCCTGTGTGAACTCTCTCGGCTTCCTAGCCGAATAAACGGCACGCCTAAACTGGGCTGGGATATCCCTTTCTGCCACAAATCCAGGGAACCCCTTTTGCAGCCAGGCTGGCCCAATCAGGTTCCAAGAGGGAAAGCAAAGCACAATACCATTTCCCCTCAGCCCATGTCACAACAGACAAAAAGGCCAAGATCAGCCCAGGAGATTTCTGCCGCCACTGGTGCTAAAAACGGCAGCCAGCTTCAGGTCTCTTTCTCTTTTTTCCCCTTTTCCGCAAAGGCAGGATTCAAACAGAACCCTCAAGGAGCTGTCTGCCCCCCCCCCCAAGTTTCCAACGCATCTTGCTTTCCTCACACTTGCGAGAGGTCCCCAAAGGTGCACATTAGAAGGTCGCATTCTGACCCCCTGTGACAGATTCACGGAGAAGTCTAAAGCGGAGGTGGTTTTGTCCAATGGTTGCCAAAGCAAAACAGAGCAGAGTGAGTTTCCAGAGAAATCCCCAAGGTGCTTTAAAAAGAAAAGGGGGGGGGGACGTATTTGAATTTTGAAAGAGACCCAACGGTTCTGGGGGCAAACAAAGGAAGCCAACCCAATGTAATACAGTGGTTACATATGCTTCAGGTTACAGATTCTGCTAACCCAGAAATAGTGCTCCAGGTTAAGAACTTTACCTCAGGATGAGAACAGAAATCGTGCTCTGGCGGCACGGCAGCAGCAGGAGGCCCCATTAGCTAAAGTGGTGCTTCAGGTTAAGAACAGTTTCAGGTTAAGTACGGACCTCTGGAACAAATTAAGTACTTAACCTGAGGTACCACTGTAAATTCAAGCAGGAGCTGAGCGCTTTTTGCTTATTTTCTCAGTACAGCACACTTCCTGTGTGGCTCTATTTATGTTCTTATTTATTCTGCACCCCTCTTTTGTTTTTGCCACCACGGCCCAAACTGGTGGGAGCTCGGGAGCAGGGGCCAAAAAGGGGACACATTATCTGTCCCCCCTGCTTTGCAGGCTCAGGGATGCTAGCTAAAAGGACCCAGAAGGCAGGCTAACAAATGTTGCAACGTTAAGCCAGCGGCAAAATCTTACGGTTGGGGAAACTGCAGCGAACCCTCCCAAAAGTTACTCACAGGAAACCACAGCAGCATTTCCCGCGATATCAGGCCTGCCGCTTTTCAAACAGAGGTTTCCCTTAAGAGGTATTTTCTACCTCCACCCTCCACAACACACACACACACACACACACACACACACACACACACACACACACTAAGTCCACACACAAACTGGACTTTTGTTTAAAGCCTGGCAAGGAAAAGTAAAACAAGGGTTGTCCCAGGAAGGTTTCCGCCGAAGCCGATAAAGTTATGACTTGCTTCTACCTCCCTGCCCCCTTGCCCCCACCTGTGCTGATCGTGATAAGATCTCTCTTAAGACTCCGTTCTCAAGCAGCTTGTTTTTTGCAAAGGGATGCCAAGAAAACTAAAACCCCTGAGCTCCTTAGTGGAGTGAGTCTGAGCTCTGGGATAGCTATGAAGTTTCCAGTAAGGGAAATAAGTATAAAAAGATTTGACACACACACACACACACGATTGCATGCAAGTCACCAGTTTACCAGCAAGATCGGCTTAGTCCAGGAATGGGCAAATCTGTCTTTTTTTATGACCCATGGCATCTCGGCATGTTTCGACCCATCATTCTCTTCCATTTCTACACTAACCAGCATTTTTTTCTTTTAATCCTCTCATAATATGTAATTCCATACATATCTAAATGCAGATAGTCTGCCCAAATACTTCCTCATGCAATATTTAAGACAGCTAGTCCAACTCCCACAATTGCAGGAATCACAGCTAAAGAATCTTTGACAGATGACCCACCTAACCTCTGTTTGAACCCCCCTCCCCAATGAAGGAGAGTCCACCACCTTGCAAGGTCATAGGTTCCGCTGTCAAACAAGCTCTGACGTAAGGAAGTTCTTCCTAATGCTTAGTCTGAATCCCCATTCTTGCCATTGAATGAATTGATTCGGGAGCTACACTCTGGAGCATCAGAAAACAAGCTTGCTCCATCTTCCATGTGAAAGCCCTTCAGATACTTGAAGGCGGCTCTCATATCATCTCTCAGTCTTCTCTCCTCTAGGGCTGAACATGAACATCCTCAGTTCCCTCAGCCGTTCCTCCTAAGGCTTGGTTTCCAGACCTTTTTTTATTATCTTGGTCCACCCTGTCTCCTCACCTTCTAGCTTGTCAATACAGTGGTACCTTGGATTATAGACGATTCAGGTTACAGACTCCACCAACCCAGAAATAGTACCCTGGGTTAAGAACTTTGCTTCAGGATGAGAACAGAAATCACGCAGCAGTGGCACGGCCCCATTAGCTAAAGTGGTGCTTCGGGTTAAGAATAGTTTCAGGTTAAGAACGGACCTCTGGAAAGAATTAAGCTGTTAACCCGAGGTACCACTGTACCCTTCTTACGTTTTGGACTACAACTCCCATCATCCACAACCAGTATGGCGCAACGCCTGCCCCCACCCCCGGAATGGATTTATGGCCTCCTACTCCCTTAACTGCTCTATAATTATTTTGGCCCTGGGTTTTAGTGTTGTGTACAAAGGAACTCTGTTATTTTATTGCTTCCTGTTTTCATTCTTGCACACTGCCCTGGAATCTGCTTGCGTGAAGGGCATTTTTTTGTGTGTGCATAAGACACACAGACAGACAGACAGACAGACAGACACACACACACACACACACACACACACACACACGGCTGTGCCCCTGCTCACTCAGCTCACCAACCCCCTGCCATTTCCCCCAACCCCCTAGAGCAGCGGTTCTCAATCTGTGGGTCCCCAGATGTTGTTGGACTACAACTCCCATCATCCCTGAGCTCTGGCCTTGCTAGCTAGGGGTGATGGGAGTTGTAGTTCAACAACAACTGGGGACCCAAAGGTTGAGAAAGGCTGCCCTAGAGTCTAGGGCCTAGACAAATGGTTCCCAAAGTGGGTGATACCGTACCCCTGGGGGACAGCTGGATTACCTAGGGAGCACTAAGTTTCCAAAAGTGTCATAAAGAGCCCTTCCCCATTATTCTCCCATCAGCAACTGGCATTCACAGGTACACTGCCCCTGCACAGGGAGGCTTTATCTCAGCCATTAGACCCAAATAGCCTTCCATGAGTTTTCTCTAATCCCAATTGTGTGTTTTTTTGTTAATGTCCTATAGGAAATGCAGCAGGACTAAAGAAAACCTGCGGCCCCCTTTCACATGCTGCTGGGTTAAAACTCCCATCACCTCTAACCACTGGTCACGCTGGCTGGGCTTGGTGGGAGCTGCAAACCAACAGCATCCAAAGTACTTCATGTCCCTCCCTGAAGCACAGCAGGTCTACAGAGATCCTGGTTCGTGCATGCAAACAAGCCAGGCAGCGGAGACATTTCTAGGTGTTATCAAAATGTGCGTCTTCCTGCAAACACAATTGGGTTGTGGGGGGGGGAGGGCACAGAAAAATTGCATCTTTGCACTGTATTCTGGGAACAGGAAGGAGCCTTGCGCTCTGATAAAAACCGCTTACAAATTGACAAGCAAAAGCCGACAGAGAGGCTTGTTTCCCACTCTTTTTCTTTTTTGTTTTTTTTCCAGCTCCCCGTAATCATTTTCCATTTTGTCACCTCCCAAGGTCAACAGCGGGACTAAAATAAGGAAAATGTGGTGAGCCAGTGGAGAAAGGCGGCGGCAGCTGGGGGGGGCAGGGGGCGGGAGAGAAACAGAACAGCCTTGCTTTTGTCGCCTCACGACAACCTGCAAAGCCCTTGTAAAAGTTGCAAAGTCGGTGTTAAGCGCAGGAGCTGAGCCAGAGCCCAAGAAGCAGCAAGAGCAGCTGTTCCAGGGAGGAGCCTGCTGGATGAGGCCAATGGACCACCTAGCTCAGCATCCTGTTCCCACAGTGGCCAACCAGATGCTTGCGGGAAACCCACAAGCAGGATTCGAACACAAGAGCCATCTCCCCTCCTCTGGCTTCCAGCAACTGGTATTCAGAAGCATCGCTGCAAATGCAGCATATAACCATCAATGCCAGTAATCACTTATAGCTGCATCCTCCATGAATCTGTCTTGAGGTTGAATCCCGAAATGACAGAAGTACTGTTTCTGAGGGGACAGGGAGTAGGCAGGCGTGGGGGATTCCCTGGTCCTGAATGGAGTAACAGTGGGCAGTCTGGGAGTCATTTTGGACTCACAGCCGTCCATGGAGGCACAGGTTAATCCTGTGTCCAGGGCAGCTGTCTACCAGCTCCATCTGGTACCCAGGATGAAACCCTACCTGCTTGCGGACTGTCTCACCAGAGTGGTGCATGCTCTAGTTATCACCCGCTTGGACTACTGCAATGCGCTTTATGTGGGGCTACTCGGAAACTATAACTAATCCAGAATGCGGCAGCTAGACTGGTGACTGGGAGTGGCTGCCAGGGCCATATAACACCAGTCCTGAAAGACCTATATTGGCCCCCGGTATGTTTCCAAACACAATTCAAAGTGTTGGTGCTGCCCTTTAAAGTCCTAAACACCTTTGGCCCTGTATACCTGAAGGAGCGTCTCTGCCCCCATAGCTCAGCCCCGACATTGAGCTCCAAAGGCCTTCTGGCAGTTCCTTCCCTGTGAGAAGTGAGGTTACAGGGAACCACACAGAGGGCCTTCTTGGTAGTGGCACCCGCCCTGTGGAATGCCCTCCCATGTCAAGGAAATAAACAACTACAGTGGTCCCTCGGGTTAAGAACTTAATTCATTCTGGAGGTCCGTTCTTAACCTGAAACTGTTCTTAACCTGAGGTACCACTTTAGTTAATGGGGCCTCCCGCTGTCGCCGCACTGCTGGAGCACGATTTCTGTTCTTATCCTGAAGCAAAGTTCTTAACCCGAGGTACTATTTCTGGGTTAGCGGAGTCTGTAACCTGAAGCATCTGTAACCTGAAGTGTCTGTAACCCGAAGTACCACAGTACCTGACTTTTAGAAGACATCTGACAGCAGTCCTGTAGAGAGAAACCTTTCGAAGTCTCATGTTTTATTATGTTTTTATATATGTTGGAAGCCGCCCAGAGTGGCTGGGGCAACCCAGGCAGATGGATGAGGTACTAGGGTTGCCATAGGTCTGGAATTTTCCAGACACAGCCCGTATTCAGCCCCATTAAGCAGAGTCCGGGCGGAAATCGCTGAAATGTCCAGGAAAATCCAGACATATGGCAGCCCATGTGAGTAGTGCAGATTTGGGCGATTTTCGTGAAAAATAGCTCAAAACTAGCTCAAAAACTCCTGTCATGTCACTTCCGGCTTGCTTTTTGCTAAGTTAAGGAGTCCCGACTGCTGCAGGCTTTCTTCCTTTTTTACGTGGTTTGCAAAAACCCTTGCAAATGAAACGTGGTGGGAAGGTGGGGGGCAGGGCCCCTCTGAACAAGGCAGCAAAAAAGCCTGCCCCCCCCCGCCTCCCGCCTTGTTGGTATGCCAACTACTTCCTGAGAGTGTGGTACCTCGAGAGTACGGTTTTGCATAAAAACGTAACTCTCGCTACCCATGCAAAACCCAATCAGTACAATCAGGCACTTGCTATCTCAGTGGTCTGTATTTTCTTTTCCAGGAAGGAAAGAATGGGTGGAGAGGTAAAAAAGAAAAGAAAAAACCAAACCATAACCAGACCAAAAGCAGCCTAATGGCTCTTGTGTCATGGATGCTGATAGCATAAGACAGCAACCTTTCTGACCTTTTTTTTTTAAGGCAGGGGAGGGGCATATATCTATATTCTATCTTTCTCGGGATCTGGCTTCTTAGTCCGTTGGCCAAAGAGAGAGGCTTCTAGGAAGCCCACTATCTGGAAACAAAGGTGGCAGTGTTTTTCCTGCTGTTGCCCTGCAGGAAGAGGCATTTGGGAGGTAGACTGCTGCTGAACAGGAAAGCTCCATTTGATTGGAAGATGCAATTGTACGGAATCAAATTGTCTGATTTAAATTAACAACAACAACAACAACAACTTTTTAATTACCGTATTTTTCGCTCTATAACACGCACCCGACCATAACACGCACATAGTTTTTAGAGGAGGAAAACAAGAAAAAAAATATTCTAAACGAAACAGTGGATGTATGATTTTTGTGGTTCATGCTGTGGCCACATACATGTGATCTGACGGTGAGTTTGAGGTAGCCCAATGCAAAAATCCTGAGGATCCATGTGGATCCATGCTTTCTAACCACGTTTTAAGTGGGGAGGGAAGGAAAAGCACTCAAGGGCCAAGGAACACGCGTGGGGTGGGTGAAGAAGGATGCTGTTAATAATGCAGAAGAGGGGTATAAGAGAAGCAAGCAGGCTCTGCTTCTCTCCCTCCTCCCCGGCTCGCTGAAAAACTTTGCTGCTATTTAGCCAGCTGAGTGGGGAGGAGAGAGGGACAGAGAGCCTGCTTGCTTTAAAGGAGCCAACCAGACAGGAGCCGCTTACACTCGTGTAAGCGGCTCCTCTCCTCTCCCGCTTTGCTCCTTTAAAGCAAGCAGGCTCTCTGTCCCTCTCTCCTCCCCACTCAGCGGCTCTTCTCCTGCTTTGCTGTTTCAAAGCGAGCCACGGAGGAGGGAAGGAAGGGGAACCATGGATCCTTTGCTCATGACTGCAGCAGATTCCCCCCGCCATCCGTAAGCATTCGCTCCATAACATGCACAGACATTTCCCCTTACTTTCTAGGAGGAAAAAAGTGAGTGTTATGGTGCAAAAAATACGGTATGTGTACCCTGCCCATCTGACTGGGTGCCACACCACCAACACACACATTGGAGAAATAGAGATACCAAGATCAGCTTTGTTTAGGTTTTTCTTGCCCAGCAGGTGCTAAAAGGCTGTCAAGCCACAAAGGAAGATGCAAGAAGCCTCCAGGGCAGAATGCTTGCAGTGGCTAGAGTCACACCTCATTTCTCTTCAAGAGAGAAGGGGAGGGGTGGAGTCACACCCAGACACGTCAGGCTTGCTAGCTCTTGAGATAATAGGCAGAACTGTGTTCCCAGGCAAGCTGCTCAGGCAGCGCCACTGAACTGTGTCAATTACAACAACTTAAATCTAATACAAAACATTTAGACGGTAATTTGCAATTGATCAGAGTGTCTAATTTATATTTTCTGTTCCTCCTTTTCATTAAAAAGTTTTTAAAATAATACATACTATTTTCTTTCTTTGAATTGTCTACAGATCTAAATGCACAAATAAAAACATTTATATTAAAGTGTTTTGTTTCCTCTTTCTTTTCCTATTTATATGTTTCTATAGGTTCCTTTCCTTTTTAAGAGGTTCGTAAGATTCTAAACAACGGACTGATGTTTCCCCTTTAGAGAACCTCCTTTATTCATTATTTATTTCATAAAATGTATTCACCGCTCGACTGTAAAACTCAAAGAGGGTCATGGGCGTAGCCAGGATTTTTGTTAGTGGGGGCAGCCAAAGTTGTTGAGCAATAAAATTACGGTAAGAATGAAATTATCAACAGGAAGAATGAACAACGACAATTTCAAAAAGTTGAAACTAGAAATTAAAACAGATTATAACTTGCATGCAAAGTGCAGGTGATGCCACATTAAAAGATTGAGCTCTTACAAACGTTGAACAGGTGTTATTAATATGGCACCTGTAAGAGTGCCAAATCTGCCATTCAAAGCGGTTGAGTGGGTGCATCTGGAGTAATGATATGCCTACAGTGGTTTGGAGACCAGAGACAGGTTTAGTCACAAAACATGAGAGGATACTGACTAGGCTATTTAGCCATTGGCTGAGGACTATGCACACGATTGACAACAGATTCCAAGACATTTGCATCCAGCAGCAAAAGAGGGATAGACCTGTATTTTCCCAAGTTTTCACATCTGGAGGTGGCAGTTAACCAATATGGCATTCCTCCAGACCTATTTCACAGATTGTTCCATCGTTCAGGCAAAAATTAGAAATTTACCGTAAGTTTCATTGATGCTTTCGGTGGATAGTGTCATTAATAGCATTTTATCACTAGATGGCACTGGACTTACTGTATGTGGGTGGAGTTGGGCGTTTGTTGTGTCTGTCCTTGCAGAAGACAGAGACAATAAAGTTCTTGTCTGACTTCCTGACAAGTATTCCCTGACCTGCCCACTCACAGCGCTCCATACAAAACTAAAAAAATGTGTGGCTATGGGTCGTCTTTCACCTTAACAGAAAAGTTCCCTTTGAGTATTCAAATTGGTCAAATCTGAACACTGAACAGCTGCTATTACAAAGGGGAGGTAGAAGAAAATACCATATTTAAACTGCAAGCACTTTTGTGATAGTGGGGAAACAGGATCTGAATTTTCACTGCCAAGGAAGTAGCTACAATAATTTTGCCCCACGTTCTCCTTTTGAAACATTGTATGATCAACAGCTTTTCAAACTTTTAAAAAAATTAAATCCAGAAAAGTGTTCCATTATAGACAAGGTGTCTGCCTTCGCTAGAAATACCCAGCACCTTCTGTGTAAATCTCTTTGAGACGGTGGTTTAGAAGGCAATTAATAAATCAATGATAATAATAATTTGTAAACAAAACATTTCCGAAAGAACCATACTGCCAATTCTCAATGTGATAATTAACTATTTTTTATTACTTATAAACAGTTTAATTAGCAGCTGCAGATGTCTCTTTGTCTGAGCATCAACATGAGCAAAATAGGTTTGCTTAATTGCTGATGGCGCCTGAAGCTTCCTTTAATTATTTGTTTTAAAAAGTTATTTGTTGCTATTTAATACGGTGATGCTACGGTTTATGGGCATACAGTAAATATATTCAGACCAGCAGTCTCATAACCTGACATTATTTGGGAATCCTAAGGGGGGGAAATTGTGCAGTTTTCAAAGGTTCAGTCCGCCATCTTGATTCAAAATGGTGTCTAGTTGCATCCAAACAAACAAAAAGTTGCTCCTTGATCCCAGGACCCATCATGCAAAATTTGGCCATAATATCTTAGGCAGTGTCGAAAGCAAACAAAAACAGCTATCTAAAATAGGTAGTAGATTTTAGCTTTTGCAACAAGATGATCATTTGTGTGCATATAACAAGTTCCATGGGGTAGCCATCTTGTTGTGGCAGTATAGTGTGACTGTGGCCTTTTCCTGCTTTTTGACGTACGGTAGTCAACTTGCATTATGCTACACACCCTCCTCACCACAGGCGTGTTGTGCTGGAGCCCACAAAACTTTCTAAAAATTCCAAATGACTCAACTGGCCTCAGAAAGGCTGGGGATCCCCTGCCTTAACTGATTGTGTATTTTTACCAAGGTGTTTAAAACTGAAGCACATTGCCTGAATCACACACACACACAAAATGTGAAGATGTGTATTTTAATTCAGTTGCATTCTCCTCAGGAGAGGAGAAAGCCAATGAAATTAACAGCTATGTCTATCTGAGCTCCATTAATTTCAATGAGTATACTGTGGGAAAGACATAGTTGGATAGAATCAAATGATTTTGGACTTTTTTATGTTGTAGAATCCTTTGGTTCTGTTTTGTGATATGTGGCAGCCCACTGGCAAAAGGTGGGCGCATAGATTCAATCAAAGTAATGATTTTGTGATGAGTCTAGTTGTCATGCATCAGATCCAAATCAAGTCACTTTGAGAGCTTTTAAAGCTGTGGCGAAGAGGGAGGTTTGTCTCTCCAAAGTCTGCGTAACACCCAGTTAGCACCGGCGAAAGTCCACTCTTCCACACAATTTGTCATGGGTGCAGCCGCCCTGACCCACACTCCCCTGCTATCTGGCTCAATCATCACTCCTGCCCCTCAGGCGATGTGGCGTTTTGACATTTGCAAAGCACAGTTCCTAAGGACATGCTGTTCGGCAGGCGCAGTTATCCGACACAAGCATGTGTCAAAGAGATGTCCGTCCCACCCAAAGATGGCCACACCTGGCACACCAAAAAATATTTCCAGCAAATAGCCTCCAGCCCATTTCCTCATTGCTCTTTTCTGAAGGACATAATTTACATTTCTCAACAAAGGTCAGCGCCAGACAGAAAAGGGAAGAAGCTGAAATTGTATGACCCGTATGGACTTCAGGACATTGGCTCACCCAGCTGAGTAACATGTCCACTGATATAATAAAAAAAACCAAATAAATAATAATATTTATTACTTATACCCCGCCCATCTGGCTGGGTCTCCCCAGCCACTCTGAGCGGCTCCCAACATAATATCAAAAACACCATAAAACACTAAAAACTTCCCTAAACAGGGCTGCCTTCAGATGTCTTCTAAAAGTCAGATAGTTGTTTATTTCCTTGACATCTGATGGGAGGGCGTTCCACAGGGCGGGCGCCACCACCGAGAAGGCTCTCTGCCTGGTTCCCTGTAACCTCACTTCTTGCAGGGAGGGAACCGCCAGACGGCCCTTGGAACTGGCGTCCATCCCCACCCCACCCCCTCAGTGAATCACAGAACTGTAGAGTTGGAAAGGACCACGAGGGTCATCTCATCCAACCCCCTGCAATGCAACAATGTAATTCAAGCTTCAAGGAAAATATTTCAGATCATTCTCGAAGTGACATTTTGCTCCCCCCATATTTATTTATTTGCTTGCTTAATTTATAGAGCTTCCCCACAGCAGATGCACTCTAGGAAGCCAGTGTAGTGTACTGGTGAGAGTGTCGGACTAGGACCCAGGAGATCAGGGTTCGAATCCCCACTCAGTCAGGAAGCTCACTGGGTGACCTTGGAGTCAGTCACAGCCTCTGAACCTACCTCACAGGGTCGTTGAAGGGCTTAACCAAGGAGGGGAGTGAGCCATGTGCTCGCTGGAGAAAAAGGTGGGATATAAATGCAAAAAATGAGCTTTTCCACTTGCCTGCTTAAGAGAGCTGGAGAGGCCATGCAGATAGAGATGTCAGTCGCCAACTTGGCATCCAGGGATCTCCACATGGTCACAACTGGACCCGCTCCTGGCACAAAACGTACCTGGCTAATTTCTAATACCAGGTATACTTTACTGCCGCAGAAATTACACCAACATCCAATATAGTCATTCCAGTTTATTGTTTCCTTCCTGGTAGTATAGCCTCCAAATTTCAACCATTTTCATAACCAAAAAAAAAAGCATCCCACAGAACTTTTGGACTTAGTTTACTTTTTTTGCTCCATGCAATGTTAACATATTGATGAGCAGAAAGAAAGAAAGAAAGTGTCCCGTGTGGGTTTTGTTTTTTAAAAAAATATTTTTATTAAAATTTTCTTGGTATACAAAGGTATGCGCAGGGGGAACACAACTAGGAGAAGTAGTTAAGTGCTGTTCCTGTGACTCACCAGGCATGGCTTTATTTGGGGACCACCTAAAACAAAAGTCCAAATGTTCATCTCCACTTGAAACAGACTTGCTGCACCATTCAGTTATCAGCACATTTGTTTAAGGTATCTTTAAGCCGCCCTTCACCAGCTGGTCCCAGGAACAGAGCAATAAAACAGCCACTATCTATACAGAATTAAAGCACCCTTAAAAGGTGCTTAAAAACACACAAGGTGAGCTGGCAGCAGGTGGCAGACAGCTTCAGATTGGGTGATTCATGCTGTTTCTTTGCCAAAGACCTGGGCGAGGAGGTACTTGTGGGCATCAGTCAGTGAAAAGTCATCAAGGTTTATGCAAGTTGCTCCTTAAAATGTTTCCTACCTTTAAACTCTTACTTTCGGCCAAAGAACCACCCCTTCGTATTTAACGATGAGGCCACATGGGCATAGCCAGGACTTATGTGAGAGTGCGGCAGGACACTCACCTGCCATCATCCTCTGTCTGGCTCTGTCTGGAAGATTTTGGACTGCAATTTATCAACAACAGTTGTTTTAAATTACTTTCTTTTGATCCCAAGCGCTCAGAGAAATAAAAAATCTTCCGTCATTTGAAAACTAGGAAGCTAAATATAAAAAATTAACATCAGGGAATACCTTTCACGCAGTTAACAAGTATATTTTGCAAAATTTCAAAGGGCTTGCCTTTTTTTATCTTATTTTAGAAAAATCTAAACTAAAACAAGATTTCTTGGATTTGCTGAAAACCTTTTCAGCACTTCCATCTCAAATTCCTCCCTTTTTTTCTCCCAATGCAGTGAGCATTTGAATTTCAAATATTATGATTCTTTCTACTTTTATTTAAATATTTTTATGTATTTATTTGATTTAGTGGGTGGGTGGGGGCATGGATGGGGAAGTTGAACTTAAGTGAAAACTTAAAAACCCAACGCAGATAGATTAATGGGGCGCTTGCATCCCATGCTGGCTACCACTTTATTTTGGGGGTAGCCGAACATCCCTCAAAAAGCTGTGCGCCCTGTGGCAGGGCAGGAAAGAGAGCATCTTAACCCGCTTCCCTGGACTGCTTTTTGTTTCGGAAACCATGCAGAATTTCTTTCTTTCTTTTCCAACCACGGAACTGTGGAGATGAAAGGCTGTCTTGCGGCAATTCTCGTGTGTATGGTGCAAACACTGCCTAAGTACAGTGGTACCTCGGGTTACAGACGCTTCAGATTACAGACGCTTCAGGTTACAGACTCCGCTAACCCAGAAATAGTACCTCAGGTTAAGAACTTTGCTTCAGGATGAGAACAGAAATCGTGCAGCGGCAGCGGGAGGCCCCATTAGCTGAAGTGGTCCTTCAGGTTAAGAACAGTTTCAGGTTAAGAACGGACCTCCAGAACAAATTAAGTTCTTAACCTGAGGTACCACTGTACCATTCAGAGAAGAACCTAGGAGACCAGGTTTGCAACGTCCAGCCATGCCAATGGGTGTGTGCAGATTACGAAACAATTATTGGATACGACCCGTGCTTTCCACCATCTGGGAAGCAGCTGGCAGCCCTCCAGCTCGGCCCCAGCAGCTTCTCGCGAAAACGGTTAGGGAGGCTTTAATCCGACGGAAGAATGAATCTCACAAACACAGAGAGCGCGTCATGGAAACAGCCGAGAAGCCGCAGAGTCGCTCCCCGCACACACGCACCCCCAGCAGCCCCATGTGTCAACTCACTCTCAGCCACAAAGTTTATCTCTTTCATGCTGCTTTCAGAAAGTCATGCTCACTGCACTCTTTATATCAATGCCTCCCATTTGAGGGATGGGTTTCTGAAGAAAGATCTATTCATAACATCGTCACAGCAGGAAAAGAAAGAGTGAGGTACAGTGGTACCTCGGGTTACGGACACTTCAGGTTACAGACTCCGCTAACCCAGAAATAGTACCTCAGGTTAAGAACTTTACCTCAGGATGGGAGCAAAAATTGTGCAGCAGCAGCGAGAGGCCCCATTAGCTAAAGTGGTACCTCAGGTTAAGAACAGTTTCAGGTTAAGAACGGACCTCCAGAACGAATTAAGTTCTAAGCCGAGGTACCACTTAATTCGTTCCGGAGGTCCGTACTTAACCTGAAACTGTTCTTAACCCGAAGCACCACTTTAGCTAATGGGGCCTCCTGCTGCTGCCGCGCCAATGGAGCACAATTTCTGTTCTCTTCCTGAAGCAAAGTTCTTAACCTGAGGTACTATTTCTGGGTTAGCAGAGTCTGTAACCTGAAGCGTATGTACCCTGAAGCGTATGTAACCAGAGGTACCACTGTATATATTTTGAGGGGTTAACTGGCCAAGCTGTCTCTCTTTACACAGTTCCCCCCCCCCCTCTTTTCTGAACCTTTTCCGACTCTACAATATCCTATTTGAGTTGGGAAAGGTCCAGAAATGGATAATCAAAATGATTGAGGGGATGGAGCAGCTCAGCTATGAGGAAAGGTCGTGGTGTTCGGGACATCATATGTTAGAGAAAAGGCCAGGGAGAAGTGGCACAAAAAAGGTTCACAGAATTATGTGTGGCGTGGAGAAAGCGCATAGGGAAATGTTTCCCCTGCAAGAACCCGTGGGCATCGCATGAAGCTGAATGTGGGAAGATTCAGGACAGATAAAAGAAAATCCTTCTTCACACAGCGGCCAGTTGAACTATGGAACTCACTCTTGCAGGAGTCAGGGGTGGCCACCAACCTAGATGGCTTTAAAAGAGAATGGACATATCCTCTTCCCTCCCCATTCCATTTTCCTTTTGTGCCATGCCTTCTTAGATCAGCCCAAGGGTAGGGACCACACTGTATTTTGTTGAGATGTAAGCTGCCTTGGGAGCCTTTCCAGCTGAAGAGCAGGATATACAGTGGTACCTCTGGTTAAGAACTTACCGGTAATTTGTTCTGGAAGTCTGTTCTTAACCTGAGGTACCACTTTAGCTAATGGGGCCTCCCGCTGCCGCCGCACAATTTCTGTTCTCATCCTGAAGTTCTTAACCTGAGATACTATTCCTGGGTTAGCGGAGTCTGTAACCTGAAGCACCTGCAACCTGAAGTGTCTGTAACCCGAGGTACCACTGTAATTGCTATGCATCAGTTGAAATTGTGGGCCGGGATGCATCAGGATTCAAGAGTGACAAGACAGAGGGCGTTGAAGGCTATGCAGCTTTTGCAAAATCAGAGGCCAAAGAATCATAGAACTGGAAGGGGCATCAAGAGGCATCTAGTCCAACCCCTGGCAATGCAGGAATCGCAAAATAATCCCTGGCAGATGGCCATCTAACCTCTGCTTAAAAACCTCCCACAAAGGGGAGTCTGCTGTCAAACAACTCTTGCGTTCAGGAAGTTCTTTCTAATGTCATATTAACCACTTTGAGCATCTTACTGATCAAAGAGCAGGGTGAAGACATTTTCTGATTTATTTTAAAAGTGAGTATCAGAACCTCAGCCCCCAGGAGAAGAGACTGCTCTTGCTTTGAATCCTGCTTGCGGGTTTCCCAGAAGAGGCATCTGGTTGGCCACTGTGAGAACAGGATGCTGGACGACTAGATGGGCCACTGGCCTGATCCAGCAAGCTCTTCTCATGTTCAAGTATGAGCTACAGCCCATCGTACGTCTCCAAACGAAGCTCAGCCCTCTATCCAAATTCCCGTGTTTATAGCTGCACTGCTGCTGCCAGCCCAACAGGCTTTAAAAAGTGAAAGCAAATCTTTCCCCAATTCAAAATTCAGGGCTTGCTTAAATTAAATTATCAAGCACCCAAGGCATTTTGAATGTAATCTGGATTTCCCCAGAGGGAAAAAGGATTGGGAGAAGGGGGTGGGGCGGACTGAATGTTTATGAATCAGACAGTTTTAAGTGTGTGCATCGGGGGCTGGAAGGTGGGCGATGTGCTGAAGAACAGAAAGTTGAGCTGGATGAGTCAGGAAGTTGTTTAAATTTTTAAAAAAGCATTTCTCTTTTCTCCCCCAATGCCATATCAGAAAGCTAAATACCTGAATAGAAAGAGGGCACCTGTGTCATTTCTTGTTGTTATAAGGCCAGGAAAGTTCAGTGCGCTTGTCTCTCATGGGAGAAAAAGAAGTCAGAGAGGGTCAACTTGCCTTACCCTCCCCTCCACCGCCCTCCCCGCTGCTCGATCTCCTGCGTAAAAAAACGCCAGAGGACTGTTCACACATCTGCCGCAGAGCCTCGGGTTTGGCTCTCAGAAGGCGAGACAAGATGCAAAAGCAGAAGAAAATCTGGAAAGTCTACAAACTAATTTGCTAAGGTCTGCCTTGTCCCTCCCAGCACATTTTACGGATCAAGCTGTTCTGAAGCTTAGCTGGCACTTAATAATAATAATAATAAAAGCATAATGGAAGCAGGAAGCCGGTGTGTGTGTGTGTACAGAACACACACACGGTTATGCAACAAGCAAACAATTTCTTCCTAGCAACCATTTATCACTTTTTAAAAAGAAAAAGGAGAGATTAACAAATCTACACATTGCAGATCTGGCTGTGAACTTGCCAGATCCTTCAAAACAAAGCTGTCTTCCTCCAAATCCTGGGGAAAGAACCTCTATTCCACAGCTCAAATGCACACACACCCCCCAGCATCCATATCCATCCCTTGAGGCTCTTCCCCGGGTGCCACCCATCGAAAGCCCTGCCTCTTCAAGTGTTTTTGCTTGCTGGGAAGAGTTCCCGAAATGTTATCATGCCTCTGTCTTGCCCAACATGGAGGGATGTGTGTGTGTGTGTGTGTGTGTGTGTGCAGAAGGCTCTGAACTTTCCTATGACTGGAATGTGACCTACTGTATATTGCTCCACCCACTTTTACCTCTAGCCCCACCCACCAATGACAAGGAGGGCTCCCCGGGAGGTCCCTTCCAGCCCCACCACTGTATTCTTCTAGTGTTATGAGTTTGTGGGTGCCAGACCACGATAAATCCCTGGATCCAGTAAGTGTTGGAATTTAATCAAGGCTTGGGGTGTTAAACTGGGTGCCAGACACTCTATCCCTGGAACCTGCAAGTGTTAGAAGGTAACCAAGTCAGGTGTTCAGGTAATCACCTAGTTTGATGGGCCATGAAGAAAGCAAAAGAGAGGGGTCTCTATATAAGATGGGAAAAGGACATAAGCCTGAGTTTAGAGTTGAAAGTGTCTGCAATGTGACCTAGAAGCAAAGCTGAGGATGGAAAGCCAGAGAGCCAGAGCACAATGTCTGATTTCTGGCTATAAGAGAAACAAGACCTTTTGGGGTTGTTAATGCTACAAACCCCTCCATCTCAGGCTCAGGTTGCATGTTGTTGTTGTTGTTGTTGTTGTTGTTGTTTAGTCGTTTAGTCGTGTCCGACTCTTCGTGACCCCATGGACCAGAGCACACCAGGCACTCCTGTCTTCCACTGCCTCCTGCAGTTTGGTCAAACTCATGCTGGTAGCTTTGAGAACACTGTCCAACCATCTCGTCCTCTGTCATCCCTTTCTCCTTGTGCCCTCAGTCTCTCCGAACATCAGGGTCTTTTCCAGGGAGTCTTCTCTTCTCATGAGGTGGCCAAAGTATTGGAGCAGGCACAGACAAACTCAGCCCTCCAGATGTTTTGGGACTACAACTCCTACCATCCCTAGCTAACAGGACCAGTGGTCAGGGATGATGGGAGTTGTAGTCCCAAAACATCTGGAGGGCCAAGTTTGCCTATGCCTGCATTGGAGCCTCAGCTTCAGGTTGCATAGATGTGTCAATAAACCATAAATCCTAAAGACGCCACAGTCTTCGCTGTGCCTCATTCCCAAAAGGAAACGTGAACCCCAGGTAAATGCCTGGAATCTCACACTGCTCCAAGATTGGGGTGGGCAGGCGATTCTACGTCCCACGAACACAGAAGCAAGAGCAAATGCGAGAAAATGAACCTTGCATATTCACTTGCATTTTCCCCATTTCGAGCAACCCAAATGAAGGGGCTGTTTTAAAGGGGGGGGCCAAACCAATCTGAAAGGGTCACCTGCAAGCAATTCAATGAGGGCAAAGGCAGATTTAGGAGAGCACAACCGGCGTGGCTGCTCTGAGTGCGGACCTTTGGGATCACATGTGCCACAAGGGTGCCACAGCTATAAGGCAGAATGGAAAGTGAGAGGCAAGTAGGTGCCAATTTTTGGTGCTGCACAGGCTGCCACTGAAATTAGAGGACCCCCACACACACCAAGGTCCGCCACTGATGGGGACTACCGCCATGAGGTGGGAAACAGAACCACTGGCATCACCCCACTAAAAGAAAACTGGGAACAACAGCCAGAAATGGGATTATGACTCAAGTTTTTGTCCTACGGGCAGGAAAGTAGATGGAGCCCATGGATTCAACATTCACTCCTGGAGAAGCAGCATCTTACAGAAGAGAAGTATATCATGAGAGCTGCCCCTCCTATTTGGGACATGGAGCTGCAAAAGCACCCCACAAACCGGCCCCACAAAGACATCTATTCCCTGGAATAACAAAGCACCAGCATATCTATCTGCCCCCCAGGGCAGAATTTATTATTTATCCCTTTCCTCCCTCATAACTGCCTTGAAATGCAGGCAGTTTCTTTACTCAGGAAGGTGCCTTAAGGCCCCCTCTCACAGCGTGCATTTAAAGCACCATATAGCAACTTTCAAGAGTCGTGGCTTTCCCCCAAAGAACCTGGAAACTGTAGTTTCTTAAAGGTAAATACAACCGAGCAGTATTTACGTTTTGTGAAATGAAATTAAAAAATAAGGGTGCTGAAAGCTGTTAGGAGGCCCTCATTCCCCTAAAATCAGTGTTAGAAACTGGGATAGAAGAGCTAGGAGCCAAATGGCTCCTGAGACCTGGGTTGTGGGCGCCAAAACAGATTGTCTAGTTGCCATGTGGCAACAATTTTCATTTATTATTTTGATAAACACGAACTAACACACAATTCACATAAGTGACACATTTTTAGCAGAAATTGTTAATACATGTTTAATTTGGTGTTTCCAATAAAAATAATGGCACCATGCTTCAGTTTTCAAAACACTCTACTCTTTATTGTTAAACTCCTTGACATGTTGCCTATCCTTAACATATACTTTGAGGCTTCAAAGCACATACATTATTTCAGTAATCACTGAGCACCCAGACGTTGCTCGCAAATGGAGAATCTTTAGGTGCAAAATGTGCCTGGTGCCCTGCTGATTTCAAACCCTACCTAAAATACTACAAAGTTTGGGCTTACAAAGGGTATCATATTACGAAAGATTACCAAAGTCCCTCCCTGATCCCATCGACAAGGAGCAAATATTTATTATATATATATATATATATACTGCTCTTCCAATTGATAACCAAGAACACTGCCCACTATAATTAAAACAATCAACACAAGTTAATTCACAACCTCATTTAAGAAAAAAAGTCAAAACATGCTCACACACTGAGGGGGTGCATTTCAGCTATTTTTTGAGGGGGACAGAAGTGGAGACTTATTGGTAGTGGCTCTGCATGAGGTAGCTGTGGCAGCCATTTTTTCTTTCAGAACTCCACTGGGAACAATGCTTTGTCCCCCTCTCAGTGAACTTTCGTGGTGGGGGTGGCCACTAGGCACCTCACAAAAACAAAACCGCCAACAGAGTGTCCAAAGAAAATCTTAGCTGGCAGGTTGGAGACTCATCCAAAGACTCTGGGCCAAAGTAGGATTTGAACCCAGGACTCTGCAGTCCTAACCCGAAACCACATTTCAATGAATGCCTTTAAAAACAGTTGCTTTGTAGATGGGAGCTTGGTTGTTCATTTGTGGAAAAGGTCACATCCCTCTTTTTAAGCAACCGTAAGATTACGAAGAGGGCCAATTTCTCACAACAATGTGGGTTTTTTTGTTTCGATTGGAGAAACCGCCACCAACTGGACTGTCTCCAAAGAAGCTGCCTCCAAAAAGCGTAGGAATGATTCACTTTAATTTGGCTGCGCTCAATCTCTGAACGCCTTCCAGGATGCAGCAAGCTACAACCTTCTTTTAATTATAGAATTACAAATAAATACCATTCCCAAGAAACAGCGTTCCGTTAATTTATAAATGGGCTCCGCTCTGACGGCAAAATCATCCATCATAAACAAGCCGTTCTGCACATTGTCGGATGGAAAAGGAGCAAATCATTAAGGAAGCCTACCTGGCCACTGTGGCCTCAGTCCAGCTTATGACCAAATACAATGGTACCTCGGGTTACAAACACCTTGGGTTACAAACACTTTGGGTTACAGACTCCGCTAACCCGGAAGTAGTACCTCAGGTTAAGGACTTTACCTCAGGATGAGAACAGAAATCGCACAGCGGCAGCGGGAGGCCCCATTAGCTAAAGTGGTACCTCAGGTTAAGAACGGTTTCAGGTTAAGAACGGACCTCCGGTACAAATTAAGTTCGTAACCAGAGGTACCACTGTACCACTAAAAGGCTGCACCATATCCTTAAAGCACTCTGAAACCACTTTAGCTCATCACAGCTTCCCCCCAGGAATTCTGGGAGTTGTAGTTTGTTCAGAGTGCACACGTGATGCCAGAGGCATGCACTAAACACCGTGCATGATGTCACAGGGGTATACTGCGGCGCTGAGCACCTCCACTGTGGGGCCCAAGATGGCACCTCTGTACCCTGGCAGTGACAGCTTACTTCAACACTGGTGATGGGACAAGAACTCTGGCCGCACTCATAAGCAACAGGTTTGGACAGGGCAGGTGTTGTAGCTCTCTCCTCTGACATCTTGCTGCCACTGCTCACCTCACCGCTGCCTGAAGCGTCTTCCTGACTCTGCCTAATGGTAGGGCCAGCTCCTTACTTGCATTTCTTTTTAAAAAGATGTATGTTCTTATGTTAACTGGCAGCCTAACCTACCTCACAGGGTTGCTGTGAGGCTAAAATGGGGAGGAAAATAACCATGCATGCCACCTTGAGCTCCCTGGAGGAAAAGCAGGACATAACCACGTTAAAGAAATAAAAAATAAAAGGAGGGGACATTTTATCATATGTGGTGGGATTGTAAGGTAATTAAAAAATTTTGAGAAATGATATATAACGAATTGAAGAAAATGTTCCATTTAACATTTGTTAACAAACCTGAAGCATTTTTATTAGGGATTGTAGGGAAAGATATGCCAAAAAAGCTGAAAAACATCTTCCTGTATGCGACAACGGCCACGAGAGTTTTAATAGCACAAGGATGGAAGACTGAAGAAACCCCAGCTAAAGAATCATGGCAAGAAAAGTTGATGGACTACGCAGAACTGGTAAAACTGACATACAAGCTACAGGACAAGGATAACTGTGACTTTAAAGATGAATGGGAACCCTTTACAAAGTATTTGAAGATGCAACAAAGCGAACTGGACTCCTTGGCTGGTTTTGAATAAACATTCACAAACTTTTTAATGATAATAATTACTTAAATAGTTTGAGGATCTATACAACTGTGTAACAAGCAGAAAACAGCATTTTTTTGAGAAATCAAAGACTGGAACTGAGGGAAGTCGGGGGGTGGGTGGGTTCTGTGGGGGGGGGAGGAAAAAAGGGGGAAAATAAGGATGATATATTTCTGGATAATATGTTTTGTTTTAATTTTGAATAAAAAAGTAATTAAAAAAAAGAAATAAAAAATAATATATATTTGTAACAGGTTCAACTGATCATTTGGGGGCACATATTCTAATCGTTACAGTCTTAACCCACCTTCCCTCCAAGAGCAGAGGCGGAATTAGGGGAGCACGGCCAATTTGCGTTTTAGAGTTGCACAGGGTGCCGCTGAAATTTGAAAGCCCAAAGTCCACCACTGCCAAGGGCCTCAAGATGGTGTACACAGTTCTCCTGCTCACAACAGCCCTGTGAGGTAGGCTAGGCAGAGAGGCTGTGACTTTCCTATGAGCTTCGTGGCTGAGTGAGGACCCTGGTCTCCCAGGCCCTATATGTTAACAGCTATACCACACTGGCTCTGAAGACAATTGGTCCATCAAGCTCAGTGCTGTCAACACTGGCTGGCAACAGCTTTCCAGCGTTTCCAATGGGTTTCCCCAGTCCTTCCCGACGAATACCAGGGATTGAACCTGGACCTTTCACATGCAAAGCAGATACTCTTCCCCATTTCTCTACACAGTCAAGAAGGGTTTCCAGTTTCAGTTTCTTCTAGCCACCCAACAAAACGCAGCAGTTTTTCTTCCAGGGGTTGCCAGCCCTGGTGACTTCCAGATGTTGGCGGCTCCCAGCTCCCTCAGCCCCAGCCAGCATGGTCACTGGTCAGTGATGGAGTTTAGCAACATCTGGTGGGGTGCGGGTTCTCCACCCCTGATTTAATAAAATGCAATGTGCTATTATAAACCAAAGGCTCAATTGAACGCCAAAGATTTGTAGGGTCTCGGCGTTCTCCATCTATACCCACAGAGCTGTAGCTCAGTGGCAGATGAGTGGTAGACCTTTGCATGCAGAAGGACCTAAGATGAATCCCCTGCGTTTCCTGGTAGGACTGGGAATGTCCCTTGTCTGAAAAGAGCGAACACTCCGACTCAGTTCAAGGCAGCTTCCGATACTGTTGGCTAGGAAGTTTAGAGTGCATTCGCCTTGCAGATCACCTTGTGCTCAATCCCTCCTGATTTCCTGCGGAACTGCCAAGAGCACCTGTGGCAGAAGATTCCTGATCCTGAAGGGCTGGTTAACTCGCACCCAGCCCGATCCTATGCATGCTTGCTCAGAACTAGGACTCGCAAAGTCCAGCAGCGCCTAGTAAGAGATCACCAGATGGCAGCCGTTGATCACCTTCAACCTCCAAAGCCATCCCTTGAGTCTGTAAAGAAGCCAGAGGTGGGCGCGAGTTCAGGATCCGCCAAGCTGGTCAGCGGAAAGATGCCTTTCGGTGCACAAGCTGGCCAGAGAGGTCTTCCCCAACAGTGTTCGAAAATAGCCAGGCGCCAGGCTCGTCTTGTGACTGGCGCAGGTCCAGTTGTGACCACCTAGAGATCTCTGGATGCTAGCTTGGTGACTGACATCTCCACCTGGCTGGCCCCTCCAGTTTTCTTAAGCAGGTAAGGAGAAGAGCTTACTTACTGAATAGATATCCCATATATTTTCTTTAAAATATAATGCAGTATAGAAATGAAATGAAAAAGAATAATTACAATAACAATCTCCACTGGGAGAGGGGGAATGGCGCCTAGACATACCATTGTGGCCACCATAAGCTATGTTTAAGGTGTGTTTTGGCAGTTGACTCATGGGTAGGCAAACTAAGGCCCGGGGGCCGGATTTGGCCCAATCACCTTCTCAGTCCGGCCTGCGGACGGTCCAGGAATCAGCATGTTTTTACATGAGTAGAATGTGTCCTTTTATTTTAAATGCATCTCTGGGCTATTTGTGGGGCATAGGAATTCGTTCATTTTCCCCCACTCACCCAAAAAATATATAGTCCGGCCCCCCCACAAGGTCTGAGGAACAGTGGACCGGCCCCCTGCTGAAAGTGTTTGCTGACCCCTGAGTTAACTTATATATCTGAGTTTCTAACACTGTTCCTTGACACCCAAAGGGTCAACTCAGGCTTGAAAGAACAGGTTGCAGTGTGTGCCTCTAGGTATGGGGTGCCCACAACAGTTTTTCTGGTTTGCAAGTGTAGCCCTGGGTGCAGGAAGGTTGACAGTGCCTGATCAAAGCCATTCAGCAGAGTTGGCCCAAGACATTTTGCAGTCCGAAGCACATGTCAAAATGGTGCTTCCCCCTTGGGCAGCTGAGTCTTAACGCTGAAGACGAATTAGCATCCTCTATGGCACCCAAGGACAGAAGGCTAGCAAAGAGAAGGCTGCATAGGATGCCCAGCTGAGTTCCGTCTCAGTATCTGCCACCCGAGGCAGCTGCCTCACTCCATGCAACACTAGGGCTGGCCATGCCCTCCAAATTTACAAGAACGGAGATTCCGACTAAACATCAGGAAGAACTTTCTGCCGGCGAGAGCCGTTCTATAATGGAATGGTCTACCTCGGAAGGTGGCAGACTCTCCTTCATTGGAGGTTTTTAAAAGTAGAGCTTGGACGGCCATCAGTCATGGATGCTTTAGTCGTGATTCCTGCATTTAAGGGGGTTAGACTAAATGACTCTTGGGTTCCCTTCCAACCCAACAATTCTATAATCCAGAGAGCGTTGCAAGAAAGGGCTTTGCTGCAGAACTACAACAGGCTCCCCTCCGTTCTACCCACCGACAATAAGTAGCCTTTAAAAGAACACACACAGAGAGACAAATATGCATCCTCTAAAAATAGGCTGCGCAGATGATCACAAATTGCTTCTGAAACTCAATTTAGTTTTACAATTTATTTTTTTTAAATTAATTGCCTTTAAAAAAAAACACCCAACAACCTGGCACAACCCATCCTCCAACTTTTGCCATTTTCCAACACACACACTTCATTTCAGCTTCATCAAAGCTATTTGCATATGCAAATATTGGTTGGGCTGCATAAGGACTTTCCAATGAGCTTTCTTCTAATCAGATAAATATTGACTCAGGTGTGGTTGTGTTCTGAGGCTCAGTGTCAAGTTCCACCCTTCTTTGTGTAGGGATAACCAAATCTTATTGTCTCGGGGGAAAGGTGGCGCCCGCAGGAAACAAAGGTCACAGGTCTCTTATCCGTGAGCATCATAAAATCGTAAGGTTGGAAGGGACCCGAGGGTCATCTAGTCCAACCCCCTGCAATGCAGGAATCTTTTTGCCCAACGTGGGGCTCGAACCCACAACCATGAGATTAAGAGTCTCGTGCTCTTACCATCTGAGCTATCTGCAGCAGAGGTGAGGAACAATACAATAGCGAACATACAATACAATACAATACAATAGTGAACATACAATAGTGAACATTGCATCCAAGTAAAATACTAGAGTTGCTAGATCAGGACCCTGAGATTTCACGGCTCAGACCTGAGACCTAGGGGCAGCCCCTTTTGATCTCACAGGAGGCAAGCTCCAGTGATGTCATTAAGCATGACTGAGCCCTGGAGATGGAGGTTAATTGGGATTGGAGAGGAAGGGGGGAGGGACTCCACCCACAAGAATCGATGCAATAATTTGCAGCTGGCTCCTGCCAGGCTGAAGCCTGCAAGCTGCATGCACCATCTTAATAATAAGAATAATAAATCTTATGGAACTCTCACCCACCTGGAAAGTCAAGCCATCCCCCTGTCACTATCTTCCCACCTTCGTAGGCCAGGTCTGGCAGATGGACAGGGCACCTGCCATTCACCTGGCACAATCAAAGTATCAGATGACTGACAGGTGGGTGGTCCTGCCCACCTGCCAACATTGGCCTGCAAGGTTTGGGAGGGATGATAATCATCAGTCCTGGGTTAGAGGGAGTAGCTACCAAAGAACGTAGTAGCCCAGTGGGCCTTATTTCCAAGTCAGTCATTCCCCTCTAGATGCTTTGGACTACAACTCCCATCATCCTCTCTGGCAACTGGCCACTCTGGCAGGGAGATGAGAGTCCAGCACAGGCATCCCCAAACTCAGCCCTCCAGCTGTTTTGGGACTACAACTCCCATCATCCCTAGCTAAAAGGACCAGTGGTCAGGGGTGATGGGAACTGTAGTCCCAAAACAGCTGGAGGGCCGAGTTTGGGGATGCCTGGTCCAGCAACATCTAAGAGAGCACCAGCCTGACGGCAAGAACCACCTAGAGCAGTGTTTCCCCAAACTTGGGTCTCTAGCTATTTTTTGGACTACAGCTCCCATTATCCCTAGCTAACAAGACCAGTTGTCATGAATGATGGGAGTTGTAGTCCAACAACCTCTGGGGAACCAGGGTTAAGAAAGTCTGATCTAGATCACAATGGCTCCCTCTAGAGTGGTCAATACTGTGAGACGTGGGGTGATAGCCTGAATCAGTACACTCCTTGATCCACGACACCTCTGCCAATCCTGGCTCCTGCACACTCCACCCTGAATATTCACTGCATGAATGGAGAGCTGGTGTAGCACAGTGGTTAGAGTGTCGGACAATGACCTGGGAGACCAGGGTTCAAATCCCCACTCAGCCATGAAGCTCACTGGCTAACCCTGGGCCAGGCTCTGCCTCTCAGCCAAACCTACCTCACAGGGTTGTTGTGGGGATTAAATGAGGAAGAGGAGAAGCATGTGCTCTACCTTGTGCTCCTTGAAGAAATGGGTGGGATATAAATGCAATAACTAAATAAAGGATATACCGTCTTTCTTCCAAGAAGTTCATGGTCCCCAACATTGTTCTTCCCTGCCTTCATTTAATCCCCACAACCCCCCCCCCTGTGAGGTAGGTTAGACAGAGCGGTAGTGCTTGCTTGGCCCCAAGGTCACCCAGTGAGCTTCATGGCTGAGTCGGGGTTTGAATGCTGGGAACCCTCAGGGTCCCTTTCAACTCTGTAAGTCTGTGCTGGAATGTTGGAAGGGTCAAGGCTCCGTGGCAGGACATCTGCTTTTCATGCCTAAAGTCCCAATTTCCATTCCTTTCAGCAGCTCCAAGCAGGGATGAGAAGACTACTACCTACACAAAACCCTAGGGAGCTGCTGCCAGTCAGTGTAGGGAACACCCAGCTAGATGGGTTCAGGCACACACAGACCAAGGGTACTGATCCGGTACAGAAAGCAGCTTGCTAATGTTCCTGTGTTTACTCTGTGACCCAAATCCCCCTCCAGAAGCCTCTTTCAGGTCACCTGCACCCCAAAATTCACCCACACCATTCATCAACAGACACATCAACCCCCAGCCAAGTCCCAACACAGAGCAGTTCCCCAAAAACCTAGGTCACCACCCCGTCAGATGCTCAGAACTGCATCCTTTCCAGTAGTCAAACCAGGTGTTCTGCCCTCTGCAAATCCAGGTGTCCGCTCCCTGCTCTCCCTCCCTGGCCCAGGCCTGACCAGATTCACAATCGCAGCTCCAAGCACTTCTCATGGCAAGGTACTGGGCTAGATGACCTTTGGGGCATCTTCCAGCTCCACGATTCTATGATTCACCTTCCAGGTAACTGCTAAGCAAAGCAGTTTTCCAGGGCCTGCCCAGGGCCCAGCCAGTTCTTCCTTGACCGGGCAGTCAGACCACTATGGTCTGTAACCAATGGCCGGTGCAAGCCTTGCCTTTCATGCCCAAATAATCTCTGACCCGCCACCCTGCCACAGTCTTCAAACCTAACCTCAATTTATCCTCTGAAGCAACATTTAAAAATAATAAATCAGTCGCTCCTCTTCCCCCTCCAAGCATGAAAGCTGCCATTTCGGAGCTCTCTCAATGGAGCTTCCAGGGTCCAGGGCATTCCGCTGCAACTGTAAGATTACTAGGGGCAAATACAAAGGGGAGCAAAAGGCTGCTTTTGCAGACATCCCGGAAGCCTTGTGCCGACTTCTACGGAAGGAGGCTGCTCAGCCAAATGGAACCTGTGGTTTGCTCTAGCAGCAGGGCTCCTCTTTGAGTGCTTATTTTAAAACTGATCAGACAAAAGTCCCCAGAGGAGGGATCCAATTAATGGCTGTCCGTTGCAGCATCGCAATGGAACTAGCATGCTTAGGGGCAGTCTATCTCTGAAAGAAAGGGCAGAGGGTTCTTGTCTTCATGGTGCTGCTCTCGGGCAGCTACAAGGAGTGGCTGCGGTTCTTGGCGATTGCACTTTTCTGTCTCTCTCTCTCTCTCTCTCTCTCTGCCCAGTCACCTTTGGCTTCAGGATCCTACCACCCACTGCCCAAACTGGATGGCACTCCCATGCCCCACAGAGCCACCCTCTCCAGCCTCACATAAACCCCACAGGACACCCAACCATTAAAAGTACCTCTCTTATCCCAGATCACACACCCTGTTATAAACTCTCTGTTTAGGTGGGCCCCTTTCAAGGTAGCCCACTATGTGGAAAACAAAGGGTTGCACCCAAACAGCATAAGAGCCAACTTGCAGCGGATGAGGTCCCTTTGCCCCCCAACGTAATATTTGAGGGAGCTGGGGCCCTCAAAGTCGATGGACATTGTCATTCAAATGGTGTGTATGTGCCACATCATGAGATGATTATGCAGCGGGAGGCTTACCTGTCCCCCCCTATGTTATTCAAGTTGGCATCCCTGCAACCAAGAGCAGACCCATAGAAATCGGTAGGACCCATCCAAAAGCACTCTTACACCACAGTCAGTCATGCCTCCCCTGCCCCAAGGATCCTGGGAACTGTAGTTGAAGGATGCTGCCATTCTCAGCACCCTTAAAAACTACAGTTCCCAGGATTCTTTTTTGGGGAGGGGGCGAGCCATGCCCGGTGCAGAGCGCTTTGACTGCATGGCGTGGCTGCGACCTGAAACCATAGGTTTCAATGGGTCTACTCTGAGTAGGGCTAACCCTGACTCCAATCCCCAAACCCGTCCTGATGACATCGCCGTTCTGAAAGCCACCATGGATGGCATCGCGGTTCTCCGGCGGTAGGGAGCGAGGCGGCTTCGACCCCAACAGGACTCACCGTTGGCGCCGTACTTCTCCCGGTTCCGCCGCACCTGCTCCGCGCTCAGCCCGCAGCTTTCGCGCACGCCGAAGCGCCGCAGCACCTCCTCGGCCGTCGAGCTGTGCGCGCTCTCCATGACGCGCGGCTGGAGCGCTCCGGCGCGCGCTCGCCTCGCCTGGCTGTGCGCTCCGGCGGCGCCCGCCCGTTCCCTTGAACGCTGCCCGGTTACCGGACCGGCTCCGGAGGAGGAGGAGAAGGAGGAGGAAGCCTGATCCGGCTGGACGACGATGAAAAGAGGAAAGCCGGCCGCAGGTTCCTACTCCAAAGCCAAATCGCGCAACCCGGATTGTAATAATAATTAAATTAAATTAAATTAAATTATAAAAACCCGGGGCGTTTTTTCTCTCTCCAAGTCCCTCGGTCTCAGCCTGCCGCGATCTCGCAGGAAGGAACCTTCCGCCTGGCCCCGCGAGCAGCCCTCTCCGCTTGCGCGCTCACAGCCGCGGCTCCCGTCCGCAGAGCCTGCCCGGGCGTTCCGCTACTGCCGCTGCCATGCCGCGCCTTGCAAAGTTACTTTCTCTCCACTCGGGTTTCCCTGAGCCAGGCCCCGCCCTCCGCCTCTAGCGCCCGGTCTCGCCTTCCCCCAGGATCGCTCGCCTCGATCACCTGCGATCGCTCGCCCTTTTTGTACGATTTTTTTGGGGGGAAGTGTTATTATTGTGATTCTTTAAGCCTCGCTGCTGAGCGCGCGGCGGCTCCTCCCTCCTCCAGCCTTCCCCATTCACAAGCTACCTGCTGCCTCCCGATTGGTTCCGGCACACCCTTGATACCTTCCTGCCCTTCTGCCATTGGCTATGAGAGGCGTTCCGATTTGCATAGCATTTCTCTCTTTCCCCCCACCCGGGGGAGGGCGCTTTTCCGACCCGCCCACTTGTGCCTTTTAAGGGTTTTTTTTTTTAAAGGAATTCCCATCGCTGCAGAGATTGGGGGCGGGGCTCAGCTGCACCTGTTGGATTTCTGTCTGCCATACACCTGCTATTAACAGTCCCGCGCCGAAAGCTCTTGCTGCCTGAAACAGGGAAAAAATCTAGTACACACGGAATGAGAACTAGATCCTCTGTGTGTGCGTGTAAAATTAATTCATAAGGGCACTTCAAAATCACGGGGATAGGGACTTTTCAGTCTTCATTTTAACTAAGTAAACACACATTATTTTTTTCAAATAAAGCAATGTCATGAAACATATATTAAATGATTGCAATTTCAAGAAACTTGACATTTAAAATTTAATTTAAAATGTTCAGATATGCGGGGAGGGGGCACGTTCCAAAAGCCCTCTCAGCATGAATCTCTGGAAGAAAGCAGATGACAGCAGGCCAGGTGTCACACAGGGCATACCAATCCCATTCAGAACTATGTTTACTTGTGCATTAACTGTCTCTGTGAATGACATATTGCTTGTGTGTCATTCACTATAACAGGGGCTGGGCTCTGCAGGCCAGATCCTTACCTAGCACCACCCCTAGGGGCCAGCTTTGACAGGTGGGTGGGTGGGACAACTCACCTGCCAATCACCTGATGCCGCCAATAATTGACAGGCAGGCTGTCCTGCCCAACTTTTGCTCCATTCTCTTATGGAAAACGCCTTAGTAGGAAAAGTGTTTTCAGAATTCCATTTGGCAGGGCAGTTCTACAACCAATAGATTGGTTTTTTTTAATCTTCCATTTGTTAACTGACACCACCATCAGTCTGAATACCAAACGTTCCTCAAATGCACTGTTCACCAGCAGGTCTCAGAGTGGGTAACAACACTTTAAAATTCTGCACTAAAAACATATTAAGGAAAGTAATAAACGTAATAATCAGAATTTTTCCATTAAAAAATTACCATAAGAGCCTTCTGAGAAGGTATAATGACTCAATTTAACCTTAATCAGGATTCAACATGTACCATAACTTTTCATTTTTAAAAACCTGGTCACAATGACCATTTTACTGAATTGTACTGTTGGTAGAGACCAACCACATTTCTGATTGTGATTCATTTACTGGCTGCTACATTTGTGTTGGCCCCATGCAATAAGCCTCCTGCCTTGCCAGTGGCTACAAAATGGTTTATGAAGTTTTCAGAGTCAGCTGAAATGAAAAGGGAGACAAATTAACAGGCAGTGTGTCCACCCAAGAAACAATCCCTCAGCCTCCTGTCTCTAAATGACAGAGAAATGCTCTCCTTTTCTGATATACGGGGACACACAGTGTAAGACATGGCAAAATCTGAAATACATTATTTCTAAAATGGCAGGGGAGGGGGAATATTGGAAGAAAACCACCTATTTTAAATTTTTGTTTCTACTCTGCTCTTCATACAGGGCTGCTTACATACAATCAAAGCAAGACAGTTCCCTCCCTCAACTCCAGTAGGGAGTTAGAAAGAAAAGGGCCAAAGTTGAGAGTTGAGTTATGTGAGCTAGAAGCTGGAAGCAGGGAAGCAGACTGTGAAGTCAGAGAGACAAAGCCATGCCTGATTTCTGCTGGAATCCCAAGGTCTAGCTATGGGAGAAGCAAGACCCTCTTGGGCTGTTACTGCAGTGAACTCCTCCATCATAGACTCAGGTTGCATATATGTGCAAATATGCACATGCCCCCACCCTCCCCAAAACAGCCATTCACAAATTACGATGTGATAGTGTTTTATCAATAATTATATGCCCGATAACTGTGTGCGATGTCAGAAAATAGGTGAGCTTCTGTTTTCCAATCAATAGATGTTTTGAATGAATTGTATCGCCGTCATCCTTTCTTGCTAGATACATAGAAATGTAGGTTGTCATCACGCCACTAGGAAGCCATACCAATTGCCACATAAGGAACAGTGGGTAGGCCCAGGTGAACAGCGAGATTTAATAGAGGGGTGGGGGAGGCAAGTCATTGTGTAAAACAACTCTGTTACAACGTGGCTGAAGAGTAAAAATGTTTTAAATAAAATAGTTCAAGAAATACCTTTTGAATGCAGAATGTATTTCTGATCTCTGCAAGCCACTCAGAGAACCTTTCCCCCCACCTGGCAGAAGAGCAGAGTAAATATGGTTTAAATAAAATAGTTTAAATGCATAGAATCATAGAATTGTAGAGTTGGAAGGGTCATCTAGTCCAACTCCCTGCAATACAGGAATATCAACTAAAGCATCCATGATAGATGGCCATCCAACCTCTGCTTAAAAACCAGCTTGGTTTCAGAAGAAGAAAGCAAAGACTGCCTCAGGTGAGGCCAAACAATAAATGGAATAATAATAATAATAATAATAATAATAATAATAATAATAAATTATTTATACCCCCCCCAATTTGGCTGGGTTTCCCCAGCCACTCTGGGCGGCTTCCAACAAAATATTAAAATACAGTAATGCATCAAACATTAAAAGCTTCCCTAAACAGGGCTGCCTTCAGATGTCTTCTAAAAGTCTGATAGTTGTTCTCTTTGACATCTGGTGGGAGGGCGTTCCACAGGGCGGGTGCCACTACCGAGAAGGCCCTCTGCCTGGTTCCCTGTAGCTTGGCTTCTCACATCAAGGGAACTGCTAGAAGGCCCACAGAGCTGGACCTCAGTGTCAGGGCAGAACGATGGGGGTGGAGACGCTCCTTCCGATATACTGGACTGAGGCCGTTTAGGGCTTTAAAGGTCAGCACCAACACTTTGAATTGTGCTTGGAAACCTACTGGGAACAGAGTATTCTACCTGAGCAGAAGAAACAGCAGCCTTTATCCAAGAGAGTTGGATCTGGCTGTCTGACACCGTTCTGCAAATATGAGAGAATCTAAAAACAGGAATCTCTCCCTCTTATAGTTTAACTTTCCAGGGTTGAGGAGCTGGACTGCTAGTGAAGAGGATGTGCAAGTTCTCCTTTCTTTCAAAAAGAAGGGTGTTTATTTTCCTGCTCTCCCTCCCTCCCTGCCTGCCCCATATCTGCGAGATTCTATTTTCATATTGCCAGTGGGAGGAAGGTTCAGAGGCTCTGGAGAGCAGCAGTGAAGGAGAGGAGGAGGAAGGGGCAGCAGCAGCAAGCATCCTTCCCAGCATGCTTTGCCGCAAGCAGCGTCCACGGAAACCTCAAATAAAGGCAGCGGTGCAACATTGCAAAACTCATGCTTTTTAGATGCTTCCACCTGAGCCCAAACTCGCCCATAGCACAGCAGAGCTGGAGAAGCGGCGGTAGCTCAGCATTGTGGAATATCTGCTTTGCATGCAGAAGGATCAGTCCCTGGCTCTGCACGCCCCCACTAAAAAGCTTACCTTGGCAGGTGGGCCATTCCTCATACTGGGGGGGGGGGGGCAGAGAGAGATGCAAACTCTTGAGCATATCAACACCTTACTTTTTATATGTATAGGAAGAAAGGAAAGAAGGAAACTGTATAATACAGTGATACCTCGGGTTAAGAACTTAATTCATTCTGGAGGTTCGTTCTTAACCTGAAACTGTTCTTAACCTGAGGTACCACTTTAGCTAATGGGGCCTCCCGCTGCCGCCACCATCACATGATTTCTGTTCTCATCCTGAAGCAAAGTTCTTAACCCGAGGTACTATTTCTGGGTTAGCGGAGTCTGAAACCTGAAGCATCTGTAGCCTGAAGCGTCTGTAACCTGAGGTACCACTGTACATTCATTCAGAACTGTTCTACGTTTATTGATGATTGCAAAACGAAAGCTCATCCGTTTTCTGACCTTGTGCACACTTAACTGAATGGACATCTCATTACTGATAAAATACATCATAATTTGTGAAATAAAAAGAGCCTGCTGGGTCAAGCCAATGGCCCATCTAGTCCAGCAATTTATCCCCATAGTGGCCAACCAGATGCTCTAATAGGCAGCAGCAGAGGAAGCCTCTTGGGCGCCTGGGGCAGTGAGCCCATGGGCAGGGGAAGCCGCCCATAGGGGCAGGGCGAGGGCGGGATGAGCCTCCAGAGTCTGCCTGCCTCCTCCCACTCAGCCGCCCTACAGCTGGGGGGAGGTGTAGCGGGCAGCCTGCGTGCGCCCAAGCCACCGCATCACTCCCAGGAGAGACTTGTGGCTCAGGTGCACTGCAGGCCCCGCGGTGAGTGCCACCCGGCATTTTGTCACCCCCCTCAGTGGTGACACCCGGGGCAGACAGCACCAACATGTCCCCCTTCCTCCGCCCCTGCCAGTAGGAATCCCACAAGCAGGATTCGTGCACAAGAGCCTTCTCCCCTCTTGTGGTTTCCAGCAACCAGCATTCAGAAACGTTGCTGTTTCTGACTGTAGTTGCAGAGTAAATAAGGACAGCTCTCTCTTCCATGAAGTTACCCAATTCTCTTTCAAAGGCATCCAGGTTGGCAGTCCTCGCTGTCTCCTGGGGAAGCGAGTTCCACAGTTTAGCAGTGTGCTGCGCAAAGGACCTTGCAAACTGATGTGGAAGTGTGGAGTTCTGATCTGGGGAAACTGGAGAGATTTACCCGTCCCTACCTAGTTGTAAGGGACGCGGGTGGCACTGTGGGTTAAACCACAGAGCCTAGGACTTGCCAATCAGAAGGTTGGCAGTTCGAATCCCCGTGACGGGGTGAGCTCCTGTTGCTTGGTCCCTGCTCCTGCCAACCTAGCAGTTCGAAAGCACCTCAAAGTGCAAGTAGATAAATAGGTACCGCTCCGGCAGGAAGGTAAATGGCATTTCCGTGTGCTGCTCTGGTTTGCCAGAAGTGGCATAGTCATGCTGGCCACATGACCCGGAAGCTGTACGCCGGCTCCCTCGGCCAATAAAGCGAGATGAGCGCTGCAACCCAGAGTCGGCCACAACTGGACCTAATGGTCAGGGGTCCCTTTACTTTACCTT